CAGACTGTACATATGTGACTGATGTCTACTGTTGAGCTTTACAGTGTATATACATATGTATACTTACAGTTGCATATCTATCTTCAGTTACACTAAACTCTTTCTTATTTGGCAGATAATGTCTTAGTTATATTTTATTGTTTGTGCGGTATTCATGGAAAGTGTAGAACTTCATACCAGAAGTTTATATATATATCCATAATTTTATTTAATCTTTCTAATTTCGAAATATTGAGTGTAAGTTACATTTGTTTATCTTTTAGAGTGGAGCCTAATTGCAAAACTTCATTAGTAAAATTGGGTAATTTTGAAACATGTTTGTTTCAGTGAAAAATATGATATTGAGGAACAATACTAGGTAGATAAGAAAAATAATTCTTGATATATATATGGTAATTTTTTATTTAGAAAATTGAAGTTACTTTGTTAGTTTATGTAATTATTAATAAAATGTCAAGTATTCTTCCTGTAAACTTTCTTATTACTTATACTATTATACTGACCTTAGTTCGATGTGTATATTTCGACAAATATGTTACACATGATACAAAGAGACAAATTTTATTTTAGATAAAGGTTACCTCCCTTGTACTATGTAATATTTTCCCCACAGTTATTTGCTTATTTTAATGAATATTTAAATCACAAGAATTACATTCATGGAAATTGATCAAACAAATGTCAAAAATTAATAAAAATGTATAATTAAGAGAACCAGAACTTGTCAGATCCAAGTAAAATAAAGATTTAGTTGAAAAACAAAGCTTTACTTGTTTTGTAATATGTCAAATTGGTAAAAGAGCAGAAGAAATATTGTGATGATTTCAAGGGTGATAATGAAGAGGAATTTGAAAAAAATACATTTTTGATCTAGTTTCTTATATTGTATTTCTACTTTGATGTGTCATGTCTTTGAATTCTTATATTGATATAAAGTTAATATAATTAATTATATAATATATTGCAGAATATGGAAATAGAACATCTTGAACTAAATTACATGTGCAATATTTATCGTGCAGTAAGCCAAGGGGCTTCATTCATTACTTTAGACTCATTGTTGGAGGCTGGGTAGTAATCCGAGACTGATATTGGTGCAATTAGTACCTTGGACTTTCATGGTCATAGGGATCAAATATTTTTTTAAAAAATAAAAAAAAAATCTTTTTAGTTCCTTAAATACCAGAGTCAGATATGTCAACAAGTACCAAGGGTGTGGCATAAAATTTCCTGGGGTTAATGATGAACATTATAAAACTGACTGTTAAAAATGACAAGTTCACAGAGGTCAAATATGTTTAACAACATTTAGAATAATCTTGAACTTCTGTATAAGACCAAAACTACTCATATTTGACCAATGGATATGAATAATAATGTGCGGAGTGCTCTAAAGTGTTGTATATATGACCTTGATTAATTTTCAAGAACACAGGTCAAATAAAAATCATCTCAAGTTTCAGAGGTCTCGCTTTCCTCATAATTCACAGCAGGTACCTGGAATGGGGTGCTATGGATTTCCCTCAAATAAATGACCTGCATATTTACAGAGTCGAGATTTGCTAAAAATCATCTTTCTTGAAAACCAGACTATCAAGTGTTTTATCATGAACACCAGCGCTATATATCATTTGTTATGTACTTTGGCACCCTGACTGAGGAAGAAAAAACACAATGGTTGTTTTAGCACTCTTTGTTTTAATATTCATATCAACACGTTCCACATTTCTAAAAGTCTGTGTTTTGACTTGAAAATCATGCTGACACAAGAGAAGACTGAAGTTATAATGAAGGTGGATAAAGTGAAAGAAATCAAACGGAATTGTAAGTATGATGCTGACGACAGACAAAAGACATATCACATAAGGTCAAGGTCACTATTACTTAAGTAAAATTTCAAATTTTACTTGTTCTGATGTTTGTTTCAGAACGAATGACTGAACTTTGACAAAACTCTGTACATCTGCATATGAATTACCTAAAGAAAGAAATAAGAGTTGAGAAGGGTGTGTCATTGGTCAATGTTGTTGCTTTCATTCAAAACTAGAATTTTAAGAAATGATTGACTTGACAGGTGACCTCTTAAGTGTTGTGGATGTATTGAAATATACAAGGGGTCATCAATATGTAAATAAAAGAAAATGATGTAGATATTGCATTTGATTACAGAAATAATCAACTTAAGAAGCTCCTTTACCAGATGTTGGTGGATTTCTACGTAGAGGTCAAATTGAGCTGTATTCAATATAAAACCATCTCAGTTTATTTGCAGTAATTTTTTTCTCTGACAGGTAGATCTGTCAGAAAGTCTCATTCATGTTGAGCTGTTATAACCAGCTTTGTCTAAGAGCTTTTCAGGTGTTGGTATGTGCTTTGCCTTTGGAGTTGGATATGATCCATTGTATGTCAAGTTTACCGTTTCATTTGAAATAGAATTTAACACAGGGGAATTGTAGGATGCTGATTTCAAGTGTAAGTCTTGTAGGGTGTAAATAACAAATCTATTTTGACAGCATTACCATCACAAGTGAATTGTGTGTAGTTTATAGTTGGTCCTGAAAAGAAATTTTGACTGCTGCAACAGTAATAATGGTCACCTTGACAGAAATTTGGGAAACCTTGTCATCTTTCTTTGAATAGTTATTGCTGCCCCACCTGATTTGATGTTGTTAACACTGAGACAGGTCTACCATAAATCCATACACTGAGACAGGTCTACCATAAGTCCGTACACTGTGACAGGTCTACCATAAGTCCGTACACTGAGACAGGTCTACCATAAGTCCGTACACTGAGACAGGTCTACCGTAAGTCCGTACACTGAGACAGGTCTACCGTAAGTCCGTACACTGAGACAGGTCTACCGTAAGTCCGTACACTGAGACAGGTCTACCGTAAGTCCGTACACTGAGACAGGTCTACCGTAAGTCCGTACACTGAGACAGGTCTACCGTAAGTCCGTACACTGAGACAGGTCTACCATAAGTCCGTACACTGAGACAGGTCTACCATAAGTCCGTACACTGAGACAGGTCTACCATAAGTCCGTACACTGAGACAGGTCTACCGTAAGTCCGTACACTGAGACAGGTCTACCGTAAGTCCGTACACTGAGACAGGTCTACCATAAGTCCGTACACTGAGACAGGTCTACCATAAGTCTGTACACTGAGACAGGTCTACCGTAAGTCCGTAAAACTTGTTCTGTACATACCGGTAGATCTTTATAGTCCTAACTGAAATTCAGTCTCACTGACACATTCAAGATGGCTGTTGTAATCACCATCTTGAAAAACTTAAAAGAAAATTGTATTGAGGCGATTTGTTCCCAAGATAGTTGTTAAATTCAGACTTCAGCTGTATAAAAGATGGTTGTATTACACATTGTAAGTGTCTTTGAAAATTCATTAGTTCTTCTAATGGAGTGATTGTAAAATGAAATTATATTTTGAAATTAGTTCAATAATTTGCAATGTTAGGAGTCCTAGCGAGTTGTGGCAAATGAATTCCTAAAAGAATTCAAAATACATTTTGCAGTTATCTATGTTGAAGGTTCTATTATATTGTATAATATTAACTGTCAGGGTTTTCCCTCTATCAAAGCTATGTAACAACAATAATTTATATGCCACTTTAGTGTTATTGCACTTTTAGAGGATCTTACATGAGTGTTGATGTAATATGTAATTTATTTAACAAGCTCAATAATTTGATCTTTAGCAAGTGGTATCAAATTACTTAACAAGTTTGATGAATTCTATATCACATCCACACAAGTGTAAGATTCTATTCATCATGTAACCTGTGTTTTTAAAAAATTAGCGAAAACTTCCAGAGGCAATTGTGCGATGTCATCAAGACAACTTATTTAGGATACCACAATCGCATCATTACATGTTTTATAATATTCATGACATGGACCTGACATATCAGAGCAAGACAATGATGTGAAAGTGTTATTTATCACACTAACATTGTAACATGAATGTTATAAATACTTGTAATTTGTTGTACAAAATAAACAAACTAGTATTAGTTAGTATGTAAAATACACATAAATAAGTTGCTATAGATATGTATAGTTATTTTTACACCTTTTTCCTCATTGATTTAATTACTGATTGAAATTTAATATGTTATGTTTACTGTGTAAATATACACACTAGGTTCGTGGTAGGTCCATATTTACTCCTAGGACCTGTTATTAATCAAATGAGTCTGTAAAATATTTTTTTTGTTTTACTTTCACAATTAGAATGCCAATTATTTCAATTATTAAATGGAATTCAATCATTATCGAAAAGGCATGGTTATAATTCATCTTATCGACCGACTGTTCCCTTTTCAATGCTATCGCACGCAAAAGAAGCCTTGTTAATAATTAATTAATAAGCATTATAGCGCACACGGTTCCACAAGTCGCAAGCTAACTCTAGGTTCGCTCCACGATACACATAGCTTCAAGTCTATTCAGTATCACTAAAAATAAATATGAGTTAACGCCTTTTGTATCCCTGATATAACAGTAAGTCTAGAGGTGCACTAACAGCCGAGGTTACTTTGGGGAACCTAGTACTAATCGGCGTTAATCGGATAGCGGCTTCGCGAGCGAGCACCTGTCTGTGTACACGTCGCTATAGCGACGACACGCGACTCATTTAGCCTCATATCCTTTCGCGTAGAGTACTTTGTCGATACTCTAATTGTGTAAGTACTTTAGTTATTTTGTGCATCCACTTTAAGGTTATTGCTTCAAGACATGAATTTGTTAATCGATTTCTGTTCCCCATATGAGATGTCACATCAATATGAACACTGAACTTTATACAGAAAAAATACGTTGTCTGCTTTCAGATTTTAGGTATTCGTGCGCCCTTCCGGAATATCGTCAGACCTGAAGTGACAGCTTCACGGGTCTGTTGAGTTATGCACTGTAGGAATTAAGTTGGAGGTTAGAGACAGTTTTCATCGTTTTTAGAAAGTGGTCTGCTGTTTTAAACATGGCAGACACGACGGACGCTCCCCCGGGTGAAAAGGAGGCGAATAAGGCCCCAAGCCCTAAGCCAGACCAGGATGTATCCCCACCTCTGGTTTCTGTTAAGGGTAAGTATAGTAACCCCTCCAGACAAATTTTTGTCTGTTTGATAAGTTTTAGAATTGAGACAATTATCACAAGTGAAATATTGGGGAAATCCTTTCCTTTATTTCAGCTTTTGAAATTACTCGCGAAAAATATCTTTTTTTTCATGGGAAAAAAAAGAAGAAGAAAAAGAAATGCTACAGTATGTGTATGAATATCGGTTTATGTCCAAGTACACCACATGAAATATAATGTTGTGTAAAGAATGGAAAAAAGTACAATATAATCTTTTATAAGTCTTGAAATACATATTTCAATTTTGCATTTATTTGAAGTAATAAATCCAGCTTCTAATTGGTTGTGTAAGTAATATAATTCACACCAGATTAAAAATGTCGCACATTTTTTTCTTTTTATGATTAAGATTTAATGTGTATTTTATCGTTATCCCATGCATGAACATTTATACCATGCGTTGTATATCTAATACTTTGTATGATTTCAAGGTCAATTGTCGCATATAAATGAAAGAAAATCTATAAATGCAGGTCTCCTGTATAAATGAAAATGTTCATAGAGTCATATTTATTATTCGAAAAAAGTTTATATCATCATAACTACAGATCTTTGAGTAGTTCATAGGACCATAATTGCATTTATAGGAGAGATTCATGGTTCAAATTTACAAAAATTTAGCTTCTCACCACCTGATGATTAAATTACAGAAAAAATTTCTTCATCAAAAGCCACAATTTTCAGGTCGAAATTACAAACAAATTAATAATCCAGGTGAATTAGTGGCCTTAATCAGATTCCATTGAACGTTTTGTAGAAAGTTGTTATGTTTTCCCTGAGTTTGGCCTGTACAATATATATATATCAAACCTTCCATTAATCTTTTTCTGATACATATGTAGTTCCATTAAGGTGTATGACTTTGTCAATAGAAAGCAGGTTTTGGAGTACAATGTATAAGAAATAAGGTTTTGACCTGTCAATAAACAGAAAATTTTTAGTGCAATGTGTATGTCACATGATTTATACCTGAAGATTAATGTTTTTATGAACAGTTTTCTTTGCGTATCAATTCAAAATGTCAATTTCATGTCAATCCTTCATTGGTAAAGGAAACATTACTCACATACATGTATGTCCAAAATACATTAATAAATAATGCTATCCTGAATAGATTGTGAGTTGTGACTGAATTTCTTTCTTTCTTTCTTTCTTTCATATAAATTGTTTTATTTCAAAAGAAATCAAACCAGAAGACCTTTTTCTTATATTGAATGGTTATAAAAAATGTATTTGATTATTTAATAGGATGTTTACCCCTAAGCTATTAATGAACCAAACAAAGTTGGGGAGGGGGGAATCAAGAGATTATCAAGTGATTGTACAGGCATTCTTAAACTGAAATTTAGTTGCTTTTTAAATGTACAGAAATGCTTTTTTTTGTAAAGCTTGTAGAGGTATGTATATTAAAAGTCAGTGTGAATATTTGTGTAACTGCTTGAGTGTATGTAATAGGTAACTTGGCAAATATATATAGGAACCTATTGAGCACCATTGGATGGTATCTACATACATGTATCAATTTGTCATTTTAACACTCCTGTTGGATCTGCTTAGATAATCAATGTACACAAACTCCTGTAAATCACTCGTTCAAAATAGAAAAGTAAACAAATATGGTGAGGATTTGTTTGTATATGGGCAGATTTGTGGCAAACGTTGCTGCCATTATATATGGAGTTATGACCAGTGGCCGTCCATGTAGGTGTAAGGTACTGACCTCTTTACCTGTAGTGGTAAGGTGGATTGTAACACTTTTACATACAATCACTAAACAATGTCACACTTGGTATTGTCAATAGCCCTAATTTGAAAAGTAAATTGGAACTTGACCTGAAGTCATATGGCCATTTTGATATGGTAGACATTTCAAGGACTTTTTCTAGACAGAACATTCTGAGTTTGAATACACTTACTTGTGTAGTGACATCCCAGTCATTTGATAATTGTCATGTTAAACACCCAAACCAGAGAGGCTATCAGTATTGACAAAATACCTGAAACATATTAGATAATCTATTGTTATGGTGAAATCAGTGATAAAAGGATTTTTTTAGATGCTGAACTTAGCCCTGTCAGCAAACCTACAAATTAGTATTGTTATTTAATAAAAAAACATTATTGTGCTGTTTAATTGTCTTTAAATACCATTTCCCCTTCCCAAGTAAGCCTAAACTTTAAACAAGAGATTAGAGATGTTGGCCTTTGCTACAGGAAAAATATTGTAATGACTAATTCTTTTATTTTAGGAGATGAAAAGAAGAAACCGGCCCCGAAAACCCCGGCTGCCCCTGCAAAGGTACATAAGTAATAGTTTTGTTATTCAGGAAAAGTTATATATGTTTAGGATTTTGTTTTTTTTTACAGTAGGATTGCACATGTGGTATAGATTGTTAATTTTTACGATAGATTTAATACTTATGAATAAATTAACATTTATGAGAATAAGTGAAAAACCAAAAGCTGGCTGTGAAGGTAGAATTTGAGTTGAGGAAATTAATCAAATATGAAAAAAATGCAAAGAAATGTTTTTGAAAAGTAACAAAATTCATATCAACCATGAAAAATTGAAAGATACTTGTTTTAAATTTGAGTAGTTAATCGATATCCATGTTTTCAGGGTCCAGCAAAGAAAAATGTCATCCTGACAGGGGAAGCTATGAAGGAGATGCAGAAACAAGCCAAGCAGAACCGCGAAGAGCGACGTATGCAGGTACATAGTTTTAAACTAATATTTCAAATTTTGAAAAGGTTTCCAGTAAGTTATTTTAAATGCCTGAAATTATACAAAAGGTTTTCTGCTTTCAGTTTGCATCTGTCTTAAAATTCAAAGTCTGAAAAGTAGTATTTTAATTGAATGTGATTTTAATGAATTATCTTTTTGTAGAAAAATGAAGTCATAAATTATTCAAATGAACTTGTACAACGGAAGGCTAATTCATTTCCATAAAATGTGTTGCATTGAATATTTGATGTTAGAAGAAAAACAACTTTTTTAAATACCAGAAAGTTCTTTGATGTCCTAATTTTGTTTACAAAATACTCTTAGTTTGTTTATTTTTGTATTCATTTTTAATTTTTTGGTAGTGATCCACATTTTATAAAGTTTAAAAAGAATAAAAAACAAAGCAGAGGGAAAGTTCAAGAATACTTCTCCTTTCATTAAAATCGAAGAGATTTGATCAAAGACTGATAATTCAAACTAGTTTACCGGTGCGGTGTTCTGTTGTCCATATATGGTAATTAAGGCAGTTTTGAACTTCAAAGTTTCAGATTGGGGACTGGTACATATTATGACAGGGATACTTGTAATGATTGACTCTTCGGAGTATGGTCTATTGCTACAACTTTATGCCATTGTTTAGGGAAGATATGTATACTATTATATTCTACTTTCAACATTATGCGGTTGTACAATTGACCCACGATTCCAACTCAAAAGACTTTAATGTGACCATTTTTGCTTTCGCGTCTACAATAATTGTACAGTATATCTTGCGAGTGATATATATGTATTTCAGTATTGTGAAGATCACACTTTGATCATTGTTCTGGAAATAAGGCAAATACTACTGAACAAATATGCAAAAAATCTAATATCATACTGCATAGGTTTTCATGTTTCTAAAAGAGTCTATAAATGGTTATTGAAGGGTGAATGGGCTTAAATCATGTTTAAATAGACTGGAATAAAAGACTTTGTGTATATAAGATTTTGTTATACCTCTCACTTTTGAGTTTGTCACCTGAAGATTTACATAAGCCCACAGGTACATATATCTTTATTTGGCTTCCCCTCATAAGAGGATTTAAGGGGATGTCCTTTGTCAGTGGACACACTTGTGAGTGGAAATCTCGATGAACAAATTTAAAAAGGTCTTTATATGAAAATGGGAGATAATTATGATTTGTTCCGTGTTGACTACTTGATTACTTTATTAGTACTGTATTAATTATTATACAGTTATGGTGTAATGATCATTTCTGAAAATACAAAATATTTTACAAGAATTGGGAACTCAGTATTAAAATAAGGGGAATATTTCTTTGTGGTCAAGTACTTTTAAAATCAAATTTCAAGCTCTTTATGAATATACTTTAGTTACAAATGACAAAGTGGTTAAACAGATTTTGTCATCATAATTGCCAAAGAATTTGTGTTAGAAAATCAGTTATGAAAATGATTAAGTACCGAATATAGGTTACATCTGACAGCGTTTTGTCAATACTGTATAAACTGCCAAACAAGACTTATCTGAGGGTGTTTGTTTCAACACGATTACAAGCCACCCTAGCGCAGCCCTTCTGATAAGGAGTTCATCTACCAGTTGTAAAACTTCTAACCACTCACTCGATATTTCGGAGTTGTTCAGTTTCTAAAGTTGAGAGATTTCGTTGATGATTAAATAAAACTTTACACTGCTGTTACATCATGATGAAATTATCCACTTTTATTGATCATACGTACCCCAGGTAAATTATAGACTCGGCATGTAGGCTACAAACCTAAGACAAGGTATACTTACATCAAAGATAGCGGTTTGATTGACATTTTGAAGTTGTCAAAGATATTAACATGTAACTTGAAACTTCAACTTAGAACTTCCCGTCAGGTTCAGGTTATGTCAAAAGAATAAAGTTCTTATAACACAACCTGTAAAGTTTTTTTCTTTTCAATTCTCCTTCATGGAGGGGTTATAGTTAGGTTGTGAGGTGGAATCAGGGAGGAGAAATTTTTTTGAGAAAATCTTGAGTTAGGACAGATCATGAAGTGCAGTGTTCTGACATATAATACCATGTATACTTCATTTAGGAATGTTAATATTGCTATTCTGTTCTTTAAATTTACAGAATATATGCTTATTGTAATTACAGCTGTATAAAAAAAATCTAAATCCTCTCTTGACAAAAGTCAGAATTTTAGTTTCTTTTAAGAAATTCTGGTTTTAGGAATAAACTGCAGTCCTTTAGAAAAATGTAAAGATCTGAGACACACTTTGAACATGAATAGGTGTTGTATACCTTTTTTACCAAGCCACAAAATTACTGACCTTTTATGTGTTGATGGGCCGTTAAGAATGTAATAATAATAATAACTTACGTGATCAATTTGATTTTTGTTATCAATCCCTTTGATAGACTCTCTTCTAAGACATGAATGTTATAGATTTACTTCTGAGAAGTCATTGTCTATTTCTTTCAACCCTACAATAAAAAAACAAAAAAAGATATCACACAGGTCTATTAGTTGGTCATAAACTCTGCTATTTTTACCGGATATTTCTTTTTCTCATGATTACATTTGATCAAAGTTACCATACAAATGGCTTCTATTCTGAACATTCAGGTGAAATGCAAATGTTAGAAACTCGCTGTTAAATAGAGCATTTTATTGACCACTCCCAGTTACAAAACACCATCCACTTCCCAGTGTTTGTATTCAATTTGCAATCCAAACTATGATTTGCTTAATTGCAAATTAGAGTAAGATTTCTATCAGTTACATTTTCATGAATATCAAACAGCAGCTTAATTAGAATATCCAGGTGTTGTTGTTCAGGTTGATTTCTCAGATAAAAGAAATACATATTTTAGTGATCATTTCAAAGGAAATGGAATAAATTTCATTCCGATCATTCAAGCACGCTTGACGATGATGTTGTTATGGACGTCATACATAATGTATGATTTGAGAGTTACCCAAGTATCATCCATTGAACTGTATATATATGTATGTATGAACACAGAATAGTACTAGACCAAATTATGTAATGCCAGAAGGATCATTTAGTTTACAACTCAAACAACTAAAGCTCACTAAGTGGAATCCGGGCTTGACTAATTATTCTGTTTTGAATGTTAACGTTTCAAGGATAATGGCTATTGACTATGATCAATCATTACCTGTATAAAGAATTAAGGACGTTTTATAACGATTTAAGATTATACTCACCTGGTTTCTGTAGTGTTGTTCACAGTCATATTTGCTTCAGAATATCTCTATTAGGTCATTTGTATGGCTAGGGTTTAAAATGAACTGCTGGTAAAGATTATTGTGGATTGGTTCTGAGTCTTTTTGTTCAATACTTTTTCTAGATATAAGCATTTGTAAGCTTGTAAATCATGGATATTTTAATGTTTTCTGTCAGTGTGGAAAGTTTTCTACAGGTGTTAAATAACTAAATAACTTTCTTCTCTTCACATGCTGATATACATTTAGTTCCTAGTGTTTTTTAATGTTGAATTACTCTGATAATGTGGGACAATTTTAACATGAATTAAAAGTATTAAAAACAAAAAATACATTTTAAGATCCTTTGTATATAAGTCTACCGAAAATACAAAAGAATGCAAAGAGGAAAGCAATATTGAAAAACAAGTTACAGCAATATATTTGGTTTGCCAAAAAAAAAAAAAAGATTTATGGCAACTCTAATTCAGTTTTTACAATTGACTTAATACAGAGTTGATTATTGTTAATCAGAAATTAATAGAGAAAGGTGTTCTTCAGAGCATTTAATATAATTTCCAATTTAAGTTTGTTCCATAATCAAAAATAAAGGCTGTACTATCCGCTAGCAAATGTTTCTCATGGGGTTATGTTAGGAGCTTGTTTTAGTCAAACATGGAGTGGAGATGTTGAAAGAACTAAACTTGAAATATTAAGTTATATTTGGAGTTGAACATTTTATTTTCTGTTTAATTCATGATACTGAATATAATGCTGGACATCAGTAGGAGCATATACACGCTGAGCTTGCCAGAAATTACGTGTACTGACGCTAGATATATTGGAGGAATTCCCATTTTGTCTGTGTTTGAACCTAAATCAATGTCAGGATGACAAAGCTGTACTTGTTCAATTCATGGTGGAGAACACAAATTCAATACAGGATATTAATTTACTTAAATAGTCGACAATACCTAAATACACAGGTTGGGGGTTGAGAATCGAATGAGATAGTTATATATCTATTGTACAACTTTGGTCTCTGATATAAGTACAAAGGTTCTCGTATAGGTATATATACACCAACCATGTTTGGCAGAGTGTAGTCAGGGCTACTCCATAATAATGAGATTTCTTCGTACAATGTTCACAAAATTAAATATATCCATTTGGGAGGGGTTAAGAAGTCAGTGTTATGGTAAGAACATTAGACACATGCCTGGAGTTGTTTGTCTTTATATTAACGGTTTACTGGTAACTATGTAGTGTATTAACACAATGTATTGTTACACTACTGATTAAAACCTTTGTTCAATCTCAGATAAACCAAAAACCTTGCATAGATTAGTCAAAGTATTGTACCCTCCATTGTACTCGTCAAACCGTGTATTGAAGTTTACCATATAAATATCTTGACAAATGTACACAGGAGATTTTATGTTCTGTGTTAAGTTAAATGCATTTTGTTAAGTACAACTATTTGATCAATGCAAAAGACTTATTCATGCTTGTGAAAAAGTAAGGCATGGGATTAAAATGTATTGGGCTTTAAAGAGATCATACAGAGACTAACTGGCAACCTATAGAACTAATGTGATTTGATATCAGTCAGTTTATAAGTTAACTAATAGCATGCTAATTAGTTTCATTATGTGTGACAGAAATATTGGTAGAATATTTTCCTGTCATTGTGAGGTTTTATTTTGATAATGTATAAAGAGACAGTTTTGGACGGAACAGCAATGAAGATTTTTTGGAGTTTTTAGAAGTGATTTAAAAGAAAAAGTAAACTAAGAAAAAGATTTCATGTTGTCTTTTTTATTCATCATTTATACGTGATCGTGGTTACAAACAGAAGGAACTCACCAAGGTCCATTGTTACATTAATGTTCTGATTTAACATTCTATAAAACTCAATTTTTTGTTTTCGGCTGGTGGCAGATATCAGGATAGTTTTATGATGTGATTATGATTAAGATAGTTGAGAGCTGTTGTTCATTTCTGAATTTTCAGACTGTAGTGTACTATGCTGGTAGACTTAGACTGAAATTCTTAGCATCAGTTAATTGTATGATATTTGATTGGTAGACAATGTTGATCACTGGGTACCGGATTTGGCTCCAACAGTCATAGTTTCCTTCTAATCTAATTTCACGCTAAACCTTATACTTAAGAATCACGTGTTTTCACAGGGCTAAATTTTGTGGTTTTTCAAAAAACATCACTATATCATGGATAGATACTATTAAGTTATTTCTACTGATTTCGAAAGCTCATGGACATATAAATTGGTGGATTAGGAGTACCCATAAAATCAGAAAAAATAAATCCCCCTTAAAAATTACCAGTGACATGAAGTACATTGTGAGACATACATTGTTCTCACAATGGACCATGTCTTCCTTAAATTTCTGTATTGGTATACAATTCTAGCGGCAGTCTGAAAGAAAAAAACATTCTGTTGATTTCATTTCTGAGGATATCTAAGAAATATGATCAGATGGATAATATAAATATAAACTTTATTTATTTTACAACAATTGCGAAACAAGTTATGTTAACTTATACTAATACTTATACTAATCACTCTTGTTGGCCCGGATGTAAGAGGGGTCTTATTGTGGGAGGAAACCGGAGTGCCCAGGGAAAACCCACGTGGTCAGGCAGGTGACCCCTTACCTTTTCACGTCCATTCCGGGAATCGAACCCTGGTCGGCTAGGTGAAAGGCGAGTGCGTTACCACTGCGCCACCCGACCACTTCCATCAGATGGATCTGTCCCACAGGTGTACAGAATCAAGTGTTAATAATTAAATCTGTAGGCAGCAGCATGAGATAGCCATGTCGTATCAGATGCACCAAGTAATCAGACAGTTTTTATGTTTTTTCTACATTCCTGATAAAAAATCTGTGGTATCAAGTTCTGTGTACATCCCATGGCTAATTATTTTCCACATTTGTTATTATGGGGCTGTGTGAATTATTTATTTGGTGATCTGTTATTATCCTATACAAACCTTTGTCCAAAATATACAATGCGTAGTTGTGTCCAGTTTATCTTGCTGGTTGTTTGCTTGGAATACAAAATAATTCAACATGTTTATTCGTAAACTTGTAACAGGATTGGAAAATGATCAGGAGGAAATTAATATGAAAAAAGTAAGATGTTTGATTAACCATGTACCAGAAGTATGAGATTTTAATAACTATTTGTATTTAGGAAGTAAGATTTGCATAAAGCTAAACCCAGTCTGTCTGAACAGTATCCTTTCTCACAAGTCATTTCTGAAATTAAAAAAGTAGGAATTTGTTTTAACTTTAATTGATGAGACAGATAATTTGTTTTTCTTAATTCTCTATTCATGTTTATCATACTGCAATATTTGGAAAAAAATAACAATTTAATCTGGTAATCTTGAATTTAATCACCACGAAAGGAGTTATGATGTAAAGCTACAGATTTAAGGGAATAAACGCAAAAATGATGAGGATTTTATATAAATATGTGTAGTCCATTGTTATGAGCTGTAGATTAGTACCGTAAATATTTGCTTACGGTGCATACTCTTGTATGATACACTGGTGGTTTTGGAATGCAAAATTAACAACAAGAATATGAAAGAGCATGTCCTCTAGGGAGATCACTTTTGTTCTGAATATGTCATAAAAGTTGGCTGTGGTGGCTGTGTGGTGAATATTGTATTATATCTCACTATTTTCTCCATTGCCTAAGCTCAAGTTTTGATCAGCTAAATAATTAAATAGATTATAGCATTTGGAAAATTTTGAATTTAAGCTAAAATTGCACGTACACATGTAAGGACCTAGAGAAGTAATTCAGTACCAGAGATGTAAAATATTGATATTGATATAATTTATATATTGATTTGAAAATTTAATATCTACATGTTTTGTGAAGCTGGGACTTTTTCGAAACACTGTATCCTAGTTGGTGTCTGTACCATATATAGTTAAACCATAAATGAAAACCATAGCTAATTTTGAAATGGTTCTACATGAACACACATTACTGCTACTGGAAAATTCATGGCACTGCCTTTCAGCTTGGTGACAATAAACTTCATAGGTTTTTGGTATAGGAAGATCCCAGGTACTTTTGTTTAAATGTTTAAAGGAGGGTGTTGTGGTTTTACATGTGGAATGAGATACCAACATTGTAGTATTGATTCGACACTCATAAATTAACAATGGCAAGCTTTTGGAGATAAGTAAATTGGTTTGGTAATGTTAACTGGTTGAACCAACAGTACAATGTGACATAGGACGTATCAGAGTATCCCAGCATATTCAATTTAAAATAGCTTGGGTCATGTCTACAAAATTTTGAAAGAAGCTAGATCATAGAATTTATTGAAGTATTTTCAAATTTCTTATCAGATCTTTTTTCGAGCCCTGACTTATGATTTTGTCTGTTTTGTGAATCTCTAACTTCAGGAAAGAGATATTGGATAAAAATGGCATGAAGTATGGTTTTGATAGTTAAGCAAAGGTATATATCTATATAATGTATATTGAGAACACCTGATATATTGTATAGCTGATGGTATTCAACTTAAGGCTATAATTGACACATGCATACCTCTTTAGCTGGTAAACATGATATGGCACTTATTGTAAATTTTCCATATCAATTCAATACACACAGCTAAGGTAATATGAAGACACGTAAAGTGTAGAGTTACAGTGATACTAATTAAGGTGGTATACAATAACGAGTGAATGGGGCTGCTACACACAATGACGAGTGAACATGGTTGCTATGTACAAAAATCTTAGCAAGACAAGGTCCCGATAGTTTTCACAAATTTACATTTACTTCTCAATGAAAATAGGTGAATTTTTTCCGTGTGTTATTTGAACTATTTCAGCTTGCAATTAATTCTTTTTAAGTGCACACCTTTGAGTCTCAGTTGCCCTATTTTTCTAATCAGGTGAAAATAAGATTTTGCTGGGGTCGATGTGAAATTTGGTTAGGTTGGAGAGAATTTGGATCAGAAAAAGGATAGATTGATTTCACTGTATATGATAGTTGTGAATTCAGTCATTGATAATGAATGGCTCACGACACCCATCATCTCAACCCCACCTACCCCCATCCCACTTTGACCATCCCGGCCCTGACAGGAGCTGGTCATTAAGCAATACCTAAATTATAATATCGCAAAGGAGCAAAAGTACTGTGAACCAATAATCTGCAATTTGAGCTCCTCATCAATAGCCTTATATCTAATGTCTAGCCAGCATTATGAGGAAATCTATTTGTCAATTTTGTAGGCACAAATGATGGTATATGAAAGCTATTATATGACTCATTTGATAAAGTTTAATGGCACACAAACAGTGTATTCCGATGTCTTGTTTGGGAAGGAATACTGAATACCTGTGCTTGCTTGGTACGATCACTATTGATAAAATGAAATTGATTTAAACTTAACAAATACCTGGCTTACTGCCGGAATAAGACTGTTCTATAATATATACATTTACAATAAGTATACTATGTTTTTTTTCTCTAATATCAGAATTGTGATTCATTCCATTTCTAACTTTGATCAAGCACTTAAATGAAGATTCTTAAGAGAAATACTGACATAAATACTGACATAAATTTAATTTTTCTCTTCACAGTGTGATGCTCGACACAACTACATATTCAAACAGGTGAGTTTTAAAATTTGAATCTGACTTTTAAACAGGAATAAATGAATATCAAGTCCCAACAATAGAGTTTTCAACCCAGATCATGAGATTCTGGCAGTGTTTGTTCAAAGCAAATATACAAATTAATGACATGTTTCAAAAAGATATGTCTTGGCACAACTTTACTTAAAAAGGCAATATTTCTACTGATTTTGTTTATCTGCTGCATAAATGTTAATTAGCTGTTGTCAGAGATGTCCTAATTAATGACAAAACACCTATAACTAAATCTGTGGTTATGTAAGTAAAGCAACTATTTCTACTGAAGGGTAAGAAACTTTGATTTACTTGGTAGTCAAGGAGACCAGTTCATTAAAAGTATAATATAGGGTAAAAGATTTGTCAGCTACTTATGGTAACATCCTCAGTCCAGTGGGTTCAAAGAGGAGACTGCAATGGAGATTTCAAAAGTAATCAACATATTAAAACATTTTTTAATATTTATGTTTTAATAGCTAATAGTTATAGTTAATATTTACGATAATTAACTTTATTTTTAAGGACCATCTTATCAGATGAGGTGATTCAGTTAGTCACTTCAAAAATCTGAGGCAAGAGAATTGTAGTTAAATAGTTAAACCCAGAATTTAAATAACAGAAGTATATAAATTTTCAGCACTTGTGTGATGTTTTATTGGAATTAATCATTGATTATGTCTGAACAGATTGCAGATGCCTTGGGACTGGAAGTGAGCAATGTTGAGGACTTTGTATTTGGAGATGAAAGAGTAAGTTTTTTTGTTTTTCTGACAGACAAAATTTATTCAATAAGGACTTCTGTCAATCTTATTTCTGGAAGAAAAAAAAAGACATTATTTTCTTTCAAGAAAAACCTAAGATTGAAACATTTTGTAATTGTTTCCTGTTTTTAAACACTCTATATAACCGTAATTGGTTTTGTATTTTACCTGAACATGAAGGTTAGATTGTATCAACAGCCACCATGATAGCTAACATTACCTTACACAGTATAATCATTGTTGTTATTAAGGAAGTGGTGAAACTCAATCTCTATTTGTCATGACTGGTCAGATTTGGTGTCAATAGAGCAGAAATATTACACGCAGATCATGCTGTAATTTGTTCATTTTGCTACAAGAAAATCTCACACCTGATGTAGGGTAATTATCAAAAAAAATGAATATATAAAAAACGAGATTTGAATTTACACATGCTGAAAAGGGATTTAAATTTGTCTTCACAGTTTGACTTGATTGAAGAAATCTTTAAGGCTGATGGAGCAAGAAAACTCATTTTCTTCTATCAGACGGTGCAGGTAAGTACAAAGGGTTAGAGGCGGAAGTTTGTTCAGAAAAGTAAATAATAATGAAATCAGTTATGTTTGATGGTAAAATGTAGGACTCCTATATAACACAGATTACTCTAGATATTTGTAGAAGGAAAAGAAATAGATATGAACACCCCTGGTTATAATGTCTACTTTAGTTTGTAGTTTGTATAATCAAATGATCCAACCACTGATGTCAATCGTTTGAAGACCATCAAGATAGAGTTTTTTATCTGGATCTATAAAATGTTTTTATACTTAAAAGTGACTAAAATTTACATGAGCCTTTTTTGTGTTTACAGCAAAAGGACTACAGGGACCCAACAGGAAGTAACACGACGAAGAAACTCTTCATCACACCTGGCGATGTGGAGGTGAGTTTAACATCATGTGATGTCAACCATGTACATGTGGACAGCATTCCAATGATGTCACACTAGGCGATTTGGAGCTATTTATAGCACATCATGTGACATCAACCTTGACAATGTTGGGGGCTTTCTTATTACATAATCTTTGGTGATGTGAAGCAATATATAGCATGTCATGTGATGTTTCAATTGTAAACAAGAAATTTTTCAGTGACATGAATGTCAGTCAGTCATGTAGACCAGTAGTTATGTAAGACAGGTGAAGCATTCAAATGACACTGATTTGTTTCATTTACAGCCTTATGAATGCAATTTCTGATGAAAAATATTGATGTGCATAATATGTCATTGTCAAGAGTAATAACTCAAATTGATAAAACAAGATAGATCGGGTCATGTAACTTATAAATCAAAGCAGTTAAATCCCTGAGGAGTTCTTTGCCCCTGTTCTTGTTCTTGACCTGTCTATGGTATTAACACATTTATATGTGAAATTACTATACCTAAATATTTCTCTCTTCTTTGACATGATATTAAGACTGTCAAGTAAATTTATAGCCGAGCATTTCTGTGATGAATGGGAAGTTTTAATACTGACAATTAAGTTGTTATGATCTGCCCCTCCTAACTATTAGGCTTCCTTCTTACCTGTAACTTATACCTCACTTAAATCTTTTTAACATTTTACAGGTAAATTTCCTATCTAAAAGATCTTTGATTTCTGTTTTGCTACAAATCTAATTTTCTTTCAATGTTGATCTGCCTTTGAGACAGGAACCTGTTAACACTGATTTGATCTTAAGTGCTAGAGATGTATTAGTTACAAAGAATATGTTGGTAGCTAGTATTACCTCTGTAGACATGTGGGTGACTTTTAACATAGGACAGTTAAATGTATGATGATATAAGAAATGTATACACTTAGCACATACTGTTACTATAATAGATGATAGGCTCCATTAGCTCTGAAAATAGGTACCCAGGAAAATACTGGCAGGACATCATTAAGGTGAAATTTCAATCAATGATATTTCCATACTTTTAAGCCAATGGTTGACACTACCAGAGAGGACCTTAGGGTTTCACCATCAATCAGTCTGACTGTCCGGTATCTTTTATACAGGGGTTTATCTCATTTTCATTTTGGATACTGACATTTTCTGCCATGAGCTGACTTACAGTGCCCTATTAAGGAAGGCTTTTTGATCTACTTCTCAGCTGTGACATACCAAACTCATAATGGTACATTATGCTCCGTGCTTATCGTTTAACATTCAGTAGGACACACAATCACGACTTAGCTTGTTGTCATGGTAATTTGACTGAGTTTGGTATCTTTTTACCCTGTCAAGGTATGATATTCCAGTGTGATGACACTATAAAAGTATCTGTCATTGGCCTCATCATTTGTGGAAACTGTTTCTGGAGACTGTCAGATTAAGAGCAACAGGATTCCAATTTCTTACTGTCAGATTCTTTTGTAAAAGAAAAAATGTCCTCTAACACACAAGATTTACAATGAAAACGGGTTTGTAATCGGTAAAGGCCAAATCTACCTTGTGTCAAAACTTGCTCCCCCTGCCCCTACTAACCTTAAAAATAATCTGAATATTTCACAGATTCATACCACTATGCTCTGACATCAACAATATGAGAAATCATAAATTGTGCTACAGTGTGAGACAGGTGGCTTTGATACTGGTCATAGAGACTGTACTTGATTTATAGTTCATATATCACTCTGTTATATCCAATGGCTTCACAGTCTTTAATAATGCAAAACTTATTACCAGACAAGTCTTTAATTATAGCTCAGTTTCTAAGGGAAGGTTAATGAGTTGAATTGTCAGGTAGACAGATAATTTACCTGTGTCTATAGAACAATTCCCAATGCTTACCTGTACAAACAGGTATTGATTGATAGTCGGCCTACCTGTTGTACTGACTGTATACACAGCCAAAGAGAAAAAGAGTCGACATTAATACCATCGATTGTTAAGGTCCCAGACAGAATGCTCAGGTATATAGAAAGAAAGCAAGTATCACACTGCCTTATCAGTGGAGTGGGTAGAGTGTATTAAAACATATCCTGTGTGGGGGGTGGTCATTGATCGTCCCGCTATTGTTGACAGCTGTGTTAGGCTTGTGTTCGATGATAAATTAATTACCAAGGCTTGACACACTAATTGTGAAAATAAGCAAGTAATTGAATTTTAATGTCAGACATGACATATGATGTAAAATGTATAGTCAAGAGTGTGATTTATACAATCCTGAATGAAAATCATTTGAACACCTATAAAAATTGATGTACAGATTTCTGATAGCTTTGTTTTCTAGCCATACAGCTATTTTATTGACTAACAAAGAAATCTGAATGGTAGAGCATATAGTTCTATCAGCTGAAGCAGGAATAATGTAAGAGGGTGCCAAGTGGTCTTGGACCCCTTCAAACTAATTTTTACGTCTCTACTTTTCTTGCATTGGTTGACCCAACTTATTTTGGACATTCATTAAAAATTGGTTAAAGTGGCCCATTGTTGTAGGGTTCCTTTATGAGGGATATTTCTCCTAATTTTGCATGTTAAATCCATCAAATTATCTTTAACTATATTTATGTAATATTGCCAGCAAGTAATAGTTTTTCTGAATTTATCCAACCTATAGTTCAAGCATTTTTCAGAAAGACAATTCCAGATAGGAAGGGATATTTGCAATACTGAATTTAGATTCATCTTTATACATTTCTATGTTTAAAAAAGTGGTGAATTATATGCATATTTTTATCAAGACTTTTATATAAAACCACAGTCAGAAATATCGATCCTTCAACGTGTTGCTTTTTCTGAAGGAGAAATCTTATTCAGGGTGATAGAGATGGATTGCTGTTTTCCGAGACAGGACTCACAATATGTAGAAAATTAATGTCAGTTTCTGCTTCATAAATTCCTTTGTTGTAATGTGGTCAATTAAACCAGAGACATTATATATGTCTCTGATCTGGCTCTCAACTTTCAACAAGCACCACATCGTCTTGTGGGTGGTTATGAGACATTATATATGTCTCTGATCTGGCTCTCAACTTTCAACAAGCACCACATCGTCTTGTGGGTGGTTATGAAACCTATAGACATTATGTATGTCTCTGATCTGGCTCTCAACTTTCAACAAGCACCACATCGTCTTGTGGGTGGTTATGAAACCTATAGACATTATGTATGTCTCTGATCTGGCTCTCAACTTTCAACAAGCACCACATCGTCTTGTGGGTGGTTATGAAACCTATAGACATTATGTATGTCTCTGATCTGGCTCTCAACTTTCAACAAGCACCACATCCTCTTGTAGATGGTTAGGAGACCTTGTGGACAAATAAGAAACTATTTTTGTTGATCTGGTCCCCTGCCAATCCTCATCATTGGAAATGTATCACTGAAGTGATTTCCAGCCAAGTCATCAAGGTAGAAATTTGTATGGAAGGTGACGAGTGAGAAAGAAGTGCCCAAAGAAGGCTATTGTTAGGAGTGATCCCTGATAATGCCAGTGAAGTCATGTTGGGGATGAGAAAGATTCCTTAATAGAAGGCTGTCAATTTGACAAAACTATTGTTATTGCCCACTGGTAAAATTACATAGGAAATATATAGGGTTTATCTATATTGTCAACTTCCTATAGTATTTAAAGGAAAAACAGGTTACATTGGCAGCTGAAGTAATAGGAACCACAATATTGCTCACACCTTTACTTAGCCCACATGGTTGAAACATCAAAATCCCCTTTTATTAGTTTTGTGTGGTAATACATGTAGCAGTTGCTTAAGAAATTTGGTTGTTATAACTAAAATTTTATTTGTTTTTTTTCTGACCAGGGCTGTCATGGACTGTGCCTATATTTCTTGCGTACTACAGCCAAAGCTATCACCATCCAGAACATTGCCAATGAGATCAACTTTGGAATGATGGACTGTAGCAATGGAAAAGTGCTCAGTGGGTTCCAAGGATATCTCTCCAAGATTATCCTGCCTGCCCTCAAATCTCTTGAGGTATGGTAATTCTTGCCAAACTTTTCCAGGAGAAGAGATTTTTATACATTTTTTTCTCAAGTTCTCTGAATTATGGTTTCAAATTTCAGCAAGGAAGTTACGAAAGAAAGATAAAAAAAGAAGATTTTTATTTAAATTTGAAAGTAGTCTTGCTAATTTCCCAAACAATTTACAATTTTTTTGGAAAAATGATAACAAAAACACCTCTTTCAGATGAAATACTGGTTTTGCTGTAGAATTATACTGATATAAAAGTAAAGCATTGTCTCTAAAACTCTTTACAGCAATGGGGCACTAGTATGGTGAAGCCTGCCCCTGTGACCAACGAAGAAGGGCCACCACCTCCCGCTCCTGCTAACAGTGCTACTGCCGAAGAGTTCCTGGAACAGCTTGAGAAGTTTGTCCAGAATCTCATGTCTGCAGTACGCAACATGGAGGGGCAGGTGACTCTGGCTGAAAATGGAGTTGGGCCTGTCATAGACACCATCGAGTCCCCAAATGACTACCAGGGCATTGGTAAATGTTATTGAATGTGTAATATTTGTCAACTGTTGACAACAGTTCAAATTTTCAAATATTTACTGCATTCTGTAGAAAGATTTGAAATACTTCCATTCAATGTATTTTACAGAAATTTTTCCTAACAAAAAAAATTAAGAACCATTATTAGGAATTATAATTAATGAAATGTGAGTAAAATATGAACAAAAGAAAGATTTGCATAGTACAGGAGAAAACACACTTGGTGTTTCAGTAGGATGGGCATCTTTTGCTTGCACTAACCATGTTAATCTTAATCCATTCAAGTGGATGTTTTGTGACTTGTTTCATCAAACTTACTTGGAATGCTAATAAGTAGTTTCTTTATCCAGCTTATCTGTAATGGTAATCTTTTTCCATGTTGCAGCTTCCAACACGGAGTATCTGGAAAAATTTGAAAGCCTGCTGTTGACTTGGTCCAAACAGATTGAGCAGGTGCTAGCGGAGAGTGAACAGATGAGGCGCGAGGCCGACGATATTGGACCCACCGCCGAACTTGCATACTGGAAGAGCAGGATGGCCAAATTTAACAAGTGCGTATATCACACTCAACTTTGATGTATAGATTCGAAGTTGTTTGAACTGGTTTACTTTTGTTTTGTTGTAGATGAAATAACACTAAAGATCTGACAATCTGGAAATCATTGAATACTGCATTTATTCCATTGTATTTTTCTAGATCAAGAATTTAAATGACTTTGATTCATAGTTTCTTTTTGTCATTGGAAGAAGTGAAGTTTGATAACAAACTTAAAAATATCTTAACTCCTGTGTCTATCTGATAATTATCCCAGAGAGCCAAAAGATCACTTTTGACTCAGGGTCAGGAGGTGGTCTCGTTATAGGACAATGATGGCATCAGTTGATAATTCTATAGAACAGCATAAGATACGGATGGTTTGAATACCAGACTGGGGGTTATTGCTGGTAAAAGCTGACTGTTTACAACCTGTCGTAAAGTCCAGTCTGGTGCCTCCCATCATGGCTGCAGCTTATATCTAGTATATTCTGTATCTGACTACAGCATGTTACAGAATGTTAATGTGTGATTCTGTTACAGCCTGCTCGAACAGATGAAGAGCCAGCGTGTGAAGGCCACCATCGGGGTTCTGCAAGTCGCCAAGTCTAAATCTCTCCGCCACTGGAAGGAATTGGTGAGTGTATTTATTTTGTTTGAACTCATATCACAGAATTTATCAGCTGGTATCTGAAGCTTTATTTAATTGTGGAGGGGATGTTTATCTCTCTGGAATTTTTCGTGCAATTCCTTGGAAATTTTACTTTTGCTGTGAAATTTGTACTTATTTTTTGTAAATTTTAATCCAATTTCTTTAAAGTTTTGACCAAATGTTGTAAGCTGTTTACTGCATGTTAACCTATTACGCAACACACACTACTTTGTTGCCTTAATGGTGTATGTTTTACTGTCTAGGACTGTCGCATCACTGATGCTGCTAACGAAGCCAAGGACAATGTCAAATACTTGTATACACTGGACAAATTCTTCGGTCCACTTGTCAAGTGTACTCCGGTAAGTACAATATATTGATAACTTCTTGAAAAAGGTTGGTACTCAAAATAAAAGTTAAATTTCTTTAGTATTCAAATCTTTTTTTTTTACATGACTGCAACCTGACCAACTCTGACCATTGTTTGTCCAGTCTGACCAACTCTGACCATTGTTTGTCCAGTCTGACCAACTCTGACCATTGTTTGTCCAGTCTGACCAACTCTGACCATTGTTTGTCCAGTCTGACCAACTCTGACCATTATTTGACCAGTCTGACCAACTCTGACCATTGACCAGTCTGACCAACTCTGACCATTGACCAGTCTCTGACCATTGTATAACAGATTTGTGACCAACTCCGACCATTACATGACCACTCTTTGACCATCACTGACCATTGTTTAACTACTTACAGGCTACCATGGTAGAACACATCCCGAGTCTGATGAATGCCATCCGCATGATCTACAGCATCTCTCAGTACTACAACACATCGGAGCGCATGACCTCTCTGTTTGTCAAGGTCACAAACCAGATGATCACCACTTGTAAAGCCTACATCATGCATGACGTGTCCAGGATATGGGATATTCCTAGGTAAGTTATCCAATGTCTGAGGATTTCATTTGGTGTGAAAATTTTGACTGGTTATTAATGGAAAGTAAGAAGTTGGTCATTATTTTAATGCATTAAATGAGATTACTGTTTCTAAGGTCATGGTCACTGTTGAAGATAAACTTAGAAAACCTTACATGTAATTATGAAATGTGTAGGTCAGTATAAGGAGCGCTCTTCATATTTTTTTTTGTATGTGAAGAATGTATAATTAAATTATGAATACCTAACTAATTGCTTTCTACAGTTTTTCCAAGATATATAAAATTAGTATTTTGCAATGTAACATGTACAAGCTATTGAATTTGATATTTACGTTATGTTTTCTATTATACGATTATTGTATTTGTAATTACAGGCCCGTCCTGCTGCAGAGGCTGAATGAATGTACTCAACTCAATGACGAGTACCAGAAACAGTTTCAGAAGACCAAACAGAAGCTCCGTGACAACCCAAATGAACGCAAGTTTGAGTTCAGGTAAATTTTCATGTTTACTTACATTATTAATGAACCTGAAAGGAATTTCAGATTTGAAAATCTTAGCATTGTTTGGTTTGACATATTCTTGACTAATCAATGTACATGTTGTCATTTTTTTCAGTGAGAACTACATCTTCGGGAAGTTTGACACCTTTTGTCGTCGTTTAGAGAGAATAGCTGATATGGTGAACACCATGGAGATGTTTGCTGGACTAAACGATGTGAAAATTGAAGGGATTGATAGCATTGCGATCAAGTACAAGACAATTGTCGATCAAACCAAGAAGAAGAATTATGATGTACTTGACCACAGAAAAGGGGAGGTTAGTAAGGAATGATGCTTGACACTGGCTTCATGTAAATATGATCTTTATGATAAGAAAATGATTTCAGGTGATGAGCTGACATTAATGGCGTGTATAAATTTGTGCTACTTTTGAAAATATGCATAGAATATTTCGTGAAATCAACACAATTTTCGATATGTTTTTGTTGGAGAATGAAGGAAATTTTCACTGATGTCATAGGAAGTCAATATGTGATTTTGGTCTGACACTGTTGATTACAGTTTGATATGGACTACGTTGAGTTCCGCAACCAGATTGAGGGGCTGCGGCTGACGATGCAGAATTTTATGGACACTTGGTTCTCCAGGTCTCTCACGGTAAGTTGTGAATATCAATACTCAAAGCAGTTATCTCGAAACATGATTTATCTATAGGGATGTCAACACTTCACATTTGCAATAGAATCAGGAATTTCATCTTGCGGAGAATTGTTTTATGTTCTATATCAGAAAATACAATCTGAAATAAAGTTTTCTAATCTAAGTGGCGTCAGTGTCTTGTTAAATTATACATAATACCAGAAAACATAGATATCATTATATTTGAAGTGTTCCTGATGTCAGCATAGTGAAAAATTGGTTAGTACAGAATAATGGGATACAGAGGTCAGATTATAAAAGATCATGAAGTATGTACTCATATAGGTGAAATCAGACAAGATGTTGGAATATGTCTTCTTCGTTCAGATTATCTATCAAATATAAATATTATGGGATCATAGTATTACAACATTTTGTATGTGATAATATGTTCTTGATGCTTGTACAAACAAGCTTTTTTTACAAAAAATGTCACACAATATATTAGATTCTGTTTTAAGTTTGTTTTCTTTTTCCTGAAGTGTGTCTCCATCTCTGTTCCTGTTCTTCTGTTTTGATGATTCATGTTCTCACCAAAAATGTCCTATGTTTGTTTGATAAGTTTATCATTAATATTTAAAATCTTTGTTACCTGTTTTTGTTTGTTTTGTTTCCTTGTAGAAGTCTGACCAAGAATATGTAGGTCCTGCATGCTCTCGCAGGCTGTCGTGTCCATGTGAAATTGTGACTTAGTAGTATCCATGTTGTGTTCACATAGGTTACAATCGGTGTCATAAAACCATGTGCTGAGTGTCATAAAGCTATATCTCAGACAACACAGGAGTTTTAACAGCAGATTTTAACCAAATTTGCATGTATCTCCATACCTCAATAAACATTTAAAAATTGTGATTTTGAGAGCATAAGACCATATGGTAATAAAAAACATGAGACTGAGATGAAACAAAAATACACAAAAAAAAGAGAGACAAAAACTTGTAAATACTATTGATTACAAGGACAAGGGTTGTCCCAAAACACTGTCTGGAATATAGGTACTACTATACCTAGTTACTGAAAATTATATCATTTCATATTTTTCATAAAGCTGGTCATTAAATATTTTTCAGCTGATTCCTACCACATGTATATATATTTTTTGTTTCTCTGAGAACAATCGTTGTTCTGTATTTGTAATTGTCAATGTTCACATGCATACTGTCTTCACAAAATCCTGTGAAATTAATCATACTGTATATGTTCTGTGTACCCATCTGTATTGATTTGTTGTCAATCACATATCTGTCTGTTCAATATGTAACCGCCTAATGTTGATTGACTGTGCAGCTTTATATGTCAGATTCTGTGTAATTGTCATCTTGTAGTTTTGCATATGTCAAGATATAGGAAAGATGGTTGTATTGATAACCAAATTTGTGGGATTTTGAAAAAAAATATTAATGAAAAAATCTAAATTGATGATACATACACAGAGGATGTATTTATCAATACACATCATGTAGATCTCATGTGTAAAGTAAGAATTACTATATGGAAGGTTTTGTATCAGAAACACCTCTGTGAGAAGGTACTATCATTTTGCTTTAGCCGGTTATGTTGTAAGATCAATCCATAATGAGAAATATTTCTGTTTTTCTAGTTTATTGTACTGTAATTACTATACGTCCCATAATCCTTCTGATATACCCACTCAGTATCAATGTGGACCTATTCTTTATCAATATTTTGTAAGAAGCCTGCCTATCATTTGAAGTTGTCCCCTTCTGGATTTACTTCAACATTGTAATTTACTCCATAGAAATAGGATGATTTGATAAACCTTGAAATGTTTTCTTCCTACAGACCGAGAAGTCTGTTGAGTTGCTGTTCAAGTTTGAGAACATTGGCGGTGCTCAGCTCGACATGAATGAGAAGTATATGAAGGTACTGATGAACTATGGGAAAGATCTGGAATCCATCCGTAAACTGTATCAAAAATACAAAGCGGAGCCCCTCATACCCAGAAACCTTCCTCCAGTCGCAGGCCGCATTGCCTGGGCAAGACAGCTTTACAGGAAGATTGAACACCCAATGAAAGTTTTCAAGACTAAACCAGACATCCTAAAGGTATTGGCAGAATTTCTTATTCTTTGCAATCTCAATTTTTGTCTGTTTTCATTTTAGTATACAGAAAAGGATAAAATGTAAATCTGTGAAAATGTTTTGCTGAGAATGTTTTATTTATGGAAAATAATCTGCCTCTAACAAACTATGAAAATTAGAAAACAGAAATGAAAATTCTATGAAGTTCAATAATTGTAATCCAAAATGGGAATTTTTGTTTTTTGATTTTCATTTTAAACTTTAAATTATAAACCAAAATGGGAAAATTTCTTACCAACAGTTTCCTAGGTAGTATATGTTTTTTTTTATTTTAGCACCCAGAGGCAAAGAAAATTGTCAGGAATTACAACAAGATGGCTGGTGTACTCCTCGAGTATGAGGTAAGGTTCAGCAACATTTCGTGGAACTCATTTGAAAGTTTTCTTAAATTCAGAATAATACAAAATAATAAAATATTTTGCTCTGTATCTGTTCATTATTTAAATAAGAATTTTCTTTTTGATACAGAAGTTTTCAAAAAAGAGACATTAAGAGAAATCTGAATTCATCTCTTGATTACAAAATTAGAAAAAAAAAAGAAAAAATTAGGATGATAAAATGCTTTTCCACAGATGCTGTACCATCGTGGATGGATGAGGGCTGTTGAAGCAGCAAAGGGTGGATTAAATGCCGCCCTGCTGATTCGCCATCCTGATACTAATGATCTGCATGTGAACTTTGACCCCCAAGTCCTGGAGCTCATCCAGGAATCCAAGTGTTTACAAGCTCTGAACCTGGAAGTCCCGGAAGCTGCTAAGGCAATGATTGTCACTGAGGAGCAGATCAAGGCCAATGCTGTGTCGTAAGTATTGTTAGGAAATATCTCCCATTGGCTTTTGTCAGAAGGCAATTCTGAAAAACATTTGGGAATTAATTTAAGAGAGGAAAGTTTGGAGCCTTCTTCCACAGAAAGACTCGAAAAAATTTCTGCCATTTGTTTATAAGCCAGTTTTCATCTCTGATAAATGTAACAGTTTTTAAATGTGTCTTTTCTTTTCCTTTGAAATTCTTTTTAATGTTCCCCATTTCCTGTATTTAAATGTTTTATATACCAGAATTTGTTTCCTAGTGTAACTTGAACGAGGGTGCTGAAGGTTTATATTCTTTATGTCTTATTTAAAATCAGAAAAAAAGCCTTTAATTATTACTCTCATTGTTCCAAAACTTACGTTTCACCTTGTTTCATGTTATCCAGTCTTCGTGAGATGTTGAACGAATATCACCGTATCATAGCAGAAATCCCATCTGTGCTCCTGCCACTAATGCAGCCAATTAGAGACAAGGTGGAAGATTCTCTTTTACCTGGAGTTATTGCCCTTACCTGGTCTTCCCTCAATGTGGATGATTGTAAGTTGGAATTCAGGTTTATCACCTTTTTACCATGCTAAATTGGAAATGGATTAATTTTAAAAAAAAATTGGTTCAGTAATAAAACTTAGATAGAAATTGAAAGTAAGTAAGTTGAAATGATCCATATAAATTTTCTTGTGTATTTTTTATTGAAATCTAGAAAATCAAGGACGAAAAACCAGAATCAGAAATAAATTTCCTCTTATGTCATACATTTGCATATCAGATATCACAGAAAACTACAAGATGATGGCAGAACTTGAAAAGTTGTCCAAGGTCGTACGTGATATCCTGGAATGCAGGATTGAAGCCGTCCTTCAGGACATGTCAGTGTCTGCCCTCTGCGATCTTCCCGAAGATGAGGCTATCACCATGGAGAAATTCCTGGAAATAACTTCGGATGTCGTGGATATGGCGTCAAAACAACTGGCAGTGTGAGTTACTCTCTGATTCAATTACTCGGAGGTTGAATGTAAATCTGGTTTTGAGAAGTAATTAATACAATAAGTTCAATTCATTGAGACTTTTCAAAATATCAGAACAAAATAGTAAGAATTTGTATTGCTTGCTGATGTTTATACAATAGCTTTCAGAAAATGTCATAATAAATGCTGTAAGTGACTGAAATAGTGTAAGCAATAAACTGCATACATGTTATGTAAACCACTGTTGCAGTCAGAGCCAACTGGTTGAAAAAGCTGTGTATGAACTGACCGACACCCTGCGCATGACCTTGCCTGAATCCATCAGGGAAAGCCTACACCCAGAGGAAGGGTACAGCTGTGCACAGCCGGACCCCAAAAACAAGAAACAACGTTGCCAGGAGTGTCAGCCATGCTCTTACTATGCTCTTCTCAACCATTTCACGCAGAGGAACACTGAGGCACTAGTCAAATGTAGGTCACAATTACATAATTAAAACAACCAGAATAATTGTTGCAGAGGCTGTAGAAAGGATATTCAATGGCAAATTTTCATACAGTTCATATTCCTGAAAGTTTCTGTAGTTGTTGACACCCAGTGAAATTTTGTTTTAAATTCCGTTATTTTGTTCATCATTCGGAATATTTTCTGTATCTGTATCATTGCTCACATATGCTCTCTATTCCCTGTACAATAGGTACTCGTCTGTCATTGGATGCCATAAAGCGTCGACTACAGACTTCTAATAAGTACACGACTGATGCCAACCGTGACGACACAAAGCCTCCGCTGTTCCGTGCGGACATCGTGCTGGCCATTCCCAATGTGGTAATGAAGCCAAGTCTAGATGACATTCAGTCGTCTCTAAACAAGGCAGTCCAGATCATCCTCAAGACGTCGATGGACATTCCACAATGGGAACACCTTGTCCTCCACCAGCGTCAGCAGCAGAAGGTGTGTACTCATTGGTCAACTGTGCTAGTAGGGCTATCATTGGTTAATACATAAAGTGTGGTATTGTTTACTGTACATCAGGTTGTAAACAAGAAATTAAACATTGGTGTATCGAGCCTAGAGTGTTTGGCAGTTAACTGTTTAATAGGTTGGCTGGTTTAAGGCAGATGTAAAAGGGTTTGTTAGGGGTGTGGCTGTTTGTTTGACAGTATCACTGAGTGGTGTGTACTAATTAATCATCTTCAGGAGAAAATAACTTTATAACATTCTTCTTAACTGAATTTGATCAATTTCAATTTTTGATTTAGAATTTTAGAGAGAGTTTTCCTAACATGCTCTACTCTCTGATGCCAGAATTTCCTAACAAAAGCTTGAATGAAAATTATTCCACAGTTTACATAATTCTGAAATGTTTTCATTGTCATTTCTAATAGTTGTCCTATAAATTATTTGTCATTGAATCCAGTTTTATTTCTGTTTAAATCGTCTTTTTCATTTTGAAATTGTTGACACTTATCTCCCCAATAGAAGACATTAAAGGACAATGCGAGATCACATGACTCAGTCACAAGGTATATTTTTAGCACTAGCAGGATAAAATGGTTATACTATAATATAGTTATTGCTCAATTGTAACTGCATGTAGCATTGTTTAGAGAACGTAACACTAGTCTATATCAGTTAGAAACTTACGGGTTATTCTGGTAAATATTCAAAGGAAAGTTATTTAGTTACAACTTTTATAATCTTTTTCTTACTATCTCTTAATTTCAATTATTGGTTTAACTTTTCAATGCAAATACTTACACTTAAAAATAATAAAATAACAAATTCTACTAATGATTTTGTACTGAAAAAAAAAATCAACAAAAATTACCAATCTGGTGTATGAAACTGAAATTTCAATCATATTGTCAGAACATAACTTAATTTTTGTTTGTAGTTAGATACATATTTATAGTAGATAAATTTTGAAAGAAAACAATATTACCATGAAATACATGTAGAAGTAAAGGTATTTCCTATTAGTCTCTAATGTATAAAGTACATATAGTGGTTTGGATTGCCATCATAGACTAGTGGGTAGATGTATTATACTCACTGAATGTGATTTACAATAAACTTGATTTTCAGAATTATAAGTGATAATCGATACCAAGCATATATCTCAAGAATCTTTCTTGATTTCAGTCTTTCAAACCAACTTTGAACATATCGGTTTACCTTATATATATTTTTTTATATTTCTTTATAAAAAAGAAATCTGAACTATGTGAAAAACAAATTTCCATTTTCAAAATGCTAAATGAAAAAAAAGGGATCTCTTGAGATTGTTCTTTTCTCTTAAAATACTTTCTGAAGGATAATTATGAAGTCAAGAATCGTTCATAACCTGAGTCTGTCCCTCCTATAAGCAGATATTCCATGAAATAGAAATCAGTAGTGTAAAGGTTATTATTTAAAACATATAATTAAAATTTGAACTGAAATTCAAAATTAAGAGCTTAACAAGAAGCACATTGTACTCAGAAATACTATTTGCATATGCTAGAAATTACCATTAAGTTTTAGACTACAAGTAGATTTTTTTCTTCTGTTTCATGAAATATAATTTACGTGGTTTTCAATCGTTTTGAATTTTTATTTTTATGATGATACATATATACTCTATCATTTTAAAAACAGGTAATGCATAGTTTAAGTTCAATGTGTGTTACTGATGAATTTGATTGTCACTGGTCAGTAAATGGTCATAAAAACTAAAAAAATTAATGATTTTGTTACATGTAATTTTTTTGGTCAGAAATTGAATGAGATTAATTTGATGAATATTGCCTATATCATTTAATTATTTGTGCGATTATAATATAATTTTTCCTTGATCTCTTTCTGATCACGTTGCGGGAAACAGCGGTACCAGGTACCTTGCAATTTGTCACTCTTATTTAACTGGTGACCTTGACCTAGTGTGAGGGTCAGGCAACCTTTCTGCACTCTCCATACTCTTGGGTTTGCTTTATCATGGAAAAAAATAATAACAAAAAGTGAATGCTAGTCTCACTTTTGGTTCTTAGTTGTCTCCCTTCGTTGCGTTCTTTTCACTTATTTACACACATTTTTTGCTTCATTTAAATTAATTAATTTATTGATGATTTGAGATTTCTTGTACAAAGTAAATAACTAATCTGATTGCTGATTTAAATCTAAAACAAAAAAAGTATCATGGAGAACAAAATTATATAAGGGAGATAACCAAGTAGAATGTGATATTTCTGTAGCCGGAAATCAGAAATAACTCTTCCTTAAACTTTGTAGCTAGTTGTATGTTTATAAATGTTTGTGATCGTAGTAGAACTTCATGATGTTGCCAGACAATTTAATAGCTTAACTACTGAAATTTAATTCCAATCACAGAAAGGTAGCCTTTTGAGTGCTTGCCATCTCACCTTGTTATGGCTATGCAAGTTCATTTGTGGGATGTATGGCTAGTTAAAACTGTGGTAATAGTCAAAGTTAGTATAGAAAAGAATACTTGCATTTTGAATTTCATTTATAGATATATGCATATGTAGCCAGAAACTTTACTGAAATTCATTTATCTGTCACAATTGTACAAGCATTCTGTGACATTGAGTAATTCATTGGTTTTTGATGTCATCATGTGAGGTCTCAATTTTTTTATGATCCATAATCTTGGCAAATTAAAGAAAATTATTCAGCTGTTAAGCTGTTATCACAACTTTTCATGATTAAAATACGTGAACATGGGTATGTATGATCATCACAAAGCACATTTACAGTAACTTTTAAGATATTAAGTCAAGAATGTATCTACTAATGTAAAAGGTATCAGAAATTGTATTTATACCTAGTATAGTTAAATATGCTGTACTTTTGTCTTCCTTACTTTGTTCAATTGTAACTTCACACAGTCTTTGCACATATAGAAAATCAGACTTCGTAAATATCTATTTCTGTAGCATATCTTTGTCTGGGATAGGAAATCCTCTGTAGCACATCTCTATCATTTACATGGAATTGTGGCTATTAATACTACTGATAACCTGCAAGTCACAGGTGAATAAGGCACTGTACATGTACTGGGATATATCTCAGTCTCTGCACACGAAACTGTTTCCTTCTGATAGGGAAAGTTACATTTAAGTCACCCAGAGATGTTTTCACGGGTTTGAACCAATGACGACTCTATAGTTGTTGATATTTGTCTGGGATTTAATTTTGTTATAGTGGCAATCATAAAGATCGTGCAAACTTAGATACCTGGCAAACATTTCTACATTGAATGAAAATACATGGACACCATTTCATAGATATGTGCAAAATTTTATATCATGAACAAGCTAAAACTGGAACAACCGCGAAATATTAGCCCCGCAAATGTTATACAGTATCAAATATTTCATTTAAAAAAAAAAAAAACCCCGATTATTTGGCAATGATAATTTTAGTGTTTGTTGCAAGAACCTTATTACTGATCAGTATTGTTGTCTAGAATAAAATGTGATGTTAATTAATTTTTTAATCATTCTGTCATCTATTAAGTGTAATGTTATCTGTATCGACTTAAACTGAACAAGAGAAAAGAAAAATAGACTGAAGTCTTCTTAAAATTCACATTTTGCCATGTATTTCCCGGATAAGGTTTTGGTAGTTAAAGAATAATATTGGTGTTCCATGCACTTTCACTTATCTCTCTTCTAGTAAATTGAAATGAAAATGAAAATGTTGACTGTTCTGAAATACATCTAACTTATTTTTCTTAGACTTTGTGTCCTAGATGTTTATTTACTGCACAGAGTTGTTGTGTATGTAGTCCAGATTGTTTCAGCTTTCCAAAATAATCATCTTCAGCTGACTTTAACATGACATGATAACTTTTAGAAATCACATGAAATCCATGTTATGTCTGGTGGAGTGATCCCCCTTGATGTATGATTAATCTCATCAAGCTAAAGACCAGAAATCGATGTAAAAAGTTTTAAATAATTTAGTCACACATGAAGAATTAGTTTTGATAATCCAGCCATCTTTCTTCCAAGAACCATGGAATAAAAAACAACCAGATAAGTGGTGGCTGGATTTACAAGGCCCAACTCATAATACACTTTAACATTCTTCAGATATGATCAAGAACTTTATCTTATATCAAGAAATAGTTTTTAAAAAATTAATCAGTCAGTGAAAAATTATTTAAACAAGTTCTTCAGCTACTACTGAATTTGATTAAATATTCTTCATAATTCACCTTGTGCAACAGATAAATTGATTGTTATTATGACCAATTATGGTACTTTCAACTTAATATTATCAAATTCTACATTCAATTGATACTTTCACAATTTCATTGACTAATTCCTCCAACACTTATAATTCAACAAATCACAATGTATTATTTATTTCATTATTCCTAACACTGTCATTTTAACCCTTCAAACAGGAGATGGACATAGCTGCTGCTGCGGAGGCTGAGGAGGGAGCAAAGATCATGACAACCTCCCTTATCAAGCCCCTCCATAAGATCATCAGTGAGCACAAAGATGTACAGAAAATTGTCATCCAGCTCAACTCTATTGTCTCAACTTTCAAGGTTGAGGTCCAGGAAGTGCTAGAAAACTTCACAAAATATGCCCACTTGTGGGACAAGGTAAGGAACTCTGTAGAATTGGTAGGGTAAACCGCCTTTTTGGGGCAAGCTACCTTTTATTGCACAAACTACCATTTTGAGCAGCAAGCTAACTTTGTGGGGCTACATAATGACTACTGGGTCATTTTGGAAATATTTGGGATTATTACAATTGCAATTTGTAATAATTTTCTTTTAAAGGTTGGTAGACCAACAAACATAAAAGCTTTCTTGTAGTCAAGACTATGCTAATCCAAGATTGGAAGATTTGAAGTGACCCTATTTTTAAATTAACAAACATTTGAGCTAACAGAACATAGCAGAACACCATAGAAACCCACAGAAAATGAATAAAATGTGTAACTTTACAGAATGTACTCACCTGGGAACATGGATAAAAATCTTTCAAGTTACATAATTTTTGTAGACAACAGTGAAGATGAAATTCTTTATATTAATGGTCTTTTAGTAGTACTTGATAGGAAAGACTCACAGTGGTTCAATTATCTAATAAATCTAATTTATGAGATATGTATGGAAGAAAACTAATCAACTGGTTGTTTACTGCTCCTTTTGGCTGTTATACTAACATGGTGATCTACAATTAGTGTTGTACATTGGTGTTGTACATTGGTGTTGTACAATTAGTGTTGTACATTGGTGTTGTACAATTAGTTGTACATTGGTGTTGTACAATTAGTTGTACATTGGTGTTGTACAATTAGTGTTGTACATTGGTGTTGTACAATTAGTGTTGTACATTGGTGTTGTACAATTAGTGTTGTACATTGGTGTTGTACAATTAGTGTTGTACATTGGTGTTGTACAATTAGTTTTGTACATTGGTGTTGTACAATTAGTGTTGTACATTGGTGTTCTACAGTTAGTGTTGTACATTGGTGTTGTACAATTAGTGTTGTACATTGGTGTTGTACAATTAGTGTTGTACATTGGTGTTGTACAATTAGTGTTGTACATTGGTGTTCTACAGTTAGTGTTGTACATTGGTGTTGTACATTGGTGTTGTACATTGGTGTTGTACATTGGTGTTGTACAATTAGCGTTGTACATTGGTGTTGTACAATTAGTGTTGTACAATTAGTGTTGTACAATTAGTCGTACATTGGTGTTGTACAATTAGTGTTGTACATTGGTGTTGTACAATTAGTGTTGTACAATTAGTGTTGTACAATTAGTTGTACATTGGTGTTGTACAATTAGTGTTGTACATTGGTGTTGTACAATTAGTGTTGTACATTGGTGTTGTACAGTTAGTGTTGTACATTGGTGTTCTACAATTAGTGTTGTACATTGCTGATATCGCTATAATGATTTATTTGATTTGACAGGAACCTGTCGCTTCAGTGAAGGAATTCATGGAGGCCAACCCCATCCTGACCGAGATCGAAGCACAGATCAAGTTCTACCAGGTGAGGCAAAATGCTATGAAACAGCAAAAATAGTCACATGTTACCTCCAAGATCAGAATTGCAAGTTTCTAACTTATTATTCTACTGACCTATTGAAGATATAGAAATGATTTATTGAAGAATTTGACATAGGATTTAAAAACATTGAATATGAAATTTTAGAATTTTGTTTTATGGTGTATTGTAGAGACTGGAAACTGACATTGAAGAGATGCAGTATAGTTACCGTGTGGGCTCTGTAATGTTTGTGACCGATCCTCTCAAACTGGCTCTCATCACTGAAGCCAAGAACTGGAAGATGGCATATGCCAAAGCACTCAATGAGAAATGTGCCGGTGAAATGGACGAAATTCTTGATTTCATTGACTCTCTTACGAAGAGACTTTCACGTCCTGTCAAAGATTTGGACGACGTACGTGCTGAAATGGCTGCCTTAGCTGAAATTCGCGAGGCAGAGATTCGAATTGATATGACCATTACGCCAGTAGAGGAGTCCTATGCCATGCTGAACCGATACAACATCTTCTTCAATGATGGAAATGCGGAGCGAGTAGATTCCTTGTCCTATGGGTGGAAGAAGTTGATAGCACAGGTAATACAACAAGTAACATTAATGTTTTTGTCCTTCTTTTGTAAATACTGGAAGGAAGAAAACAAAACAAAATGAAGGAATTCAAATGAAAACCAGGAAATTACAACAGATGTTCATAAATACACACCCACATGTAGGACAATTTATTGAATAATGAAAACGGAATTTTGAAAAATACGCTACGCTTGCACCTAAAAACCATTTTGTATTCTTAGTTTGATTATAAATGTTTTCATAGAAGGCTCGTGGAATTACGAAAATAAAATTTCAACTACAGTCGAATAATTGTGTTTTGGTCATGAGTAAGTTGATTAAAACTGCATTTCAGCTATGCTTCTTTTTTCGAATTTTTTTGTTAAATTTATGCAGAAACTTCAGATTGAGTACCCGGTAATTAATTTTCTTATGTGGGTCACTGTGATCTAGTTTTATCTTCCTTTAAGTAGACATTATGTTCAGCTCTGTTGCAAATTAATATTGAGCCTGGAGATTTGGCAAATGTTACATCGTAAAGGAGATGAAGTTCATGTTACCTAACATCACTTTATTTCTATGCTACAGAGCCAGCAAGTGCAGAACCACTTGCTTGAGATCCAACCTAAGTTCAAGTCGGACCTCCTGGCAGGCGTCGAGACCTTCATCAAGTCATCCACTGAGTTTACCAGTGATTACAACACAGCGTATGTATTCTATACTTGTTGGACAGATATAAAACTATTTCACAAGTTCCAATGAATTGTAAGGACTAATATTTGAGAGTTTAACTTTCAGAAATTGTTGTCTGACAATACTCACATACAACAGAAAAAAGTTATTCGAGCATGTGGGAAACTTGGATGTTTTTATGAAAATCTCAGCAAATGTGATTTTATTTTCACCATGTCATAGTATCATTCCATAAGTGACTCTCATAAGGTCAAATGTCGTGCATAGCCATCTTGGGAGATGAAGGATATTTCTATGGGAACTAAAGTTTGAAATTTGATTAATGTTTATGTAGTGGACCTATGGAAGACGGGATTGCTCCTCGGGAAGCTTCTGATCGTCTCAACATCTACCAGGCCCGATTTGACGAACTGTGGAGAAAGTATGTTACGTACAATGGAGGGGAGGAACTGTTTGGCCTGCCAATCACCCAGTATCCTGACCTACAACGGATACGTAAAGAGCTCAACCTGCTGCAGAAACTCTATTCCCTGTACAATATTGTACTGGAGAATGTCAATGGATACAATGATATTGCTTGGGTGGAGATTGACATTGAGAAAATTAACAATGAACTTCTGGACTTCCAAAACAAGTAATTTATATCTGATTTGGTCTTGTGAAAGTTTCTTTTATAAAACTATTTGCAGTCAGATCTGCCAAATAACAAAAAACCTGTCTTTAAAGGTCACTTCTGAATAATAAAGACCTGTCTATGAAGGTCACTTCTGAATAATAAAGTCTTGTCTATGAAGGTCACTCCTGAATAATAAAGACCTGTTTATGAAGGTCACCTTTGAATAATGATTGGTCTATAAAGGCCATTTTTGAATAACAATACCTGTCTATAAAGGTCACCATTTATAAATAGTATTTTTGTCTCAATGTACTAAAGAAAAGAAACCTTTAGTATACATAGGGCATGTTTCCAAATAAATGGATGCCTTCCTTCATTTCAACCAGTTTTTAGGGTACTACATTCTTTGACAGAATTAATTAAATGTACTCTCTTGCCTGTAGATGCCGGAAGTTGCCCAAGGCTCTGAAGGAATGGCAGGCCTATGAAGAGTTGAAGAAGACAATTGATGACTTCAATGAGACATGTCCTCTACTTGAAATGATGGCCAACAAAGCTATGATGCCACGTCACTGGGAGCGCCTTGCTCAGATCACGGGACACACTTTCGACGTCGATGCTGATAACTTCCTTCTACGTAATCTAATGGAAGCTCCATTGCTGGAGAACAAAGAAGACATTGAGGTAATGGCGACGCCCACATCCAATATCAAGTGGGGCATACTGTATTTATCCGATAATAAGCACATGTCTGGCAGTAAGCCCACTCCTGTATGTTGCTATTCATTAAAAAAAGTTAGACACCAATGCTATTTCTTTGTCCAAGAGGATATGCAACTCCGTTAAAAGCATGATGTGGTTAAATTTGAAGTTTTTCAGATAATTAAGAATCCACTGGCAAGAATTAATATTTAAACTGATCATATATTTGTAAGGTAAATCATAACACAGTTTTTGTCTTTTTGTAGGATGTGTGTATCTCGGCGGTGAAAGAGAAGGACATTGAAGCCAAGCTGAAGGGTGTGGTCAATGACTGGAGTGGCCAGAACTTTCAGTTCTCTGGCTTCAAGAACAGGGGAGAACTTCTCCTGAAAGGTAATGTGTGGTCAAACAGAATAAAGGTATATGTTTCCTGAAAGGTTATGAACGGTTAGATTTATTGGAGAACAGAGCTAAACTGGTTTAACACTGGCCAGAAATAAATATCTTAAGAAAATACAGAAATAATGATTTACAGTATTTAACTATAAATGCCCAGCAATAAGCCCACCCAGACATGTTATAAACAGATGTTCATTGTGCTGTAATAAGAACTTTGAATAAGTGGTATGTTGACCTTCTTGGCTCACTGCCGTATCAAGTCAGTACTATCTATCTAATACCTTGCTAAATAAACATGCTCATTAGCATATCTGTTTCTTACCTGTCAGGTGACACAACGTCTGAGACGGTGGCATTGATGGAGGACAGCTTGATGGTGCTTGGGTCGTTGCTAAGCAACAGATACAATGCTCCATTCAAACCAAGGATCCAGGAATGGGTCCAGAAACTGACGGGGACAACAGAAATTATTGAGAACTGGCTCGTGGTGCAGAACTTGTGGATCTACCTAGAAGCTGTGTTTGTGGGCGGTGACATCGCCAAACAGCTACCACAGGTGATTTTATGTGAAACGATGCTGATCATTGTTTAGGGGGAGGTAACTCATAAATTACACTTACACCTGTTGTGGCAACTCTAAAGAAATGAAATTTTGAAAAAGTATTAATGTGGAGAAATAAATAAAATATTAGTGATTACTCTGGCAGGATATGGAGTTTGTTATCTCACTGATATATCTCAGTTGGTGTGACAAAACACTTTTAAGTAGCTGTGTACTATTTCATATTTGTTGGTTGATCTCTTTTTCAACTTGCTAACTTAAATTAAAATCTCCCTGATACAGGAAGCCAAGCGTTTCAGTAACATTGACAAGTCATGGATGAAGATCATGCAGCGAGCACATGAGAACCCCAATGTGGTGACATGCTGTGTAGGGGACGATACTCTAATGCAGCTCCTTCCCCATCTCCTGGAACAGCTTGAGATCTGTCAGAAATCCCTCACAGGATACCTAGAGAAGAAACGTCTCATCTTCCCCAGATTCTTCTTTGTCTCTGATCCTGCCTTGCTGGAAATTCTTGGGCAGGCCAGTGACTCACACACCATCCAGGTATAGACAGCACTTTGTAAGGAAATTCTACATCTGTCTGGTGCTCCTACAGTTGATTTGTATTTCCTGATAAATCTGAGTAAGAAAGCCAGAGATTGGTCATGTGTTAGGTTATCTATCAATCAGCATGGATTTCTTAAATTTGCTGTTTTTGTTATGAAACAATTCAAGTGCATCCATTCAGGGTCAGCAGATTTCATTGTTTTTAGTTTAAAACTTCTTTACATCTGTCAGTATCAGTATTAAAGGCACTTAACCTCATTGAAAGTATTTATAAGTTATAAGATAAAACTGAATGGAAAATGTGTATAAAGTAGAAAGTTATAATGTTAACACTAACACAACAAAAAAGACTGAAGAAAACCAAAAATTTTTAAATTACAAAGCCTTTGAAATTCTGAATTCGACCTTTAATAGGCACACTAATGACACAGTTTATACATGATATGTATACATTTTCTGTACAGTTTCACGCTAGTTTTATCACTGTTAGACACAAGTTGTAGTATTATGGTCCTTGGCAGTATTTCATTTTAATTTTCTGTGACTACTCTGCTTGTAGAATCACCTACTGTCTGTGTTTGACAACACAAGACTTGTGACATTTGATGACAAAGTATATGACAAGATTCTCTCCCTTAACTCCCAGGAGGGAGAGAATGTGCCCCTGGAGGAACCAGTCATGGCACAGGTAAGTCTTAGTAGTGCTAGAGATCAAACCAGAAACCTTTATCTTACTGGTATTATGCTCAGTTGATAGAACTGAAAGAAGGTCCCTGTAGCTTCAATAATGATTGGTCAACTTTCAAAGATGATTTAAATGAAAAAAAAATGTGCATATTAATGTGGATATTATCTAAATGTGATAATATTGAATCAAAGGACTCGAGGATTATATCATTCAAAATGAATAAGTAATAAGGTATAAATAATACATGAAAAAGAAATTTATCTAAAGGAAGAGGGCCAGATCCTGCCCACATATCATTATTTATTCTAGAACAACATGGAGATGTGGTAGGGATTAATGATTTTTCATCTTGGTTTCAGGGTAATGTGGAGATCTGGCTGGGCGACCTGTTAAAGTGCTCCAGAAGGTCTGTCCATTCTGTTATCCGATCTGCATCTGTGTCCATCGGAGACTCAAATTTCAAGCTCGTGGAGTTTGAGAACATGTTTCCAGCCCAGGTAACACATTACAACACTACCTAACTTAATGGAAATTCTTTTATTTTCTTGTGTGAGGAATTTTTATACTTTAATGAGTATTAACAAGTTGGTGTTTTGACTCTTTGTTCAGTCTATCAGTTGTGTATTTGATTTTCAGGTTGGACTCCTGGGTCTACAAATGATTTGGACGAGGGATTCCGAGGACGCCCTGAACAATGCTCGTACTGACAAAAAAATCATGGTCAACACCAACCAGAAATTCCTTGACATCCTGAACGAGCTCATTGCCATGACAACTGAGGATCTGACTAAAATCGAGAGGACAAAATATGAAACTCTCATTACTATTCATGTGCATCAAAAGGACATCTTTGACGACCTGGTAAAACGATAGCTCTACTGCCCTGTCCCCAGGCAATTTATCCTCACAAGAATTTTTTGAGCACTAAGGATGAATTAATGTTAAATTCATCAGAAATGCATGTGAAATTCCTGTGGAGCCAAAGTTGCTTGTGAGACAAATAGAGATGGCTAAATAACCTCACAATATTTTTGGACTCAAAAAATTATCTTTAACATTCAAGGTAGTCTTCCCAACCCAAGATTATCAGATATAATACTGTATAAGAAAACTATCTGGAATACAATATTTGATGGTCTCATTAAGAACAAATCTGATACCAACATTTTCAATGCAGAAGTATTTTGAAATGTTATTTTCTTGTCCAGCTTGATTTTATAATCTAGATATGAAATGAAAAATTTCTTTAGAAAATAACTTCTGACAAGAATGTAATGAAATTGAGCAAGAATCCAATGATATTGTAAGGTGTGTTTAGCAGCTACATTTGTGAAGAGAATCCTTTCCAAAGGAATAAATATTGATGTCTTACCAGAGATATTTTATGTAAATGTAAGTGTCTCTACCTGGAATCAAGCATTTTCTATATTCTTATACTTACTCATATATACACGATTTACAAATGATATGTAATTGGAGGGTAATGGAGAATTGCTATTATGGTTGAAAACAGCTGTAAATCCAGGTAGATGCTTACATCAGCAAAGAATTATTCTGGTATTTCTCAAAAAGAACAATTTGATATCTCTTCAAGAAATGTTGGATGTGATTTGATTTGATTTGTCAATTATGTACCTAGTATGTAAAATGTCTTGTCAAGCTTCAGACTGTCCTTAACAAGTGACAGTTACTTCCCTTGGATTCCATCCTAGCTCTGACATTGATAGTTTCAGTTGTGCAGGCGTTTTATTTGAGATAGATAGAGAGTTATCTCCCCTACTCTTGACATATAGATCTTGATAGATTGATATTTATCTCCCTTTGTTGTGTGTCCATTGGCTAAGTCAAGACTTGCTTTGTAACGAGTAATTATTCGTTCCCTGGGTAACTCTTAAGCTGAGATCAGACATTCATATTTAATGTAGAGGAATCTCCCCTTATTTTTAGGTATCAATACTGGCAGTTCATCTTAGTGATTGTGTAGCTAATGGTGGAGCTTTATGATAACTATAGAGTGATCTCCCCTTGCTTCTAGACATTTACTATGTAGTTCTCCTTTGCTTAAAACTACCTAAGGTGAGAGCTTTACAATTACAGCAGAGTGATACCCTCTGGGGAAGAAAGAAAGTTAAACTTTTGTAATTCTGAAGCTACAAACCAAGACATTTTATATATGGGATGATGATTGACTGTACCCTAGCCTATGGGCTGGCAGTAATTTATCAGTTTATCAGTAATGTTGTACCAGGTTGCTTGCCAGATGTACATGTAAAAGCATATGGGTGTCAGAGGTACCAAGTCAACTTCAGGGACTTTCTCCTTGTCATTGAATGTCCCGCAGAAGTTGTGCTTGCTGTGTTGTATTGTGTATTTCACAACTTATATCTTTTTGATTCTAGACCAAATCAGTATATTCCACCTGGAATTTCCTATATCATATCTATATATTATACAGATCAGTTTCCGATATATATTTCATATTACATCATTTATTGCAAAAACTATCAGAGGCACAGTTTTATGCTAGTTAACAGAGATATCTTTGTATACTGAGCACACATACACTACAGTATTTGTGAGATCACTCAGCACCTAGACTGCCAGACAGTGTTTATTTCTACAGGAAGCATTGTTTAACTGATTGTCTTTGATATCTAGATGTTGATTATATTGTACTCTGAAGCAGCTAAGGGCTCTGGTTTGTCAATTTGACATTCATTTGCTTGATTCTTTTTCAATATTTTGATATTTTTAAGGTCATCTTTACTATTTTTAGAAAATCATTATCAGAATTCTGGTGGCTTCCTTTCATGAGTTTCAAGCTTCATGCACATGGCCATCTTTCACTGTTTACAATGCCTGAAGTATTCTTTAAAAAGTTATCCATAGTATATTAATTATTATGAAATACATTTCAAAATTTAATTTTTCTAATACCTAGTTTATTTTTTGTCCAGGTGAAAATGCACATCAGGTCTCCTGGAGACTTTGAATGGCTGAAGCAATCTCGCTTCTACTTCAAAGAGGATACTGACCAGTGTATCATCTCCATCACTGATGTCGACTTTATCTACCAGAACGAATTCCTGGGGTGTACTGAGCGTCTTGTCATCACCCCACTTACTGACAGGTAAAAATATTTAGGCACTTAATGTGGAAAAATTGCTGACGAAAGAAATATTTCTATTCTTTGACAATTTGAAATGTCTGAGTGTTAGATAATGAAAAAATATTTTGAAGAATAATTTGTGCAAACAAGCAAATTTTTGGAATTGAAAATTCTGAATATCGATACGATAAAAAGAAATTTGTTTAGCTGTTGAGAACTGAGTTTCACATAATGTCTTACCTTTGATAGATGTTACATCACACTGTCCCAGGCCCTAGGCATGTCGCTCGGTGGGGCCCCTGCTGGCCCTGCGGGTACAGGCAAGACAGAGACTACCAAGGACATGGGACGTTGTCTCGGAAAATATGTAGTAGTCTTCAACTGCTCTGATCAGATGGACTATAGAGGTCTTGGTCGTATCTACAAAGGTCAGTTTGTATATTACTTAGTGTTATAAAGACTACTTATGTTAACTTAACATGTTAATTTCTGTGATGATCAGACTTTGTTTCACAAACGTAAATGTATAATAGATTTCCTTATCAAAGTGATCAAGGAAATTTCTTTTGGAAGAGGCCTGTCCATTATGTAAATCTACAAATAATAATAATCTTGATGCAGAACGGAAAATATTGTCACAAATTTGACATTAAACTGTCGGTCAAATAAAATGTCTCCCACATATTCTGACATTAAGCTTTCGGTCAAATAAAATGTCTCCCACATATTCTGACATCCTTTTCAGTCCAACGATAAAGTGATCCATGAAATAAAAAATCCAAAATGGTTTGCTCTCTTGAACCTGATTGGTTTGTCATATGAGGTTGCAGATTAGAAAGTTTTCATTTTTATCTATAAACATGTGAATATTTTCCATGTTGTGTTTGTAGGTTTGGCACAGTCAGGCTCCTGGGGCTGCTTTGACGAGTTTAATCGTATTGAGCTTCCTGTGCTTTCTGTGGCCGCCCAGCAGATCGCCATTGTACTGCAGTGTAAGAAAGAGCGCAAACCCAACTTTATTTTCACTGACGGGGACAATGTAGACATGGACACAGAGTTTGGCATCTTTTTGACCATGGTAAGTAGTTGTACAGTAAGGGTGTCACAATTTGTCCCACAAGTACTAAGCTTGGTAAAGGTGCCACCATTTGTCCAAGCTTATCAGAAGGACAATTCTTATCACTGGTCCAGCCAGTTAAACTGTTGTTACAGTGATACATGAAAATGGCCTTGACTTTTCTTTCTGAACCAGTCAAACCATGTGGACATTGATACACAAAAAATATGTATTGTCATAAATCAAATTTTCTTATGTTTGTTTTATAGAACCCAGGTTATGCTGGTCGTCAGGAGTTGCCAGAGAATCTCAAAATCAACTTCCGTACCGTGGCCATGATGGTGCCAGACCGGGCTATCATTATCCGTGTCAAGCTGGCCAGTTGTGGTTTCATGCAGAACATTGTGCTCTCCAAGAAATTCTTCACTCTTTACAAACTTTGCGAGGAACAGCTTACCAAGCAGGTAACAACATCTACATCCACACCTTTTTGTTACTGATTTTGAAGACACTTCTAGTCAGATTTTTTTTCAGAAATGTATATGATACTTTTAGGATAGTAGAAGACAGAAGTAACAGTGATTCTGTCAGTTCCTAGACTACCTTGTGATACTAGGTTCAGAGCATTTGTAATGGCGATACACTGTAGTATGATAAATGCTTGAACAAGTAGTGATTAAGTTTCACTGTCAGTTTATAAATGCTAAGCTATTTTTCTATGAGTAGAGAAAGGAATCTTGAGTGTAAAGAATATCCTTCCATACTCAGTTTCCAAATGTCAGTTCTTTAAATTCTAAAAAAGACAAAATTATCTCAAAATAATTTTTTTACTATTTTCATGAACATAATTGGTTCAACATTGTAATTTTTCATTTTTATTTTTATAACCTTTGGGACATTTCTTGTAACTAAGAAAGTCTTTACAATTAATGAAAAATAATTAAGTTGTACTGACAAAGAAAAATCATCACAAGTAAAATTTCTTTCAGGTCCATTATGATTTTGGTCTGCGTAATATTTTGTCTGTGTTGCGTACACTTGGAGCGTTCAAGAGAGCGAACCCCGAGGATCCCGAGACAACAATTGTGATGAGAGTTTTGAGGGACATGAACTTGTCCAAACTGGTGGACGAGGACGAGCCTTTGTTCATGTCTTTGATTGATGATCTCTTCCCTGGCATCACCCTTGACAAGGCTGGTTATCCTGAGATGGAAGCTGCCATTGAGAAGGAGGTAGGATGACCCATTAGTCCGTTGTTTACCATTCACAGTGTTTAGTTTGCTTGTATTTACAATACTTATCGCACATTAAATCTAAGTCTGGTATTAAGCCTACTCATGACTTACAGTTCTGCAAAATTACAGACAAGTGTCATTTCATTGTCCTGTAATAAGCCCACCTCTGGACAATGATAATGTTTCCCTGGGCTTAGTGAAGGATAAATACAACACCTAATAGAACCTGTACAAGAAAATTAAGAGATTTGTAAAAAAAAATTTGATAAATTTTGCAACAGAAGGATTAAGAGATCTGAAAATATCCAAAACTTAATTTACCCAAAATACAGTGATTAAAAGTGCTTTATGCTAATTAGAAATCATCTTTAGTCTTGATTTCTTTTACTTGGTGAGCTTTTCGTTTACTGTGACCAAATGGCCAAAGAAGAGAATTCAAGAATGTGAAAAACTGTTTAGAGAAGACTTTAAATGATTGTTCTGATAACCAACATGGTGGTGGGTGTGATATTTTTAGTTAAATTTCAAAAGGTCTTTGGTTTCTTGTTTGATAACTTACTTCCTACAGATATGATGATATGAATCAGTACATGCTTGGGTTGCACATGATTAAATTAACTTTGTCTATGTGAAGGTGTCCGAGGGTGGACTGATCAACCATGCTCCCTGGATTCTGAAATTGATTCAGCTGTTTGAGACCCAGCGTGTGCGTCACGGAATGATGACACTTGGACCCACTGGAGCTGGGAAGACCAAGTGTATCCACACGCTGATGAAAGCCATGACTGACTGCGGTGCCCCCCACAAGGAGATGAGGATGAACCCGAAAGCCATCACTGCACCACAGATGTTTGGTCGTCTGGACGTAGCAACCAATGACTGGACGGATGGTATCTTCTCTACCTTGTGGAGGAGAACACACAAAACCAAAAAGGTATGGAGAATATTTCCTCACATCAGGGTATCCTTCTAGCTATGGTCAGCAGTCTTCTAGCTGCAATAAATATTCTGTCTATGACATTCAAAGGGCTAACATTGATAAATTTTCAAATTTATTCATTCATAAAACATTGAAAATGCATTTTACTATACTATTTATACGATTTTTCCATTGGACCTTTTTGTTGTTAACATTTAAAGTAATAATTTCAGAAATATAGTAATTTTTTCTAATTTTACCTGTAATAATTTCTGTAATGGTGTAATTTTTTCTAATTTTATCTAATGATATTACTTACATTTAAAGTAATAATTTCTAATTTCATCTAATGTTATTACTTACATACCTATAAAGTAATAATTTCTGATTTTGGTTGATGGTTTGACTTTGACAGGGTGACCATGTGTGGCTTGTGCTGGATGGACCAGTCGACGCCATCTGGATTGAAAACTTAAACTCTGTCCTGGATGATAACAAAACCTTGACTCTGGCCAACGGTGATCGTATCCCCATGGCACCCAACTGTAAGATCATCTTTGAGGTGCACAACATCGACAATGCATCACCTGCCACTGTGTCTAGAAACGGCATGGTGTTCATGTCCAGTTCTATCATGGACTGGAATCCCATCCTGAGAGGTGAGCTTATCTTTGGTACACAGAGCCTAAAGAGCTTGTAATTGAATCCTTGGTATCGTATAACCATTACCTGGTACTGTGGGTACCTTTTTCATGCAATCAAATTTAAGTGTAATATCGATTTTGAACAAATGAGGACAATGAATTAGAATATTTTCGATGAAGACATTATTATTAGTGCAATCATAGTTTAGTTTGATATTTTTATCGCAAAAAGTGCTTGCATAAGATTACCATGAAAATAAGTAAGCTTTCAGGATTTTAAGGAAAAAAGACAAAAAAATATCATTCCATTTTGATAACTTTCTTTCCACAGGATGGTTGTTGACGAGACCAGCCAATCAACAGGACACTATATTTGAAGCCTTTGAAAGCACTTTCCCTCAGGCGTACACATACAGCATGCAGTCCCTGTGGCCCAAGATGCCAGTAAGGACCCAGTTTTCCTGCTATTGTGATGTAGACAGTTTTTAAGTGCATCTATATACGCATATATACATATATAATTCATTGTGTTGTTTTTTTCTGATGACTCTTAGTATTGTGTTAAAACTTTTTTCTATAAACACCATTGAAAGATTTAGATTTTTTTTTGTGTTTGACACCAAAAATATCTGAGGATACTTATGACAAATGCAATCTGTCTACACTATTTTTGGCAGCTTCTTTTTTGTAGAGTATGGGAATGGAAGATATACAGGAAATGTGTTGATAGACTATTTAGATACAGTTATATAGCCAAATCTCCCATCTTTTTAATGTGCAGGTTATATGAAAATTGTGCAAAACAATGTTTTTTTTTTAGATTCTTGAGTGTATGTACATCAGGCAGGCTATTGACCTCCTAGAGGGACTTATCCCAAGAGGAGAGGAAGGAAAGGACATTAAGCCTGATCACCTGAAAAGGCTAATTGTCTTCTCCATCATGTGGTCTGTTGGGGCTCTGCTCGAACTAGACGACAGGAAAAAGGTAAGCACAAAGCATATATAAATGATATTAGATGGCAATAATCAATTTGGGGGTACGATACAGGAAGGGGATGGGGGAGGGTGTTTTTGACTGTTTGGTTTGTGATATATTGAATTAATTGTACAACTGAAAAATAAATTGGATAGAGATGCCAAGTTTTACGATTGGACTTAACTGTAAAAAGTTACATAAACATGAATAAAACATTACATATTTTGTTCAGATTTGACCAATGCAAGTTTCTTATCCCTGCTGTTGCTCAGTATGTGAATTTAGTAAATAGAAAAAAAATGTTGAGAAGAAAGGCATCACAGATATTTATCATTTCTAACTTTGGTGTCTATTTACAGATTCAAGAATTCTTACAAACCAATAGTGAACTGCCATTACCATCGATATCAGATGATGACACCATCTTTGAGTTTATGGTTGGAGAGAACGGTCAGTGGGAACACTGGTCTGGCAGGGTAGGTAACTCCGGTGTAGTAAGCATAACATATCTATGTACTGGCAATAATCTTTACAAGTTATCCAGCTCACATTAATCACTGTTGTTGACCTAGATGGAAGGTTTTCGCTGTTCAAGGAAACAGTACCTTTGGCAAACTTTCATGGTCTGTAAGATTAAGATGGAAGGTTTCCTTTGCAGGTACCAGAGTATGTTTATCCGGATGACAACATTCCAGAGTACACCTCTATCCTGGTACCTAATGTGGATAACTGCAGGACAGATTTCCTCATCAGCACCATCTCCAAGCAAGAAAAGTGTGTCCTGCTCATTGGTGAACAGGTAATTCTGTTAAAAAATATTACTGAAGAATCGAAATAGAAATTTGGATATATGGGGAAAACAGGTTTACATAATTTCAATTATGTATGCATAAAAATGAAATGTTTACATACCTTGACACTTGTTAGGATATTCTATACCACAAAATGTAGAACTATGTAAAGAAGCTGTTTGAATAGAGAAAATGCAGTGTTAGAAATTACATGATAATATTTCTTTTTATTTATGTTTTCACTCTGCTGTTTGTGTCCTTAGGGAACTGCCAAAACTGTCATGGTCCAGGGATACTGCAACAAGTTTGACCCAGAATTGCACCTTTTCAAGAGTCTGAATTTCTCCAGTGCCACCCAGCCAATCATGTTCCAGGTAACAAACAGGAGCAATTCTGATTGGTCCTTGCATTTTCACTGAAAAAAATGCTCCACTTTTCAGCTATTAAGAAAACCTTTGTCCAAGTTTTTCCTGCTTAATATGTTTGTTGTATATTTCAGAGAACTATTGAAGGGTATGTGGATAAGCGTATGGGTACAACATATGGTCCACCAGCTGGAAGGAAGATGACTGTGTTTGTTGATGACATCAACATGCCAACAATCAACAACTGGGGAGATCAGGTAGGGGAGATAACCATGTTTAGTCTCTTATCAAGAATCTGTAGAATGAATTACAAGTGCATATATCATATCAAATAGGCATGTTTTAGAATTCTTTTGTTGTCCCAACAGCCTATATCTGAAACATCGTGTTTAAGATGATTGCTCTTGAAAGATAATATATTTTGTCTTTAACTTCAAATTGTCATTTACCAAAAAGCAGCATTTTCTGTTTAAATTGTATTTCATTTTGAATGCAAGATGACGTCTGATTGGGAGATCAAGTTGACTTTGATCTGTTAACAAGCTCTATTGTTAGCTGTTTGTAGAAGTGTATCTGTTCAAGTTCAATTTTTAGATTACCAACGAGATCACACGTCAGATGATGGAGGTGAAGGGATTCTACAACCTAGAGAAGCCTGGAGAGTTTATCAACATTGTAGATATACAGATGATTGCCGCCATGATCCACCCTGGAGGTGGAAGAAATGACATTCCATCACGTCTCAAGCGACAATTTTCTGTGTTCAATTGTTGCTTACCTTCCAATGCTTCTATTGACAAAGTTTTTGCCACTATTGGTAGTGGATACTTCATCAGCGTAAGTTTGGTTTACTAGTTCTCACTAAAAACCAGCTGTAAAAACCAGCTGTCTGCTAGGCTATCTTTGTATTCTAAACTCGGATACATTTTTTAACTCTGCTTCCTCTAGGTATAAAGCATGTCTGTTTTCTCTGAAACACGAATCTCTTCCCAATTTCACAGAAAATATTTCCAAATATTAAAAGAAAATTATGGACTTGGGTTCTTTTCAGATAAACTGTTAATGAGATAGTAAGACTAAGTTGAAAAGTTGTTCCTAAAAAATGGTATGTTGTTCTGTTATTGCAGAAACGAGGCTTCATAAATGATGTGTCAGAACTGGTCCATACTCTGGTGCCAGCCACCAGGAAGCTCTGGCAAAGGGTGAAAGTCAAGATGTTGCCCACTCCAGCCAAATTCCACTATGTCTTTAATCTGCGTGATCTCAGCCGTATATGGCAGGTATGTTATCATTGCGTACCATTTTTTCAGCATATAGAAGTTTAGTGTTTCCAAAAGACACTTGATCAAGTTTGAAACTATGTCATGGAGAAGAAAATGTTTGAAAAATGTATCGCTTTTGGAGGAAAAAAAGAAAATTTAAAAAAAAAGAAAATCTTGTTAAATGAAGAGGTTGTCTTGAAAATCAAAAACAGAATTTTGTATGAGTGTGGAAAAAAGCTGAACTTAATTCTTCTAGCTAATAGATACAATTTTAAAACATATTTGATGAATTCAGACACATTTCTAGATTTGTAAGAACGGTATATCTGCTGCCATTTTAGTGCATTACGTGTATGTATGGCTGCATAATCAAATATCACAAAAAATAAGAAAATTTTTCTCCTTTGACAGGGTATGTTGAATACCACAGATGAAGTTGTGACCAGTGTGAAAGTGATGATGTCACTGTGGAAACACGAATGCTACCGTGTCATTGCCGACAGATTTACAGAAATGACTGACAAAGATTGGTTTGAGAAAACCATCAAACAGGTAAAGATATTGAATAAGGAGAATAATAGTTTCAGTGAAAGCTGAATGATTTATTAAAAGAAGAAAAAAAATGGATTATCTTTAATTATTTAAAAAAAACTTGAATATATACTTGTTATCTTATGTTAGCATTGCACATTTTTGATTTAGATCAAAATTAGGAAATCATGAGGTTTGTGTTTGATTGCCATCCCCTTGTTTTAGGTGGCTGAAGAGGAGTGTGGCTCTGCAGCCTTCAATGAGATGGATGAAGAACCATACTTCGTGGACTTCCTACGAGAGGCTCCAGAGATTACAGGTAAAAATTAAAACAGTCAAAGATCTTGGTAGTGCTTAATTACCATATAACTTATCAATTCTTATCGTGAGAATTCCAGATTATGTGTGAAAAAGTCAGTTGATGTGCATAATATTAACCTCTGTGTTTATGAGAATCTGATTAACAACGTATACTGATCAGTACTAATCAATGTATTATGCATTTCTAACTTCTAAACTATTCAAAGATTAATACATTTCACTTATATACCGAAATAAAATGTTGGGCATTTGGGGAAATAGGGTCCAGTTCATCTTTATAATGGAATGTCCAGTTGAATTTTCAAATTTAATTTTGAGAAATTCTTTGAAAGAATTTTCATTTTTTTTTTTTATGTACATAGGGTGAAGGAACAATTGTGATTTTTAGGGCTGGAATATTTCTAAAGTAAATCAACTTAAGATTTTTCGTGCAGAAGCGATTTATAAAGAAAATCACAAATATCAGAAATACAACCAATAATGAAGTGCTTTCGAACACCATAACCTTTCTGTGATTAGCTAGCTTTACTAAAGAGAACTTGCCTTTAGCTCCATTGGTTGAATAGTAAACCAGAGGTCCTGGGTGCCATCACTGCATTGATATATATGACCTGTGTCACAATGGCACACATATAACATTTTGATATATTTCCTATGAATTTCAAACTATCATGCACACTACAGGAGGTAAGTCGTTTGTCTCGGGACACACTTGTATTTTACCTTAGTCTATCTGTATTTGGTTATTAGTTCTGTACTGTAATCAAGTTAAAATCCTGTGTACGTTGTTCAGCATTCTGAAGTTATTTCTAAAATATTTTTGTCTTTGATTTCCAAAAATTATCAAATTTAAATTATAATAAGTTTTTTTTATTTATTTATTGTTTTTTGTTAAAATCAAAACATATATTGAAATATGAAATCTAAGACTTTTGATAACTATGTGTATCTTATGTATAACATTTGATTTTAAGTAAGCTTGCAAAAAGGGTGTGTGAAAAAAATGATATCAGATTGAAGAATATTTGCTTTTTTACATTCTATGATTAGTAAGTCTTGATAAGAAGTAAATTAAAAGGTTATTGAAATTAGATGTGGTTGTGACCTTCATTGTAATTATAGATGCCATAAACATATACCCTTATATTTCATCCTTAATGGACCATTATTATGTAAACATTTAATCTTTCTATCACTTATTTCATTGCTGAGACGCTTATCACTTGCTATATCTCAATTTTGCTTCCTCTATTATTCTTCTGATTACTACGACAATTTTGTGATTGATCGGCTAAAGCTGGTGCCAAATCAGCAAAGTCATCGAAGTCAAAAGAACGTGGTAAAGTCTGCTCATGATGTACTCATATGCCATAGGGAAAGACGTCTCTTTAAATCTTCCCAGCCTCTACACACTATCCTGGCCTGCTCTCCTGAAAATAAAAAATGTTTTCAAAAAGTCTTTGTTTGACATATCTCAGCAAATTGATTTTCAAATAGGAATCTTTCACTTTTGAAATGGTTTTAAGTTTAATTAACCAGAAACGAAATTAAAAAGATGAATTTTTCAAAGAGAAAATTTGTAAATTCAGCTTCTAATATGATCAGATGAATTTCAAAAATGTCTGGTTGTAAAAAGTACTTAATTTCAACTGAGAATGGGATGTTTGGCTTCATACAAGTTGGTATCAAGTTGACAAAAATTGATTAAATGGTTTTTTTTTACAATTAGAAAACATGTTAGCAAAGGAGAGATTTGCTTTTTCTTTAAAAAATGAATGTTGTTGAAAAGAATATTTATAACTTTCAAGGAAAAAGAAAAAGAGAAAAAATATCAAACAATGAAAGTTGATCATGTGCTTTATAAAACACCAAAGTAATTTATTTCTCTTTGGAATTACTGAATTTTTCTTGTCTTTCTTCTCAGCCTTTCATACTGTGCCATTGTTCAGTGATCATAATGTACATTTTGTGAAGGATAGCCTATTGTTCTTTGAACTTTGACCTCTATGCCTATTGTTCTTTATGCTTTGACCTCTATGCCTAATAATTTTGTATCTTTCCTATGACATATGAGAACTACCCATTGTAAACATGTCATTCATTTTAAAATGCAAACATCACCTTATGTTGTAACAGAAGAGAACTCACAGAAAATGTCCTGTAACTTGTGCCACTTGCCTGATTCTTGTCAAAGTAAATATCATGTGACCCACACTTGTATTGGTTTCTATAAATGGAAACCATGTGATTGACACATGATCGCTGTTGGATGATCACAAATTTGAAAAAAAAAACTTCACATTGTTGTAAACAAGTTGTTAGGTTTGATAGAATGCTTTGATTACATTTTATGGGAGATGTTACATTATTGATAAACGCCTCACAACAATATGTGTGGCCGTCTTGCTTCCCAGATCTGTTGGAGGAGCCACACGCAAACAAATGTACACTGTCTATTAATAGGATATAACACAGCAGGAGCTTTGATGCAGATGGTGTCCTATGTTCCTGTTTTGTGTTAAGATTTCTTTTATTCATAGCAAAAAAATCCAGAATTAGATATAAATATTTAGTTTGTTTCTATAACACATTTATTGTGTTTACATGTGTAATGGATTTTGATTTTTTTTCTTCGTAAGTTGTGTGAATGAATCAAGCAAAGAACGTGTATGTGCATGATTCTGTGATTTTCAAGGCCAATCAGAAACGTTGTAAAGCATTTCATGACCTGTATTTTAGAAATGAAAAGCATCCATATGAAGTTACAAAATTAATTTGAAATGAAAGCGTCAAACAAACAATGCTTTGTTCGGTGGTGTTGTTTATTCATTTTATGTTTTATTATTACACATGTATACAGTATACATGGTAATGTAATTTATTAATGCCTTTCAATAGATTATAGCAAGAAATTATTATCCCTTGACTTAAACTGATAGAAAAATTAGATAAATGAAAAAAATGATATAAAAAAAGTAAAAAGCTGTTTAAAGTGTACATATACATCAGAATATATCAATTTGCTTGTTTTTATATACAAACTATATAGAAAGATATATGTAAAAATTGAGTTTCAAATGAATTGGAATAGCTTTTGATTTTTGGCATTAACTGAAAGTACAGGTTGTGACCTGAGTGTTTGACCTTGACCTTTGCTGTATGCACATTTGGTTGTGTGTTTGATGGTGTGCACTTGGTAGTAACAAACCACTAGAGATAAAAATTATAAGTTATATTCAAATTATTAATTGAAGTAATTAAATATACAACTTAAACAAAAAATTGGAAATCAGTCATGAACATTTATTTGCATACTTTATCTTTATCAGTCATCATGATTAGTTGCAAAAAATATCCAACATAGTTTTGTCAAAATGTAATCATTTGATAATTTTTCAGTTATTCATCTGCTCCTGTTAGATGAAGTTAATTGATTTGCTTATTAACAATAATTTTACCTTGATGAAGTATTGTCTAGAAATGTAACAAATAAACGACAATGAGTAGACATGATTCATTGATATGATTGTTCAATATGAAAGAAGAGTAACTATGTATTTTATTACAATTATTCTTCCTGAATCAAAAGGTAAATGACTAATTAACGTGTGATTATGTCACTAATTGATCTAACAAGTGCAGTGACTGCCTATTAAAACACAAAAAGTCTTGCTGAACCAAATTGTTTACTGGGAAAAGTTTCTGAATGAAATGTGTTGACATCAAATTTATAACAGACCATTCAGATTTGGAAAAGGCAAAAATTGTGAATTTGGACCACATTACTTAGTTGGTGGCTATGTGAAAGAAAGGCAATGAGCTAATTATACTTGTAGGACAGTGATGTTAGCAAACTTTTTTAGACTTTAAGTTAAAACTGACAATCTTCTTTCCCATAAAAGAGATAGAGTAACATATCATGGTAGGTGCACTTATTAGATCAAATGTTGGATTACCTTTAATCATTTAAAGATTTTTTCTTAATATGGGGAATTTCAGTTAGCATTAAGAATAATGCATTATCCTCCAAAATGTGACTTCCTACAACATTTATGGCAAAATACCAAGTATGGGTATACATGTGTGCCTCAGTTGTACCATGTGTGGTACAACTACCACCATGTGTGACTCTGTGTGTCTCATATGTCCATGTGCTGTACATATGCCTACATTAAAAGTACACAAGATTTTTTAGCAAGGATGAGAAAGTAAGATTTTTTGTCTGCATGTTGAAATCAAGGCATGTAACACATGTGTCACTCACTAGACACATGGAAAGGAGCCACACATGTGTCTCGTACATGGTAGTTTGTCTTATGTTTATGGTTCTTTGCATAAGTTCATATCCTGATGTTTATGCTTGTACATAAGATGTAACCATATCCTTTTCTGATTCTCTGTACATCATCAGTTATCTATAGCAATATATATTTCCATAATGTAAAAATTCTGAACATCATGAGGTCCTCATTGGTTTTATTAATCACTGGTTTAATGTAGTTAGATATAATTTCTTTTCTGTCTTTTCCATAATCTTGACTTTTGACCTCAAACTTGATAGCATGGCCTTGAACTTTCTCTGGGTGTTGTTGTAGGTGATGAGCCAGAGGATGCAGATATGGAGGCACCGAAGATCTATGAGCCTATCCCCAGTCTACAGATACTACAGGAACGTCTGCTCGGCTACATGGAACAGTACAATGAGACCATCAGAGGAACCAAAATGGATATGGTCTTCTTCAAGGTACTTATCAGGTGTTGCTCAAAATCCTCTTGACCTTTGACCTGATGACCTGTGATCTATGACCTATGATATTTCATGAGTACTTGTGATCTATGACCTTTGACCAATAGTCTTCTATGATGACCTGTGATCTATGACCTATGATATTTCATGAGTACTTGTGATCTATGACCTTTGACCAATAATCTTCTATGATGACCTGTGATCTATGACCTATTATTTATGACCATTGATCTATGTGATCTATCATGATGACTTATAAATCTATGATCTTTGACCTATGGTCTGTCATGATTAATTGTGATTTTTGACCTTTGAGTTATATCCTATAATCTACATGGTATTTATCTGTGTTTTATAGGATGCCATGACAAATCTGGTGAAGATATCGCGTGTGATCCGTACTCCAAGGGGACACTCCCTATTGGTGGGTGTAGGTGGGTCTGGTAAGCAGAGCTTGACCAAACTGGCCTCCTACATTGCTGGCTACAAAACATTCCAAATTACCCTTACAAGGTTAGTGTAATAACATAAATGAGGTGTATGGCAGGGTGTGGTCAATTACCCTCATAGCACCCTCAACAAAATTGGGGTGTTGGTAGGGGGTAAGTTGATAATCATCATACTATCACTATAGATAAAGGGTTTCACAGCACAGCAGAAAAAAAATCAACATGTCTTTGATATTTAATGTCTTGTAATGAGGTAAGCATTACTTGATTATAATTTAAACACATTATTCAACAATGAAAAACTAAATGGTCTGGTTGCAAATTGTAAATTACAAATTTTTGAAATACAAGTTGATATCATGAATAATAATTTAGGTTTTATTTTTTTCAATCATTAATTTAGGGTTCAGTAAGATGTACTAAGATAAATATTGTGTATAAACTTGAATTAAACTGTTTGCTGCCTGCAGGAAGTAAGTACATGGCCTTGATTAGGTGTTGTTTTGGCTGAGTTGATCACAATTGGAGATTCAAAAAAGCTTAAAGTATTATCACAAAATCTTAAATCTGAGTCTGAGTAATAGATATTACAAACACATTTTCATGTGAACTGAAAACTACTACTCAAAATGTGTTCAGAAAATTTAATTTTCTGTTTTGGATTTCATTAGAGAAGTTCAGAATCCAGCAGAAATAGCATATCTATAACGGTGTTTGTGGTATCATTTACTTTTCTCAGAGCAACTTAGAAATAAATGTTCTGCATTGAAGTTTTGATTGTTCTGCATTGAAGTTTTGATTGTAACGCCAAAATTGGAAATGAAAGCCAAATATTAAATCTGCACTGTCAATATTCACACATAGTTTGTAGTAACATATACTGAAATTTTGCGCAGTGACTATCAGTATAAACAGATTATTTGAAGATGGTAGAGTTATCTCCCCATGATATGACTTTGAGGTAAACTTTTATATCACCTGATTATAATTTAAAAGATCATGAATGTGTCTATAATTTATATCACTGTTAAGCAGAGCAGTGTCACTGGTAAAGCATGCCTGGATTTTACATCATCAGTAACACAAATCACACATACCCAGTACAGTGTTTGTAGCCTGTGTCACATGCTCAATTGTAAGTCATTCACTGTATCTTCACAAGAATTGTTGCTTACCATACAAAGACATACTTTAATTTGTACTTCATGAAAAGTTACTTTCTGTGTTTAAAACATAGTGTAATTTCCTGAAGATTGCTGATTTCACTATGGAGGCCGTGTCACATTGAAATGTTGTTTCACTGTTATTTGAACGCTTTATATGGGTTTATGATTTACAATACACTCAATCATCATGTTTATCTATTGACACCAGACTCTTCAAATTTCTGTAAACTGAAGAAATTGATGTTTTAACAAACGTGCATGATAAAATAATGAAATGGAGATTTCATTAAAATATCATGAAGTTGGTTATTTAAAAGTTTTTAAAAGTAATTTTCTTTATTTTAGAGGGCAGTAAAAATATAAACACATAATGAAACAAATGTTTACCATTTCTACATGTATTTATGAATATATTTCAAAACAAAATATTTTCCATTTAGACAAATTCTGTATCAATAACAAATGGTCTAGAATCATGATATTTAGCTGGAAAATTTCTGGTATGAAGCCCTACAAAGTTTGCGAGATTGAATGACCTTGACCCACATTCAAGTTTACAAGGGTCAGATTTGTTCTAACCTTGAGATGTCTTCCCCATGCCTTTTTTGGTTGGTGATTAGGGTTGTAAAGTCCACAGTCGTCCTTCTTGTGTTGTAACTAGATCATGATGACCACTTCAGCAAGTTCATATTTTGGTTTTACTTGTGTCTTTGATTCTGGTGAAGTGAGTATAACATTTCATTTTTATAAAACCTATGACTTGGTACTGAGATTTGAAAATGTAGTTTTCACCGTTATTTATACTTACCATGATATTGTATACAAATAGATCCTACAACGTCGGCAATCTCATGGACGACTTGAAGTTCCTGTATCGCACGGCTGGACAACAGGGCAGTGGTATCACTTTCATCTTCACAGACAATGAAATCAAGGATGAAGGCTTCCTCGAGTACATGAACAACATTCTGTCTTCAGGAGAGGTAACTTTTCTGTTATCACTATACTCTTATATGTAAATCGTGGTTTCCTTGCAGAACCACCCTACTATTTGTTGTATCTGTGTTCTCCATCACTGATATGTGGACTACAATATTCATGCAATTAAAAATTCTAGTTGCTTTTAGTTGATTACAATGAGTTTCACTTTATTTTGGAATTTTCAGGAAAAATTAAGGAAATTTAGCTAATTTAGGTATTGGATAAAAAACTTCCCAGTTTTAAATTAGAAATTTTGGAAATAATGTCTGTAACATATTTCATGTAGTTATTGGATTACCTGTATACTGGGTATATTATCTGGGTATTCCCTTAGAAAGTTATCTCATCTTTATCCCGTCTTTCAATCTACTATTCCCTACGACTAAACAGTAAAGTTTTTCCACTTTCCAGGTATCAGGTCTGTTTGCTCGAGATGAAATGGATGAAATATTGCAAGAACTGATTGCTGTTATGAAGAAAGAATTTCCTCGCAGGGTTCCGACCAACGAGAACCTCTATGACTATTACTTGTCCAGATGCCGACAAAACCTTCATGTGGCTCTCTGCTTTTCACCTGTTGGAGAAAAGTTCCGCAGCAGGTCCCTGAAATTCCCCGGTTTGATTTCTGGTTGTACCATGAATTGGTTCCAAAGGTGGCCTAAGGATGCCTTGATTGCGGTATCCAATCATTTCCTGGCTGAATTTGATATTTCCTGCACGGCTGCAGTAAAACAGGCTGTGGTCAGCACAATGGGAATTTTCCAGGTACAAAATGTTTATGTGAAATTGTGTTTTTTTGGTTGAATTCTGATGTTGAATGACTTTCAGCTTTTTTAACATACACCTTGGTTTAAATGTACTTTATTGCCTATTTTATTGTTGATTCTTTCTGTCTCCAAATATATGTTTAGATGTTATTTTAAGAATCATTGAATTAATTTTGAATTATAATGTGTTTCAGGACAACGTTGCAGAGACTTGTATAGACTATTTCCAAAGGTACAGGCGTCAGGCATATGTCACCCCCAAATCCTACCTCTCTTTCATTGCTGGCTACAAGACCATCTATGCTGAGAAGCGAGGAGGCATTCAGTTGCTTGCAGATAGGATGAACACAGGTACAGTATCCACTCTCGTATATACTGTAAATCTGTTTAAACTAGACAATTAGGTGGTACTGGGTAAGTCGCTGGTCCCTGTATTTTCAATATGATTTATTCTGTAAAAGAGTTTTTTTTAAAGAAATGAATTTTCTTTGCCTGACATAAAGACACTTTTGCTGACTGCAGACCTAAATGAGCTGACCTTTCCCTGTAAATTTAATGTGAGAGAGAATGGAAAATGCATTACTGTCAAATAACCTGACAGGAATTGAACTCCGGCCTGCCGCTGATATGATAGCCCATGTCTCTTCTGAGCATGCACTGTCAGCTGAGTTACTAAGACAATATTTAACACTATGTACATGTCATACCAACCCATTTCTTCACCAATATCATCATGTTTCCATTTTCTGTCTAGGTCTGGCCAAACTTGTTGAAGCCACAGAGTCTGTCCATGAACTGTCCAAGGAGTTGGCAGTTAAGGAGAAAGAGCTTGCTGTTGCCTCGAAAAAGGCAGACAAAGTGCTGGCAGAGGTGACAGTGTCTGCTACTGCAGCCGAGAAAGTGAAGGCACAAGTACAGACAGTCAAAGACAAAGCACAGCATATTGTGGACACTATTTCAGTAAGTGATAGGTTTGCTTTTTATCAGGTACATTGAACTGTGTATTTTAGTATAAAAATATGAAATCAAATCCTTACCTTTACTTTTAAAATCTTTTTCTGACATAAAGAATTTTAAAGACAAGAAATTTAATGTGAATTCTTCATTCACTATATTGATCCTGTTTCAAAGCAAAGTCTTTTGATTAACTCATTTTACTCACACTGTGCTGATTTAAATAATTCATTTTGAATTCGTTGCAATTTTAGCTTCAATTTTAATCAACCAGCTAGTTTCATGTAAAATGTATGGAAGAATATTAAACTTCATTAATCTAAGTAAAATGGTCTGTGTAGGTTGACAAGGCAGCAGCTGAGAAGAAATTGGAAGCTGCTCGCCCAGCCCTGGAGGAGGCTGAGTCAGCCCTTCAGTCCATCAAGCCAGCTCACATTGCTACAGGTAAGAATCATCTATGAAGAAAGATATAACTGATCTTGAGATCCTCTATATTTCAAGAAAAGGAATTCATATGTTATTGTACTATATTCCTGAGGAGGTTCTTTTTCATATTTCAGTGAGAAAACTTGCCAAACCACCCCACTTGATCATGCGTATCATGGACTCTGTGCTACTGCTCTTCCAGAGGAAAATAGACACTGTGACGCCCGACCCAGAGAGACCTTGCCCCAAACCCTCTTGGGGAGAGGCTTTAAAACTTATGGGAGGTGGAAAGTTTTTAGATGGGCTGCTTAACTTCCCTAAGGTATGTTCAATGGTCGTAAAAAGTTATTTCGAGAGTAAGTCACTGAAAACCTTAAATTTGAGGGATTCTTATCAATATCTAACTATGCTGTCAAAATAAAATCTTCCAAAAAATCATTAACAATATTCTTGGTTGTTTAGAACTGTTGCTAACAATTTGTTTAATTTCCAAAGATTTTTCCAAATATCACCAGAAAGTTGTTCTTTGTGGTATTCTCATGTAATGAGTCTTATTTGGCAGCAAATGATTTTCTCTATTTCTCAGAAAAGTATGTAGATAATTCTTTTTATTAAATTGTTTTACTGAACTTTGGCAATAAATCTTCTAAATACCAATATATGTACCATGAGTGATATTAATGTTAGACTATAATACAGTGTGAAACTCTCTGAGCAGCCACACAATAATGTCTGCAGAAACCACCTTTAAATTGTCAATATTGACTTTTAGGACACCATCACAGAGGAAACTGTGGAACTGTTGAAGCCATACTTAGAAATGGAAGATTATAATATGGAAAATGCCAAGAAAGTGTGTTCCGATGTTGCTGGACTTGCAAACTGGACACAAGCTATGTCCTTCTTCTTTGGCATCAACAAGGAGGTTTTGCCCCTCAAGGTAAGTGGTTCAATGTCAAATTTAGGAGGTTTTGTTAGTCAAGGTCAGTGGTTCAGGGTCAAATTCAGAAGGTTTTTCCCCTCGGAATCAGTAGTTCAGGGTCAAACTCACTAGTTTTTACCTTTCAAGGTAAGTTTTTCGAGGTCAAATTCAGGAGGTTTTGCCCTTCACAGTCTGTTGTTCAGGTTCAAATTAAGGAGGTTTTGCCCTTCACAGTCTGTTGTTCAGGTTCAAATTCAGAGGGTTCTGTTCTGGAAATCATTGATTCAAGGTCAGATTCATTAATTCTAGTTTGTTGTTTCAAACTTGGTGTCATTATTTCAATGCTGACATATCACAGAATCACAGAAAAACAGTAAATTTATATTCTAAGATTCAGTAAGAGGATGAGGATAGTATCAGTGTGTTTGATAGCAAGCAAGTCCGGGAGGATGGACAAGACAAATATTCTTGGACTCAGAGAAGAGAATGGGGTTATTGATTAAGCAAATATTAATTTGTTGCAATTAATTCCAATTATTGTCATAGTGATATTTAAATCAATTAGTTTTCCACTTGTTTGAGACTTTCCACCTATCTAAAAACTACTTCTAACAAAGGTGTTAAGATGTGTAATAAGATATAGGTGTCTTGATACATAAAGCATTATTTTGGGGAGATTGATAGAATCATTCAGGAGGTGAGATAGGTAGATCCCAACACGAATGGAAAGATGATTTAGTTAGCAAACAGAAGGCTTGCCAGGTATTTGCAACTTAAACATCTTTTCTTACTGGCTTTGGCTTTATAAGGTACTTGTTTCGGTTGTCCCAATGCTTCACACAGTCGACATGATTCAGTTGTTACTGTGATGTCAGTAAATCGTCCTGACAGGGGAATCCTTCTGTCTCAACCAAAGGGTGAGACAAGGGAATCTCACACCAATAAAAATATTGGATGTACGTGTTCAGGGTAAGAGAAAACCTGACCTAAGAGCACATCTTTTGAAAGAACTATCAGCTGCCAGTATTTTAATCTTTACTTGTGTACACAGGCTAATCTAGCAGTTCAGGAAGCAAGGCTGACAGTTGCCATGAATGACCTGAACGAGGCGCAGGCAACCTTGGATGAAAAGGAGAAGGAGCTTGCAGCCGTACGAGCCATGTACGATGCTGCCATGCTGGAAAAACAGGTAACATAATCTTGTATGTTACATTACCTGGTAGTGAATTTCTGTTTGCTGCAAATTTTCAAAAGGTATTCCAATATCTTCAAATGATTATTCTGCCTTTAATGAATGGGAAACTGCTCAGTTTGAATGTGTGTTTGTATTATTATGTCACTGTATATACTACAGTCAGGAATTTTATCTAACTCGGGGTTCCCTCTTCTCTAATGCTTGTCACTCCAATTTCTCATTTCATCCAAATTGGACAAAATATGTATATGTCTCTTTTGATAAAAATAATTATCCAGGATATTGCTTGTATTTGATAAAATATGAAAAGAATGTCTTTGAAACTTTGCGTAATGCATTCATATTAAGTGATGTTTTACCTACCCTTTCTTGTTTTTGATAAGGATATGTCTAAAAAATTTGATAAAGTTTCTTTTTGAGATAAATTGAATATGTGAAAGACATATATAATGACTTTATTTCTTCAGACCCTTTTGGATGATGCAGAAGCTTGCCGGAGAAAAATGACCAATGCTACAGCTTTGATTGAAGGCCTTGCAGGTGAGAGGATCCGCTGGACGGAAGCGAGCAAGGGTTTTGCGTCACAAATTCATCGATTGGTTGGTGACGTCCTGCTCTGCACGGGCTTCTTATCCTACACAGGACCCTTTAATCAAGAGTTCCGAACTCTCATCATCCGCAACTGGAAGAAGGAAATGATTGCAGGAAAGATTCCTTTCAGTGAGGTACAATTCGGTTTTACTAGTAATTGGAGTTTAAAACTATCAATAGATGAGATACACATTGAGTAGACATAGTTAGTGTACTTAGGTGAAGATTTTCTGTTTTTACAGAAACTAGTAAGGGATTCATCATTCCATCATATATAACACTGATAGGAACATTTATGTATACCATTTAGTTCATTGTGCATATCTTTACCATACATTGGAATTGCAGCAGTGTAAGGCTTTACAAGATAGTAGTGTATTACCAGCTCATGAATTGCCAGCTGCAGTAGAGTAAACAAATTGAGATTGCCTCTCCTTGTCAAAAGCTGAATATTGAAATTGATAAATACAAACATTGCCTCTCCTTATCAAAAGCTGAATATTGAATACAAACATTGAAGTGCTTTTGGTCAGTACTTCTGGACATTATGAATGCTATCACCTGCATTGATAAAGACAAATGATTGTGAGTTTGCCTTTATCCAGTCCGGTTTCATACTGCCAATGAATACCAACTGAATACAGTTCAATGCTGAAATTTCGTAATAGGATCTAATTATACTAACAAACATGCATGTAGTTTCAGCAGACTTTAAATTTGAATATATTGCTCTGTTGTCATGGAAACCATCAATTTTGTTTCATTGCATCTACTATAGGACTTAAACATCATCAGCATGCTGGTGGACAATGCTACCATCAGTGAATGGAGTCTCCAAGGACTTCCCAACGATGAACTCTCCATACAGAACGGTCTTATTGTCACCAAAGCTAGCCGTTTCCCACTATTGATTGACCCTCAAGGTCAGGGGAAATTCTGGATCAAAAAGAGGGAAGGAGGAAATGAACTTCAGGTGAGAATGAAGTATCAGAGTGATTAAATGATGTTTTGATTCATTGTTATGACACGCCCCCTACTTAACGTCATTACCTCTATAGACTTCGTTTCTTCAGAGATGTTGATAAAAGCTGATACAGAGTTATGATAGGTTTTTGCTTCGAGCTTCTGTGGTCGCATGCTTATTGTATTATTTACAGAAAATCTTAATGTTATTAACATCAGGAAAATTCATGCAATGCAGAATTTTTCGAGATTTTTTTAAGATCGTTGGAAAATCTATTGAAATTTGTAAAACAATAAAAGCATTGAAACATAAACCAGAATCCAGTCTTGATAGTGGTGATATGCTTTGTTTTAGATCACGGCACTGAATCATAAGTACTTTAGGACCCACCTTGAAGACAGTCTGTCTTTAGGACGTCCACTCCTGATTGAGGACGTCGGAGAGGATCTTGACCCTGCATTGGACAATGTCCTTGAGAAAAATTTCATCAAATCTGGATCAACATTCAAAGTAAGTCAGATTAAACAATTGAAAATCAATTTTATTATTCAAATCTCTCTTTTGATACTTCCATCTATCCTTAAACATTTCTTGTTATTACTATTTCTGGAGAAACATTGGATGGATAATTCTCAAAGTTCATTTGTATGTTATGGGTCCTCTTGGTTAGTAGTTGTACATACTGCGTTTTCATCAAAAAACAACATGGCCAACTGGTGGTCATCTTGAATTTCAACAATTATGATTTATTATTTCTTGGGAAATAGTGGATGAATCTTTCTCAGATTTCATATGTAGGTTTGGTTTGGTTCCAAGTTGTGACCTTTTGATTTTGGAACTGATCACAAAAACAAAATTTGCTGACAGGTTACCATCTTGCATTCATTGATCACGATGGTGATCCCAATGGTGAATGCCAAGATTCTTATGGGAATACTTGCACATGATGATATGACTCCTGGTAATTTTGTGAGGCTTGTCCCAGGATGTTTTGTGAATTGCTTTACTACAAGTTTGACTCCTACATTGGTAACAGTTACAGAAAATTAACACACCAAAATAAGACATTCTTCATCTTGTTCCATAAATCTCATTTAAACAGGAAACTCTTGTAAATTTCTCAATACTGGGTTACTCCAGCTGAAAAAAGCAACTTATCTGGTTGTAACTTGTAATTGGTGAATGTGTGATTGTAGGTGAAAGTGGGAGACAAAGAAGTAGATGTGATGAAGGGTTTCACCATGTACATCACCACCAAGCTGGCTAACCCAACTTATACCCCAGAAGTGTCAGCCCGAACCTCTATTGTGGACTTCACTGTCACCATGAAGGGTCTAGAGGACCAACTGTTGGGAATTGTCATCCTTACAGAGAAACAGGTATGCAGAGGAGGATTTCAAATACAGACAGACCTAATTGTTTTCCCTTTCTGATGATAATGAGTTTTAAGATTTTCAAGATCTTATCAATATTAGCATTTTCATCCTGTTTTTTTTTTACCCGAAATCTAACATTTAAGTGTTTGCATAAGCAAACAGGGTCTTAGTATTTTATGCTCTGCAGGTGTCTATTCATTCATAAACTGCTTTTCAACATGGATGTAACACAATTTTTGGTGCCTTTCAAGGAACTTGAATCGGAACGTACCAACCTGCTGGAGGAAGTGACAGCTAACAAACGTAAGATGCAGGAACTTGAGGACAACCTGTTGTACCGTTTAACATCAACTCAGGGCTCCCTTGTGGAAGATGAGTCCCTTATTGAGGTGCTCCGCATTACCAAGACCACCGCTGAGGAGGTCAGCGAGAAACTCAAGATTGCAGCGGAGACAGAGATCAAAATCAACTCTGCCAGAGAGGAGTTCCGCCCGGGTATAACATTATTTCATAAAGCTTACAAGGTGTTTTCAAGAATAACAATATCAGATACAAAGATTTCATCTACACAACCCTTCAAGTGATAAAAGAGGTTAAAATTATGATAGCATGAGGGAAAAGAAATGTATGAATGCTGTAATTGTACTTGATTTTTCTTGAATGGTAGTTATCTTTTCTCTTTGTACAATCGACCACATTTTGTCATTTCATTAATCAGTACTTCCATTTTTTCTGTCCAAGAACCCTTAACGCCTTTTTGTTTGTCTGTTGAATTCTGTGCCATCAATTTATTACATCATAATTTAAACAGCTCCCTTTTTTTCTTGTCTCAGGATTGAAACATCAGTTTAATCCAGCAAATATTCACAAACGATTTGTTTTTGCAATGTCCATGTATTTGAATAGTCATAATAATGCATTACTCAAGATATGTTGACTTCATCACACATTTAACAAGGATTGTAAAATTTGTGGAAATGTTATAAGCAACCATGGAGTCAAATCACAAAAAAAATTAAATCACTTCTAAAAATAGATCGGCTTACAGTATTCAAATCCTGTGTATCTCCATTTTGTGTGTTTTAGTGGCTTCACGAGGCAGCATCCTGTACTTCGTGATTGTGGAGATGAGCATGGTCAACACCATGTACCAGACATCTCTGAAACAGTTCCTGGAGATTTTTGACCTGTCAATGGCCAGATCTCAGAAGTCTCCAATCACTTCCAAGCGAATCAACAACATCATTGAATATTTGACATTTGAAGTGTTTGCATACACAGCTCGTGGTCTCTACGAGTCAGACAAATTCCTGTATACCATGTTGTTAACCGCCAAAGTAGAGCTGGCTGCAGGCAGGATTAGACCTGAAGAGTTCCAAGTATTCATCAAAGGTAAAGAGCAACTTTTTATCCCCCCTGCCTCTTATTGTACACCTCCTCAAATTAAGAAGACCATTGATTAAGGTTGAAGGGTCAAAGGCCAGTTTTTACCTTGTCTTATTTTGCTACCAGGTGGTGCTGCTTTGGATCTGAACGCAGTCGAACCTAAACCAAGGAAATGGATCATGGATATGACGTGGCTTAACTTGGTGGAACTCTCTAGGCTTCCGCAATTTTCACAGATTTGCGGACAGGTGTCGCGTAATGACAAGGTATGGATGACTCCATGGCAAGTCTTATCGTTGTTAGTACTGATCAACTTGTATAGATATACAGGGACTCATTTTGAAGACCTTGCAAGATAATTTAAAATGCCAAAAACATATGCTTGATTTTCAATGAATTATTTAAAATATGAAACAGTATGTGAAGTAGGAATATTAGATCTATAGAGAACTTATTATTAGGAATTTTTTTCCTTCTTATTTTAAGACATTGATGAGAGCTTCTGTATTATATACTGTAAAGTAGATATAATGTTGATTTGTTAAGTTATTTAAGAGAAAATGACTTTAAGAAAATCTTTTTAGAATAAGATGAAATACATCAAAAATATTTTGAAAATCTGAGAGATAGATTATATATAAAAATCTTGACTTGCTATGGTCAGGCATGGAAGAGCTGGTTTGATGAGGACGCGCCTGAGGAATGTACTATCCCTGACGGTTATAGTACCACACTGGATACATTCCGTAAGCTGCTCCTCATCCGAAGCTGGTGCCCAGACAGAACCATTCCGATGGCCCGTAAATACATAGCCGAGGCTATGGGTGTCAGGGTAAGTTTGTGGGAGTGTCTCTAATGTGTTTCCATGTCCACTTTTATTGTCTCTATTAGAGTTCTTTGCTGAGTTTACAAAAATGTTTTTTAACTACTTGTAAGTTCTTAAGTAACAAATTTCAAAGATTTTAATGTGTCACAAATAAAGGAGAGGTTGGTATTCTTTTGACTGATTTTGTGCATAACAGTTTACAGTTTGTGATCCTGACATACTTTTATCATTATGCAGTGTCCAATAAATTAAAACAGATAATATGCATTACTGGTTACAGACTATGGGATTCAAGTTGACTTTTGATTGTGTGTTTTACAGTTTGCAGAAGGTGTGATCTTGAACCTTGATAAGATGTGGGAAGAATCCCAGCCCAGGACACCAATGGTGTGCTTCCTGTCGATGGGATCCGATCCCACAGACAACATTCTGTTGGTGGGAAAGAAAAAGAATGTCAAGTGTAGTGCGATCTCCATGGGACAAGGACAAGACGTCCATGCGCGACGTCAGATGGCTATCTCCATGGCAGAGGGACAATGGGTCCTCCTCCAGAACTGCCATCTTGGTCTTGATTTCATGGACGAACTCCTTGACACTGTAAGTTGATGATGGAATGAAATGTCATAGAAAAGCAGATTCACTCTCAGGGGAAAGAGGTTTTTGTTGAAAAAGATAAAAAATGTAATTTGCTGCAGTTTTCCCTCAACTTCTATTTGCCTTTGCGGTTTTTAAATATTACAGACTGGAAATGATTCACATTCTAACAATGAATCTCAGACAAAATAAAGCTGTGTTTTTAAGGCTGATTTTGTTCCATAGTATAGAAATAATTCACTTTAGACTGAAAGCTGCTTTATACAAATCGTAAAAATAGATTGATTAGAAAGAATGTCAGTGTAATATATCTATATGATGGTTGTAGGTTCTAACTACGGAGACTGTCAATGAAGGATTCAGGCTCTGGCTCACAACTGAACCTCATCCTAAATTCCCCATCAACATGTTGCAATCTTCTATTAAATTCACCAATGAGCCCCCACAAGGAGTGAAGGCAGGTCTCAAAAGGACTTATGCACTCATATCACAGGTAAACAAAATTAGATCTTATATGAAGAATCTGTTCACTCCACAAGTGTTCAACAGATTGACTTGTAAATGAGATAGAAAAAGAAATAAAGTTTTATTTTAAAGTTAAATAACAAGAAGATAGTCATCACAGAATTCAAGATAATGGTTTTGACTGAATGCTTTCATGAACAAGAAAATAATTCCAATTATTTAGAAGTTAGCAAAGTTACAGAAGAAAATATAGAAATAAATATTATACTATGATAAGTAACTATGATTACACATAAATGTTATTGCTAATACACTTAACAGCTAAACTTTTAAGGAAGTAATAAATGTTATTGCTAATACACTTAACAGCTAAACTTAAAGGAAGTATTTGTTTTTTTTAAATATGTTATTAGAATAAAGTGTATCTTTATTTTATTTTTCTACTCACAGGAACAGTTAGAATACACCAACCTACCGCAGTGGAAGCCCATGCTGTATGGTGTGGCCTTCCTTCATACTACGGTACAGGAACGGCGTAAGTTCGGGCCCATTGGATGGAACATTCCATATGAATTTAACCAGGCTGACTTTTCAGCTACGGTGCAGTTCATACAGAACCATCTCGATGACATGGACCCAAAGAAGGTAATGTCAGACTCCATCAAACCTAGGACTACCTATCTAGAATGAGGTAGATTTTTAATGTCAGACTCCATCAAACCTAGGACTACCTATCTAGAATGAGGCAGATTTTTAATGTCAGACTCCATCAAACCTAGGACTACCTATCTAGAATGAGGTAGATTTTTAATGTCAGACTCCATCAAACCTAGGACTACCTATCTAGAATGAGGTAGATTTTTAATGTCAGACTCCATCAAACCCAGGACTACCTATCTAGAATGAGGTAGATTTTTAATGTCAGACTCCATCAAACCTAGGACTACCTATCTAGAATGAGGCAGATTTTTAATGTCTTACTCCATCAAACCTAGGACTACCTATCTAGAATGAGGTAGATTTTTAATGTCAGACTCCATCAAACCTAGGACTACCTATCTAGAATGAGGTAGATTTTTAATGTCAGACTCCATCAAACCTAGGACTACCTATCTAGAATGAGGTAGATTTTTAATGTCAGACTCCATCAAACCTAGGACTACCTATCTAGAATGAGGTAGATTTTTAATGTCAGACTCCATCAAACCTAGGACTACCTATCTAGAATGAGGTAGATTTTTAATGTCATCTATCAAACCTAGGACTACCTATCTAGAATGAGGTAGATTTTTAATGTCAGACTCCATCAAACCCAGGACTACCTATCTAGAATGAGGTAGATTTTTAATGTCAGACTCCATCAAACCTAGGACTACCTATCTAGAATGAGGTAGATTTTTAATGTCAGACTCTATCAAACCTAGGACTACCTATCTAGAATGAGGTAGATTTTTAATGTCAGACTCCATCAAACCCAGGACTACCTATCTAGAATGAGGTAGATTTTACTTTCACATTGATTTTTATTTGGTTATTTAGGTATACAGATTGATGAAGGAATCAGCAATATTTATTTTTTTTAAGTAGAGACTTTGTTATATTTAACTTTATATGAGCTTTTCTATTTTCGATCACAATTTGGTTAATTTAGAATGTTTTGCAGCAATTTTGATATTGTTTTTTTTAATTTATTAACTACATTCATTCAGTTTTAATGAATTCATTATATTTTGTTATTCATGCATTCACATTCATTCATTCATTTGCTCATTGAAAATTAATGTTTATTTGTTTCGTTTTTCCACCCATCATGACCTTTCAATTGATTCAATAGTCTTACCGATCCAATGTAAGTCTGGCATGTATATGTGTTTGTAGTTGGAAATCGTCACTCTCACCTCATAACTACAATCACGATATACAGGGACTTTAGATAAAATAAAATGTATCATCCCTGTAATTCTCACTTAATTAATTACTGTCGTTAAGTGGCCAATCATTATATCATTTTCTACTTGTCATTTTTATATTCCTCTTAAATGTGATATTTATTTATAAAATTGCACGATTTAAATTTACAGGAGCTTTCTTTTTCGTTCCGTATACTGCATTATAAATCTTAATTATTGATCAAATGCTTATGAAAATAGTCAGTTCAGCTGGTACATTATTCAAACTGATTGTGTTGCTATATGGTGTGATGACAGTTATAGCTGCCATCTTGACAGTAATTGTCATGTTTTTGGTTACGTTCATCAGACCCGACTTAGTAAAGCTGCCAAGGTAGAGTTACCATGGTTACCACATCTCACCAAATTTGTCCCAAATTAAAATATTTGTTCACTGTTAACACAGAAATTTGTGCATGCTCGTAGAATGCCATCAATGAATTAAATTGTTATGATAAATGGATGACTAGTGTCTTTCAATCCTCATTATGTGAATTTTGAGTGAGTTCATTGATATATGTGAAGATTTCATTATGTTGTTTATCTGCTAATATTTACACTTGCCCCCAAATCCTCCCATTAAAATGTGTCGAGGAAGCAATATGTGTTGTGAGGCTGTGATGCCATTTGATCACATGACCATTGTTGTTGTGATGTCATCATTCCCAGAAGTAATAATGAAAGCTAAAGCATAAAGTTAAACGCACGTAATGAATGTTTTAGCAAATGGTGTTATGGTGCTGTGAAACACTTTGCTATTGCTAAAATGCAAAGTTTGTCAGCAATAGCATTGCGTGTTATCGTGCCAGAATACCATTTGCTGAAACATCTATTCCTTGATAATATTGTGTCAGTTGTGATTTGTCAACGTCTCAAGCCTGTTTTGTTAAAGCATGTGTATGGAATACATCTCGTAACACACCTGTAAACAAAATTTTCCAATTATAAAAAAAAAATTAATTTGTCAAGGTAGTATTTTGTGAATATAGTAATTACTATTGTCATATTCACAGGTATGTGTTTGTGTTACAAGTAAAGAGAGAAGTGTTAGAAATCCCTGGCAAGTTGCCTCTGTCCTTAAAAAAGATACATTATGTTATATAGTTTTCTTTGACTTGTGTTAAAATGAATTTTCCATCAAAATTACCCCAAAGATAAACACCATGTAAAGATAACAAATATCAGTTGATATTGAGTTTTACTGGTAATTCTTTACAAAATTATACTTTAAAGTTGTTTATGGAAACAGGAAGGTTTTCAATTTTCCTTTTTTATGATCTTTTTAGTGTGTTAAATCTTGATAAATATCCAATTTGATTAAATACAGATCTTAATTTACAACTCTAATATTTTCTGTCAATATACGGAAAGTATTGGAGTGACAATTTAGCTCTGTATTGTGATCAGATTTATAAATATCAACACCTCATCAACAAATTTATTTGTTTTGTTTTTTTGTAAATATAAAGTATACATCATTCTAACATTGAGATAATTTACGAATGACAAAATTAAGAATTTTTTAAAAAGCAGGTATTAAACCAGTGAAATAACATAATGTGCCCTCAATAACAATGTCACCAGAACGTGGTGTTCCATGACGGAGATTTTAATTGTAAAATTTTTAAACATTTTTCAAGAACATATCTGTATGTATCTCTATGGGATGCATTGTTGCGTTCTATCAAACCCTTTTCTTCTAACTTATTTCCATCTCAGTATGTCCCAACTTTGTACTCGCTCAACAAGTCTACATTCCTTTCATTCATATTTGTTTTACCTCCAACTTTATTTTACACTCAATATTCTATGGAAACCTGTTTAATGTGACAATCATGGTTTTAGGGTGTGTCTTGGAGCACAGTAAGATACATGATTGGTGAGATTCAGTATGGTGGACGTGTCACAGATGACTACGACAAACGCCTCCTCAACACCTATGCGAAGGTCTGGTTTAGTGAGGGCATGTTTGCCGAGTCCTTCAGTTTCTATACGGGTAAGTTTTGCTGAAAATTTGAGTTTCACAATAAGCAAATTCCATATGGTAAAAAAAAATGTTACATTTTTATTCTGCTGAAAAATTGTGTTTGTTCAAAACAGTACTATTTCATAGGTACAGTTGATGTAACAGATTGAAAATTACCCATGAAATCACCCGAAACTGAAAATTTATTTCCCATTCTGAACAGTCCATTCTGCCATGAACCCATGAATTTTTGGAGTATTTAAGGAATTAAGAAAAATTTTAAATACATGAAAATTAATTTTAGAGTAACCTTGCTCCTGTTAGCTCATATTCCAAAGTAACAAAAGCTGAAATATCAACTGATTATTGAATAGACGTTCTTACATCACAACCAGTTAGAAAAATTATATGTAATGTTACCTTCATCAGGTGCTTTACACTGATCATTTGTCTGATGAAGGTGAAGGTCATTGAAATGTCATACATCATTATCTAACTGGTTGTGATATAAAAACGCCAATTTGATATGCATTACTAACCTGAAGAAAATGTTCTGATATGGTCTGACTGTTATAAGATGTTATGAGAGTTAGGTGATGGAACCATTGGATGATATTGATTTGAGTATATGTTTTTTCCATACTATTTCCCCCACCCCCTTGGTTATGACCTGTGACTAGAGACCATTTTAATCAATGATGTCCAAACAAATTTAAAATTAGCAGGATAGTAAAATAATGAATTAAATTGCGTCATACAGCAGTTTCATCTACGAAAATCTGTCATCAAAATACATGTGATTCAAAATTACAAATCCATTTTCAAGTAGGATTGAACATTTCATTTCAGTATTAAATTTATTTTGTAATTTGTGTTGTTATTTGTATTGTATTACAGGATACAAAATCCCTAAGTGTAAGACCATTGACGAATATCGTAACTACATTGAGGGCTTACCACTGCAGGACTCGCCGGAATGTTTTGGTTTACATTCCAATGCTGACATTACGTAAGTGAAATCTGAGCTGTCCTGTTATGGACCTATAGACCATTGCTAATCAGTAAATCTGCATATACTCCTGGAAGTCTCATTAGTGAGCTTAATTTTTATTGGCTGTCAATAACGTTTTTGTTAGTGAAGTAAAATCTGACAGCCTTCTGTGAGGTACCTTAATGTACTCCACAAATTACGGGATCTCATCTCTTTGAATAAAATCTTTCATTCATTTAAAAGATAACTTTGCTGTCTTTCTTGTAACCCAATTCCTTACTATTTTACAGTTATCAGACCAATACAGCCAACACTATGCTGGAGAACATCGTAAACATCCAGCCAAAGGATACTGGAGGTGGTAGTGGAGAGACAAGAGAGAGCGTCGTTTACAGACTGGCAAATGACATGCTGGAAAAACTGCCCAATGACTATATACCCCACGAGGTAAGTTTGTGCAGACACTGATTATCACTAGGTCTATGGACAAAAGCCACTTAATCTTTCTACCAAATCTTACTAAACAGTTGAACATCATAATGATGCCATCATTTTGATTCTTTTTTCCTGGAAGGCATGCCCTCTATGGTATAATTGTTTGAGGGAAGGGGGTTTGTGCATCTATGCATCTGTGCACGAGTACATTTAGTACATCGAGTACAACATGTCTCATGAATCCATCGAAAGCTAGGCTTGATATTTACACCACAGCATCACCACACCATGCAAGGTCTAAACTTGGTTAGATCTTTGTCAATTTGAAAGGTCAAAGGTCATATGATAAGTTTTAGATCAGAAGAAAAAGATGAAAGTTTGGTGTATATCTTTGTGAACCTCGGCTGATTTTGTTTGTAAATATCTTTAATTTGTAATTTCAGACCTCTTATCAGCTTACATATTTCATTACAGGTCAAAGATCGCTTGAGAAGGATGGGAAATCTGCAGCCCATCAACATCTTCCTTCGTCAGGAAATTGACCGCATGCAGAAGGTCATCACGTTGGTCAGAACCACACTGGTTGACCTGAAGCTTGCCATTGATGGTACCATTATCATGAGTGAGAATCTGCGTGATGCACTTGACAACATGTTCAATGCACGTGTCCCCACAAATTGGAAGAAGATTTCCTGGGAGTCAGCCACACTTGGGTTCTGGTTTACAGACCTGCTGGAGCGAAATTCCCAATTCCATACCTGGGTGTTTGAAGGTCGTCCAATGTCGTTCTGGATGACTGGATTTTTCAACCCTCAGGTATGCTGTTTGGTTGGTTACAGGTTTTTGGTTGGCATGGCTTCTCCTATTGCTAGCTATCTTGTTACGGACCAGCATCAGTGTTTAGGTGTCATGTTTGTAGGTGTCCTTTACTGTGGATAGCCAGTTGAATGATGATTTCTGTTCAGCATAAAACAATTGCCTATAAAAAATACTTACGATAAACATAAAGACATTGGAAAATCAAATATTCTAACAAATTTCTCAAATTTCATGGTTTCTCAAAACTAATTCAAGGGCATTGGTTTTTGTAGATAAATAGTACTGGCTCTCATGAGCAAAGCTTTGGCAATGAAGATTATTGATTTTTTTCAATATTGTGTAATACTATGTGAACCCTCCATGGTAAATTAATATATTTGTGATTGTAGGGTTTCCTAACTGCAATGAGACAAGAGATCACTCGAGCCCATAAAGGCTGGGCTTTAGATACTGTCATCCTTGATAATGATGTTACCAAGATGATGAAGGAAGATCTTACGTCACCTCCCAGTGAAGGTAATCAATTAGACATCGCTTATACTTATACCAGAATTGAACATTCTTTGTTATGTTCTGTTCTGCCCTTTTTTGATAGAAACAACACAATGAGACTTTAATTTTACTGAGAGTTATTAAAGCTCCTGGTATTATATTTGACAATCTCTTCATAAATATTTAGAAGAAAATCTTTAGTAAGTTCAAAGCAAATGCCACAACTTCTGAAGTTTATAAAATTGTGGAGTTGTTTTTTGGTCACAAATTTTTTCTTAAGCTGTTACAAGATATAGATGAAGGGCTATAAAATGCTTCTATAAATATCACTTTTGATGGATGATGAGATTTTTTATCTATCTCATTTGAAGTAAATAGTTATATGATATTTTTTAAATGACCTTAAAGACCTGTACTCATTTTTACTTCTCACGTTTCAGGTGTCTACGTTTACGGTTTAATTCTCGACGGAGCTGGCTGGGACCGTAGATCTGCTCGCTTGATAGAACCTACTCAGAAGGTTCTATACACGCCATTGCCTGTCGCTCATGTGTTCGCTACGAACCAGGAGAAGCAAGGCAAAGCTCAGAATCTGTATGATTGTCCCGTGTACAAAAAGCCGCGTCGTACAGATCTGACCTACATTTTCCCGCTAGCTCTGAAGACGAACAAAAACCCTGATCACTGGACACTCCGAGCTGTCGCTTTGCTCTGCGACACCAAGTAAATTGGAGGTTAATACTATTGGACATTGTTCTTAAGATATCTTGGTGACCCATTGATGACTTTGAAATCTGAACTGGACATCATTTTTAAAAAACATAATCATGAAAAAATATCTTTTAAGGAATGTGGAAGGACTTTCAGTGCAACAAGATTGGATAATTTTTACCTGAGAACTCCTCATCAGAAATCATAGAAAAAAAGATCTATAGAAAAAATTGAATTTGTCAAAAATCATACATTATTATTGTCTACTTGTGCAGAACAATTTCAAACTTTAACACTATATGAAATTTACATGGACAACAACAAGCTATATATATTTGTTTGTTGTATAGTGTGTTAACATCATTATTCTATCTTCAACTGTGAATGAGATAATTATGTTGTTTTTCACCAATCAGCTGTTTATGGTATATGCAATATGTTGAGTGTCACATTTTCAACAGTTATATACAATCATTTTTTATTTAAATAAATAAATTGAAGAATAATTTTTTTAATCAATCTTGCAACAATTTTGCATGAATTGATTGACATTTATTGTACTTGAAATTGATTTACTTGAAAAAGAAAAAAGACAAGTTATGATTTTTTCACCATTTAGCTGATTTGTAGTACCACATGAAACATTCTGGAAGAAAATACTTTATGTACCTTTATAATCAGATTTTTGAAATAGAACATGCAACCCATGTCTATTTTTGGCCACAATTCTCCCAACACATCTAGGCGGCTCTTCAAAGGTAATTTTCCTTCTGTAACCAACATAGTTTGACCTCTCATGTAATTCGCGTGATGTCAGAGGTCAAAGTTGAGTGCAGCGAAGTGCTCTAGACTATTGGTAGTGTTGTAGCCTGCAAGTCCGTCCATTGTTTACAGGGTTGTGTGAAGGGTAGGTCGGTCACAATACTGTACATCGGTAAGCAGTCACATTCTTTTAATTTCTCCATCAAATTTCAGTTGGAATTTTGCTTCAACAATCCTCAAGACAGGAGTGTAAAGCTAAAAGGATTTTTTGTTGTTGTTGTTTTGGTGTTTTCATTAAAACAATAAATTCGAAATTCTTAATGACAGTAGTTCAAATTTAACTTCATGGAATTTTTTGATGTACAGCATTGTCTCTGCTCTAAACATTTTGTCTACAGTATTTAATATTTATATATTTACATATATTTGAGTGTTCTTGAAAAGTTTTATTTTTATTAATATATATTTTTGTCATTCATCTACAAGAGTTTTTTATCCGTGTTAAATTTTTTGAGTTGTTATATCATTGCACATGTAATAATACAATCATTTGTTGTTATTTGTATATTAATATTGAATGGTTTGTCTGTCACTAAAATTGTTTGAAATAAAACCATTGCATGTTGGAATATTAGGCTCGAGTTTTTATTCTGAATAGGTCATAAATCAGTATAATTACAACACAAGTAGTCCAACAGAAGTGAAAGCTTAGAACTCTTACAAATCAACTAGCCCAAATTATCACGTGTAAATGTTCCATATTGAAAGAGTTACCTGTCCTTGTTCAGATAAATGTTTAGGTGATCTCTACCTGATAATAACAAATCTAACTCTCCTAGCAAGATCCTTTGTGATTTTAAGGGGCAGTTCTGATGGTACCTTAACAATCTTGACTGGGAAGATGGGTTTGATTTCCTCATTCTGTGTGAGAGGTAATCAGTTACACCTCCGTGACCATATTCCTCCCACTGTAAGACTTGTCGGTGTCCTGCGAATTTCATTTACTGGTGTTGTTTTTAGATATCCAGTCTGAATGTGATGGTGACGGACACATGTTAATCCTTGTGTAAGTCAATAGAAGAAACCTTAATTGGAGTGTTCCGGGGATTAATTGAAAGTGGATTCCCATTTAAGATGATAATGAATGGTGATACCAAGATATTTTGCATTAGTGACATGGTTTGATCATTCCATCAATGAATTCAGTCTCGTATGAGAAAAAAAAAAAAAAAAAAAAACACTCAGCCAGCAGTTGGCCAGAGTCTGATATAGTTCACTTGGGTGTGTCAAAGTCTGTCCGATCTTACCACCATAATCGATGAAAACAACAAAGAAAATACCAACGTGACAACAATGTTAATTCAAACTCATATTCGATGAAATATGGAAATGAACAAAAAAAGAGAGGTACACGTACTCGGAGAAAAAGCACACGCCACATGGTGATAAAGACAGAACGGTAAACGTCTTCCGCTTCGTCAACGACTTCTGCAAAGTAAATCTAAGTTAGAAATGTCATGTTCCAAAATGAAGAACAAGGTTTAACAACAACAGAACCTCAAAATTTATTTACGAGTACCAAAATCTTTTTGTATCCGACAAGGAAATAAATTATTTCCCAATGAAAATATCATTACTCTTTAGATTCCGGAACACCTGGTCTTATTCTCTATGTACATATTCGGTAGTTTCTGTGTAAATCTTCCATTATTAATACTTTGCCTTAGTTTTATTGTATTTGATTGAATGTGTCGGTATAGCATTTGTAGTTCAAGTAAGAACGTATGTAATATAATCTTTGGAATCCAAGAAACTTTACAGAATCTTCAAATTTTTACGGCGGACCTGCAATTTCATTTCATTTTTATCGTCAAATATTTTGCAGGTAGATTTTTTTTTGCTGTCGCAGAAGACGCTTAATCTTCAGAATCTTCTTTTACCTTTGCCGGAGTCTACGTGTAAATCTTTCTTTTGTTCATATTTTGCCCCGAGTGTTATTGAATTTGAGTTTGGATTATAACTATGATGACATGTTAGTATTTGTTTTTTAAACTCGACACAGGGTTTCGAGAGATACAAGTTGATGAAGATTTTAAGTAAATTTTCGGTCCTCACCATGATCACATCGAGAAATATTCAATTTACTTTATATGAGGTTGGGCGTGTTTGTTACTTGTTAGGATGCCTGGTGATTCCGTTGTTGTTTAACTTGTTCTCAATAAGAAACGTGACTTGGATTATATAAGGTTTACGTGGCGGATGTCATCTATTAAGCAAAAGGCTATCGTTCCATAAAACCTGGCCTTGTTCTCCATAAACGTGTTCAGATATCTCCGTTTAAATCTTTCTATCGTTTATATATTGTCCTCGTTGCTTCAAATTTGAGTTAGACTGAAGATTCTGTCGACAAGTCGCTATTTCCTGTATCTATTGGAGACGATTCTAAACTCCTAACGTAGGTTCCGGTTGATAGTTACTGGTTTTGGATTTTTGTATGCTCTGTCATAGTTCTCCAATGATACTTCCGGTATGGCTGATTATCATTCCCTTGCTAAATGATGTCTCATTGGCACAATTCCAGGTAACAATGTAAATTAAAGGGATGTTGTTCAGTAGTATCTTTGTACCACAAAGCCGTATTCATTATCATACCTGGTATCATTTAGGTACAGAAGACTGACACCCATGGCAATGCTTTTGCAGATTGGGAATGGTTCCATCGATGCCATGTGCTTGATTACATAGTCCTGAGAGCACAAGAATAGGACGTACTGAAATTCACGGTGTGTTTGTAAGAGACAACTAAGAGCCCCCGTCTTCTCCCTTCCCCTCCCGCTACATCCGTTGTATTTAGGTTTTCGTCCATCTTCCAGACAGGGAACACTGCGGGTTCCAATGTAACACATGAAATCTTGATGTTTTATTTCGTTCCCTGTCTTTTTTTCTGTGCTTTGTTCTCCACTCTTTGTGGCCTTTTTAGATCTGTCTTTCTGCTCGACGTTAAACCCCATGAAAATCCTATAATTTGCTGTTGTATAACTTGACTCGGCTAGGCTTCACGCGTTGTATTTTTCGAAGCTAAGTAGAAAGAAGCTACCAAAATAGCTGTATCAGACAATCCATTCTAAGTAGAACGAGACGTCGTTGATATTAACCGGCTGTTTTTAACATTAGATCGGAGCTTTGAGAATATATACCCACTGTTGGTACGTATGCAGGAAATGAATAGGTGATAGTAAGAGGCGACTGGATCTTCAGTTTCTGTCGTCAGACTGAGATGAACCAAAGTTGATAACTTTATTTTGTGATGGTCAAGGTATTCTAGGATAATGTCACGGACATCTATATAAGGTGGATATTGTGCGATAATGTCACGGACATCTATATAAGGTGGATATTGTGCGATAATGTCACGGACATATCTATATAAGGTGGATATTGTGCGATAATGTCACGGACATCTATATAAGGTGGATATTGTGGGATAATGTCACGGACATCTATATAAGGTGGATATTGTGCGATAATGTCACGGACATATCTATATAAGGTGGATATTGTGGGATAATGTCACGGACATCTATATAAGGTGGATATTGTGCGATAATGTCACGGACATATCTATATAAGGTGGATATTGTGGGATAATGTCACGGACATCTATATAAGGTGGATATTGTGCGATAATGTCACGGACATCTATATAAGGCGGATATTGTGCGATAATGTCACGGACATCTATATAAGGTGGATATTGTGCGATAATGTCACGGACATATCTATATAAGGTGGATATTGTGGGATAATGTCACGGACATCTATATAAGGTGGATATTGCGAGATAATGTCACGGACATCTATATAAGGTGGATATTGTGGGATAATGTCACGGACATCTATATAAGGTGGATATTGTGGGATAATGTCACGGACATCTATATAAGGTGGATAATGTGCGATAATGTCACGGACATCTATATACGGTGGATATTGTGCGATAATGTCACGGACATCTATATAAGGTGGATATTGTGCGATAATGTCACGGACATCTATATAAGGTGGATATTGTGCGATAATGTCACGGACATCTATATAAGGTGGATATTGTGGGATAATGTTATGGGTTAATTTGTGAGGGCGTTAGTGAATTGCATGTTGGAGTCGTTAATGATGCAGACAACTTTTATCCTTCCAGAACACCAGGTCTCATTTTCATTTCAGTCTTTCAAAGGATTCCATGTCGTGTAAACTCTTCCATTTGTGCAATTTTGCCCTCATTTCTTCTTGTTGTTTTTGATCGACTGTTGCAGTGCAGTAAACACTTTGTTAGCCCTCCTTTAGGGCAGAGTGAATTATGTATCATCTTAACATCATAGGATGTCAACCCAACCTTGATATGCATCCTGCAATCTCGAAAATATTAATTGTTTCCTTTTGTCACATAAAAGGCCTTTTATCCACTGACTTCGCCCATGACATATTTTTGTATATATATTCAACGAAAAAAAGAAAGGTTAACATATTTCCCTGGCGAATACCTGTAAATGAGTGAAAACAAAATGACGTTTGTGCAATATTTGAAAATGGTAATGTTTTACATTACAAAATCCAAGGGGGTTACCAAAATCATTCAAGCGTGAAAGTCTGTATTAGCGAAAGAGCTGCACGAGGTTTTCTGCGACTAACTTGTATCTTGGCTTGAATTTCATAAACATTTAAACTGACAACTGTTCCTTAGATCCTTAGGACTTAGAAATCACCGAATCTTGCTATCTATCAATTTTATCATTATGCCCCGGCTGTCACAAGTACAGAGAGAAAGGGCTGTAGGCATGATCCAGGCTGGGGAGTCTCGCCGTCGAGTTGCACGGCATTTTGATTGCAGTGTTAAGACAATTTGCCAGTTGGTAAGTCGTTTAAACCAAACTGGGTCAACATCCCCGAAACGGCCGACCCCGTAAAACGACCGCCAGGGATGACCGTCGAAAACGATTGGTACACTTGCGCAATCGATTCGTAACCGCAGTGGAGACTACAAGGACATTGTTTGGGCGTCGTGTGTCTCTCCAAACAGTCCGCAACAGGTTGAGGGCCTATCAATTGAAAGCGCGGCGTCCCTACACTGGACCCAATTTGTTGTGACGTCACCGTAATAATCGGCGTAACTGGACCCGTGTTCACCGTCGTTGGGCCTTACGACAATGGAACAATGTTCTGTTTTCAGATGAGTCCAGGTTTTGTCTGCAACACGGTGACGGAAGGCGCAGAGTGTGGTGGCGACGAGGGGAGCGTTTTGCGAACTGCTGCGTCGCAGAACGGGACCACTTTGGCGGCGGAAGTGGAATGGTTTGGGGTGGTATTTGTGGGGGGTCTCGTATCAGGCTTGTTGTGTTAAATGACAATTTAAACGGCATTCGATATCGGGACGAAATTTTAAGACCAGTGGTTCTGCCATTCTTAAGACGTCATGGCGTTAGCGCCATTTTTCAACAGGATAACGCACCAGCGCACACCAGTTGCGTCAGCAGAACTTTCTTGCAGCAGAATAGCGTACAGGTGTTAGATTGGCCGTCTAAATCACCCGATTTGTCACCGATTGAGCATGTCTGGGACGTTCTTGGGCGACGCGTGAGAGAACGTCAAAATCAGCCGTCAAACTTGCAGGAGCTGGCCCAAGCCTTGATCGCTGAATGGAACAACATCTCTCCTCGAATTATCCGCCGAATTACAAGTACCATGCGACGACGCTGCAATGCTGTTTACTTCGCAAACGTTACAAATGGTGTTACCTTTGAAATTGACCCCAATTAGTTTAGTTTTTTTAGTTTAAACATATTTTATTGACAATGACATTGACAATAGGATTAGTCAGTAAGTTTTACCAACTTATGAATGACTTCTCCTACAACATACACATAAACATTTACATAAATATGATCACGTGGTGACATGAAACTATTATAAAGAAAGAGACAGAGAAATAAGAACAGGGTATGGCATAGGGAAAGAGAAATAGAAAGAGGGATGTAGAATGGGAGAGAAAAAAAAAAAAAAAAAAGGGGGGGGGGGGGAGAGAGAGAGAGAGGAGAGAGAATTTAAGTGAATCTTCCTGACCTTCCTAGGAATGTTTGGACCGATTTGGCCATTCTAAGGTTATCATCCACAGAGATATTAGAGTCACCATTGCAAAGAATATTTACATTAACAATACCGTCATACCATATTAATTCTTGGTATAACGTTGATCAGCACATAAAGGACAATTAAAAAAAAGATGATAAGAATCTTCACACGGGTGCCCACATTGACACTCTGGTGAATTTACAAGATTAGCCCTAAAAAGATCATAATTGAGTGGACTTGCACGGTTTCGGAGACGACAGTGGATGATATTTAATTTTCTGGAGCCAATGTCCTTTACAGTCGCATAAAATCAACTGAACGCAAAGTTTTATAATGAACCATGACTGCAGTTTTATCAGAATTGATCAATTACTTTATTCGTACATGATTGGTAAGAATTTATGAAGGGGTTAATTAATTAATCACAGAATAAAGTAGTGTTACCTTTCTTTATTTGTTTAGTATATATCAGTAATGTAAAATACCCGAGGTGCTTGTCGTTGGCTAGGCCTGTCAGAATATCGAGTGTGGTTTCATAATATGGACATGCGTCATGAATTAAAAATGGCGCAAAAATGTTCTACTCCACATTTTCCCTTTAAACCCGGCAAAAAGTAACTTTTATGAGTTTAGTGATAAAAAGTATGTTACATTTGTTTTCATTTCTTGGGAGATTTTCTGAAACTTGCTTCAAAGTTTTAAAAATGATTTGTTTCATGACGTTTCGTACGAAGTGAAAGCTCGATCCTATATGTATCAATATGAATCTGGATTTCAACTGTTGACTGTTTCAAAATATCCTCCATTTCAGCCACACAGCACTATTTGTTGCAATCTGGTGTTGTCACTTTTCAGATATTTTCTTGGTATTTCAAGCAAAGCGGTCGGCCAATGTATGTCTAAAACAATAATTAATATGCATATACAACACATGAAAAGGCACGGGGATTAATTTTGATAATGATGGGAATATATCTTGCAAAAAGAGATAAATATACAGTAAAGTTGGCCTTGATCGTGTGTGTGGGTTACGGATAACGTTCGCTTGGACGATGTTTTATCTGAAATAACGTGACCACTTCTGTCAGGTATATCTATCGAATCGTGTTGATCCTGTGTAACGTGACATTTGAATACCATGACCTTCACGATTCTTACTACTTAAAGTTACGACAGAGCGATAGGTTAATTTCTTTTGAGCTGTAGATTCTAGCAAGTCCACATGATGATGCGACTGGTTTTATTCTGCGCCATACTAAGCGTGTCGTTCGCATATTCTGGATACAAACAATACATCCCTAATGGTCGTAACGTGCCTAACCCCTGTCCACACGGCAAAGCCACGTGGAGTGCTGCAGGACACACCGATTCTCATGGAGGCGGCGCTAGGAATCTGTTTGGAATGGTGAGATTATGCTCCAGTGATTAAGCTGTGAAATGGTGTAAAGGGGCAGTGTAATGAATTGGGATTTTTTGATGGAATGGTAATGATAACATTGTTAAGTTTTTGTTGGTGAATGTATATTTTGTTCTGTATGAAGTCTTTAGTTAAAGCTAAGGTGTGCAGAAGTACACGATCAACAAGGTAAAAAAAAAGCTGATAATTACTAAAGTGGAATGCCTTTAAATATTTACAGGCGTTAAATACAGAGTCTGGCGATTTATATTGATATTGACAATACATTGGCAGTGTCTTGAAATATCATATTTAGTTTGTCGAGGGTGAAGAAAGATAGAAATGGAGAGCCTCAGACGAGTCACTTTTGTCTTTCTGTCCCGAGCCAAAATACAGCTTAAGTTTTAAGACACTGACCATGTATTATATCTATCCTTCAACATTGACTGAAAATCAGACTATTAAAACTTCAACAGTTTTGTTCAATCTGTGTTTACCTGACATCGACGTTCAGCTGAATTTTGCCTGACGATGGGCATCAAAATAATCGCAGCGATATTTCGGGTATGTTATAAGTCCATAATTGAAGTTGAATTCTGTATGGTAAATCCAGAATGCTCGACAAAGATTGGCCAGTCAGAACAAATTTTCATATTTTACTTTTGAAACTCGCAATCCTCTCATTTCTGAGAAATGCACCATTACAAATCAGTGATGGGTATGACACACCTTAATAGAAATTTCGATTGAGAGGAAAGTGAGTCAAATCACAGGGAGTATAATGATGACATATGAAAAAGGACTCGATGGCACTTCAGTCTGATGTAGTTCACGTTTAATTTTACATGTGAATATTAAAACTAATTGTATTGAGCAGGAATACAAGTTGGGCATTATGGTGGAATTTTAAGTTGTCGTTACAAATTCATGTAACATTTCTTTAATTCACTTTTATAAAGGACTTTGCCTCTTCTGCGCATGTCTGGACACATGACTTATGCATGACCGACTCAGATTTAGATGGCAAGCGCAATGGAGAGGAACTAGGGGACCCGCACTGTAAGTGGTCACCTGGCCAAACACCCGATAGTGCTGCCACGGGTCATCCAGGTAAACAATCTAAATATTTGTTTTCTTGGCTAGGTAACCCATCTCTTCCCCTCTAGAACGGACATCATCAATCCGGATAATTCAGTTTGCTTATACCGAAACCTAAATAGCGAGAAATTTTAGTAGAAACATTTATTAATTTTGATTAGTCAAGAAATGCTGTTGTATTAATAAAATAGAACTGAGAAAGTCCAAAGGATACAATTATTTATAGTATGCTAATTGAATCAAAAATTTTGGATTCCAGAAGTCACCGGTTTTGGCCATGTCTTATACAGCCTAATCGAGACGATACTTTTATTGCCAATCATAAAACTGATACATGAATTTAAAACTAAATTGTTTTGAGGAATAATTAAAACCAGAAACAAGTTTATAGATATATGTCCTTGTTGAAATCATTGACATCTTTGTCGTAAAATGCTATTTCTATGTCACGTTCGGTTCCGATATCTATATGATTAGACAGAATACACGCAAATTGTTTTACAATGAGGCTACTATCATTATGGAACATGTGAGTCCTGTTCTTGCTTCCTATAATTGAGGTTGAATTTTGTATGGTAAATCCAGAATTCTCGACAAAGATTAGCCAGTGAGAACAAATTTTCATTGTGGAACGTGAGTTCTGTTATTGCTTTCAAGCTAGAAATTATAGTGGCGAGGTGAAACCTTAGACTTCCTATTCGCCTAGTGTTTATTTACTATGCCGATAAGAAGTCACTACAACCTTACATACAACGATAACTCCCACGTCATTGTTTAAAATGTTGAGAAAACACTACAGGTTTAACTTAATAAGGATTTTAAGGTCAAGTGTTTCCAAAGTAAACAGTGACTCAACTCCCCAATTATCTCCCTTGAATTAACTGGTTTTTTTTTTAAAACACGTATGTTATAATGTAAGTATGATTAGCATGTGCACTTGTAGATATGATTATAAATAAAGCGGAAGTATATTACGAAATCAGAAATTCTTAAAAGTGTCTCTGCGTCAGACAACATAGACAACTTAGCGATAGAAAGAGACGGCGTTTTTCTGTGTCACTTTAATAACAATTGCATCTGATTGCCTTTTTGAAGTAAAATCATTGATGATCTTGACAGATAAAGCATAATTAGAAGAAGTTGTTCCTATGCTGTTCATTTCAACAAATTTTATTGTCAATATCTTAAAAGTCCATTAGGATTGACTAACAGACAAAGCCTATATACTTCTCTTCATATGATGGCCACAGCAATACATAGATTAAAATGAAAACACAATTTACAAAAAAAAAAAAAAAAAATTATAATAATAAAAAACATTCAAGGGAGATGAGTGCTAAACTCATACAAATACATATGTACAGAAAACAACATTTTAATTATATAACAAATCACTCCAAGTTGTCGACAGAATTCCGCCTTTTGATATTGATTTATGTCCTGTTTCGCGTGTTTCTTCTGTTGATGTTTTTTTTATCTGTAAACTTATCTTTGTATTTTTTTTCAGGAATCTGCGAACCGATAAATGACCCAAAATGTCAGTCTGTTAATCTTCACATTGTTTGTTAATAAAACTCCAATACATTTCTTGTTTTTAGTTTTGTTTTTTTATTTTTCCAAAAAAATTACCATTACTATGTAATCTATCAAGGATGGTATTAGAACTGTCTATATCAGTCGTAATCCGTACAGAGTACGTGACGTCTCATATTCTTTGAATAGTTGAACTACCTGTGTTCCCCATGTTGCTATCGACTCGCCAATAGGCACCACAGTGACGATAGGTATAAAAACAGGTCGTTCTGTTAGGACCACACATTATTTTAACAGTATCAGGGAGTTACGTTCTTATCTTTACATTTATTTCCGATCCCTGTATAGCGATAGATCATTTATTTAAATCTTTAGTAAACTGACCACATCATGATTCGGTTGTTTTTGATCTGTGCGTTACTCGGCGTGTCTCTTACATACCCTACATACCAGCAAGCCATACCGAATGGCGGAAGTGTCCCCAGCCCTTGTCCCGGCAATCGAATTTGGGCTGGTGTAGGCCACATCAACCGGAATGGTGGTGGGGTTAGGAATTTGTTTGGATTGGTAAGTTTTGGATTGAAAATCATGAACACGTATGATAACGCCATGCGATAATGAAATGCACCAGTTTCACTGTTACTATATTAAGATTTACACGAAACTAGCGTTTTGCTTAGAGTCAATACGAAGACATTTGGAAAGTTAATTTTTAGTTTTTAACTTAAATGATATGGTGTGTACAAGTGTACCGCGAAACTTTGTAATATATAAAATATTTATTATTTGATTTAAAATTTCTTTGCTTTTCTAAGGATTTCGCCTCTTCTGCGCATGCCTGGACACATGACTTATGTATAGCTGATTCGGACTCCGACGGTGTTTCCAATGGAGCGGAATTAGGGGATCCGAACTGTGTATGGACAACCGGCCACAAACCCGAGCACAATGCTACAGGTCATCCAGGTGGGCATAACAATGATTTATTTCTTGTCCATGAAATGTTCCTCACCAGTTCGGATCCTAATAAACTGGAAATTCTTAAATGTAATGAAACTTTCAAAGTTTTTAGTTCACAAGTTTCCTGTTAATGTAGTAGATTATTGCCAGTCGAACAAATCTGATTTTTTTATCCTATCGAGTATGATACAATGTCATTCAGTCGTTATTTGTATACAACTCGAAGTAGTACCGCTAGGAAAACTATAAATATAGCTGTTAGGTATAAATACATCTAATTAATAACTAATGATTGATATATTACACTGAAGAAAGTCTTCTCGAGGGTTATAGTTTTCAAGATGTCCATCCGTGTCCCTGTTTATGGACAAAAGTGTGTCCTTAGCGGAACTGTTTACTTCTACTCCATTTTGTTTTGAAGACATAGTTATAATATATGATATATATAATGTGATATAAGTCAATGCCTAAAGTAGTTTCGAGATGAAGATTTATTCCTCTCTTTACATTTTGCGACGTTTAATCTATTTTACTCGTGATCTATGTGAATCAGTAATATAATGGTGTCCTGCAGTTCTGGTTTATTATCTCGGCAATCATATTATCATGACACGTAGTGTTGTAGTAGTATACTCTCAGCGAGCATTTCAAACGTGCTAATTCTGTACTGGAAGGTTCTACCTTGTGACCAAAATAAACAGACTTGCTAGAACTCTTGTAACATATCTCTGAGGAGTGACAGATAAGTGAAATCGATTAAGTGTTGATAAAGAGTCACGGTAGTGTATTATAGTAATATGGAAATAGATACAGTTTCACACTTTAACAGTTCTAATTACTGTGAGTTTAGAGTAAGTATAGCATCACTTAAACATTAACTTATATATATTGTTGAAAATCAAATATAAAATCTTGATAAACATATTTTAATGGCTAATCTCTAAAACAATTGGGTAATGACCTCCCAGATCTCATTCAACAACATGTTCCTTACAGAACCTCTTTTGCTTTATGATAAAATGGGATTTGATGTTTTCGGTGTGCACATTTTTGTTATATATCGAGATTTCACGAATAAAACAACAAACTTCGTTCTTTATGTATTTCGTAGCCGTAGTTTTTGTGGTTTTATTATGAAGAGAAAGGCTGATGTCATAGTAACCCTTTGAAATATATTGTCAAGAATATTTTGATATTATTAATGTTGATACTTATATACAAGTATTTGTTTCCTAGGAAAAACATCAAGATGCATAAAATAGTGCTGTATCGTGCTTAATGAACATGTATTGCATTTTATGTGTATATACTCTAAAACTTTTTCTCGTTTCAGGGATCTGCGAACCAATGGACAATTCAAAGTGTCTCTCATTAAATACTAAAAATAATATCACGTGTTAATAAAACTTTCCCCGCAAGTTTTGTTCTTGTTCATATTATCATTTTTACCAGAATCCTATTTAAGTGGTACCATCTTACTGTATTTAACTTTTAAAGAAAATTTAGATTCAAAGCATGTGTTTTTCGCGATTTTATTCCACCAAAAAGTAGCGAATAATAGGATCTCGCGAGCCTAAAAACTTTACAGTATCTCATGTCAATTATTGGTACATCTGAACATGTAAACTAGCCTTAGGCCATATGGTACCTTTCAATCACCTTGTGGTCAACTTGTGACCTCACTCGTCACCTCATCGAAAGAATTTCACAATTTTAAATCCGACCTCTAAAAGTTGCAGTCAGGATCAGATGTCTAGGTGTAACACGTTAAGGACGTTAATGCTTCCCCAACATTTGAGCCCTATTCTCTCTGTGTTATTGTTCTTTCTTCTGTTGATTTTTTCCTTCTTCTCCTTTCTTCTTTTGTGAATCTTTCTTACATTCACATTCATGTAAGGAAATTAGAATTATAGGACTGTTCAGCGAAGTGAAACCTTTTATTAGCAATGATGATAAGGATATCAGCGACTCTGAAATTACTTTTTCACGTCCGTAAGCGAGGGGACGTATTTTGGTATACCATGCGCTGTCCGTCCGTCCATCCGTTCGTAAACTTGACCTTGTTAGCGCTCTCTTACTTTAAAAAAAAACAAACTTTTTAATGAAATATGTAACAAATATTTCATACAAAAGAATTTTCAAGTTTGTGTTATTGAATTTTGCGAATAGTTTTAGCAGACTTATGATGCTTTTGTAGGAAATTATGGGCATTGTGTAGAAAAGGCATAGGTTTTTTTTAATTATCTGTTTAATCCCTTGCAAATTTGATAAGGTGATACAAGAAAAGGAAGGGATTTGACATGAATTACGGAATGTAAAAAACATAAGTCAAACACCCTCTGCTTGTTGCATTTCCAGACCGATTTTCAAAGTATTTTAAAGTCATTCAAACACTGAATCAAAAGTTTAATGCATTTTCAACAACTTGTCCTCAATATCGCTTCATTTATGTGGGTATGGCAGGCGTATCATACTCTCGCTTTTGGTGCTTTTAGTATCTAGGATTTTGCCAGAATAGGCGACGAATTAATGTTGTATTTAAATGAAGGGAAGAGGAGGTGCCGGATTTCTGAAACATTGAAAACAATCCGATTGGAAACTCAGTCAGATATTGCAATGCTTTTTTCTTTTAATTTTAATACTGGTCGATAATAATGTGACTAGTATACAAACGCATTTTACCTCGAAGAGTCGAAATTTCTAATGTTAAGGTTTTAGTGCAACTTCGGGCAACTGCACAGAAAATACCGACATGTTAACGGAATCATGAATCAAACACAAAATTCAATGAAAACATAAGTAAAAGAAAAAATTAAACGGAGACAACTGGATAAATACATCGAAAATAAGGCTAAGCTTCATCAACGATACTCGCCACCTAAATCTTGCCCAATCCAACTAGTTAATGTCACGTTCCCAAGTGAGAATATCATTAACAACAAAGGATCCAACACGTGTACTAAAGTGCATCAAACACATTCAACTTTATATCGCACAAGGAAATAGAATTCCTAATGAGATCATTATGACGACCGCAAAACTGCATCTCTGAAATAACCTGTGTTGTGAGTTTTAGTTCGCCTCTCAATCTGACGGCGTTTACAATTGAAGGGAATCTAGGATCCCGCGTACACTCGAAGGCAAGACTACTGGTCACCCAAGTAAACAGCATAATTATCTTGTATTGTCAGCAATCAATTTTAAGACAAATATTCCTCGTTAGTCCGGATTCCAAGCAACTGTTATTAGAAATTTGTTAGTCAAAACGATTTCTACTGATGTTGACTATCAATCCAAATGTATCCTAGCGAGCATAATACAAAGTCATTAAGTTGTCATTTGTATACTATCATACTGAAACAGGACTGTTAAAGCAATCGATGAACGATTACATCTAAAACTGTTGTTCAATACTTCAGTTACACATAAGGAAATGCATTACATGGATTGATTAACATTTACTTGAAAGTTTCGTCAATGAAGCAGAAGACGCTTACACTTCCGGATCACTTGATATTATTCTCCAGCAGTCTTCAGTTAGGCATTTCTTGTTTCTAATTTTGCCCAAATTTTAGCGAATTCAAGTCTCTCAAGATGTCAGAATTTTCCTTCTTTCGTTTTTCCCGTTATAGAGAAATCAAGATGTCCATCCTTGTCTCCGTCTACGGACAGAAGAGTGTCATTAATATAGCTGCTTATGTTCTATCAATATCTTTTTATTGATTGACCTATCCTACGCCTTACACAGTTTGCGAGATTTATTCTATATTACTAATATGGTGTTGAGATAGTAGCTCGAAGTCCTAGTTTATTACCTTGGAATTCAAATGACCATACCTCGCAGTGTTGTAATAGCATGCTCTCAGCGAGAATGACGATCAAGCTATTTCTGTACTGGAATGTTCTATCTTGTGACCAAAGCTACTGTATTTGCTAGAATCTTTAAAACATGTATCTGATAAACAACTGATAAGCGACATTGACGATGTATTGATAAAGAGTCACGAACGTGCAATTTGTGATTGCATCACAACGAACAAGGTTTCAACAACTAAAACAATGGTTATATAGAATTAGTATCACAATTTAACAGTTCCAATTATTGAACCAACCAGAAATACTAACATATGAACATAACTATTATCAAAAATCAAATCCAATAAACTAGGACAAAATGCAATATGTATCAGCATTATTTCATGTACATGCTTAAGAATGAAATGTAATCATACTAAACATATTTAAGGAGTAACTCAATACGGAAAAAATGAACTTAATAGAACTTAAAGAAAACACAATAAAACACATTTATTACTTTTTCCCAGTAATATATATATACATATCGCATTGAAAAAGTGTTATTTTTACTAGTGAAAGTAACCTTTTTTGCAGATTTACGCCAATAAAAAGAGAGAACACACATAATCTGATGAAATTGATAAATCATAAAGCCGGTTACAAAAACACGACACACCTGCAGGGGTTGTTTACTTGTGACACGACTTTGAATTCAATGGCAAACGTTAATTTCCATGAAAGTCAGCAAAAGATCCAACGCAGATGACCTTTTCAGAGATAAAATCCACTCCTCAACCGAACGTTTGAATGTGGAGCTAACGTTAGACATTACAAGGGGATTCGTGTCATCAACAGCGGACACTGTTGGTTGCCGCCCTATTTTCAGTCGCGTAGTAACTACTCACAGGCCAAACTCTCTTTGAACATTTTAGTGACATGAATAAGTACCATTTTCTATATGATTACGAAAATAAATTTACGTTGAAACATATTTTGATTCTGTATGATTACACAATTAGCAAAAATCAAGATATCCTAGTTGTTGTAGGGTTTTTTCTTTAAGTACATGAATGATGCTGTTGGAATTGTGCTAAAAGTGATGATTCTGCTAAGTTTGTCGTCAGGTAGGCAAGGTTCAATCTTGTCTGAATCAAGTACTGTGCCAAGGTATTCCATGACGGTACTTGGTTTTGTATTTAGCCATAGGAATACCTGGTCTGTTGAAAATAAGATACAACAATGCCATATTCTTCCAGCACAGTGTGGGTGGTCCAAGGTAATGATATAATCTAACAGGTGAAAAATGTTCTTAATGTGTTATATTTGTATTCTGATATCCAGCATACGGTTTGAGGTGTATTGTCGAATGTATGTCGTCTGAATGTGCACCCAAATGCTAGTTAATTGTAGTAATGATAATAATTATCCTTCCATTTTATACTGAACATGTGCCCCTGTGATGAAAACTGGATAAAAAAACTAGGGCAAAATGTAATATGTATCAATATTATTTTATTCATATCCTTGAAAATCAACGAGTCCTATTAGACATATTTTATGGGGGAAGCCTTAACGAAAAAAAAACCTTTAGAATTAAAAGAAATTAAAGAAAACCCAATAAAACACATTGGCTGGCTAATAGTCTCCACGATATCATGACCAAATCATGACAATTACAGTGCCAATGTTGTGCAATAAAGATTTGATGTCTGCTTTGGAATACATATTTTTGTTACGTAATCACATAAGGCATTTCGTATCCGTAGTTTCCGCTAGTTTATTTAGAAAGGAGACATCGTTGCGATATTTGCGTGTCATTAAGAATATAATACAAACTTCTCTTGCAACCATGTATAATTTACAGCTGTTTTCTGTAAACGACATGAACAGTAATCTATATAGGCGATAAGAAGATGTTTTTTAATGTTGTTAGTGCTAGCAAGTACCTAAAGATGAATATTTATTTCAGGAAGAAATATGAAAAACGTTGGTTAGTGACCTTATTGCACGAATATCCTTAACCCTTTGTTAAGTGTGATGTATTCTACTGAAATATAAGCATTTTTCTCATTCCAAAAGTCTGTAAACCAGTCAACGATCAGAAGTACCTTTTCAATCAATACAATTATTTTGTGTAAGTTAAAATCCCCCCCCATATTGTTTGAGGCATAATTTTGCATTTTAAGTAATAAATATTGTAGATTGTATTTTGTTGTCCTCTTAAAAATATATTGATCGAAAAGAAAGGTAGACAAACATTCTTTGTAAATATAATAGGTTTCCTTCATTTTAATGTTTTCATATAACAAAGAAATCAAAAGGATATGTGATAAATGTTTTATCGGCTTTGTATATACCGTATTAATTAATCTATTTTATTCACGATGGCTATGATTTTCGCGGTTTTAACATCAGATTTGAAGTCAAACGAATATATTTTAAAATGTTAGAGAAACACTGCATTTAGTTAGGTTTTCAATGTGTTTGTTCGTTGTTGTTTATACATCCATTTTCTTTTGTTTTGAGTTTTCCAATCATCGAAAATAGCAAGAAATAGATGTACTCGAAAACAACTTGACAATACATCATAAAAGTTATTTAGACATCTGCACATTTTAATTCAACAATTCATGCTATACGGTATCCTTGATGCCACCTGTCGTGCCACTGAAATAATTCGATCGAGGCTTAATTTTCTGATAAAGTCAGAGATTCACGTTAAAAATCGATTATGATGTTCTCCGTATAAGAGATCTTGCTTACTTGTTTGAATTTTAAAAGAATTACACTTTTAAAGGAAAAGTTGCTATCCGACTTTTCAGAATTGGAAACTGCTAAAATATGATAGTAACTGAAGCGTATAAGATACTTGTAATTGATGTTTTACAAAATCAGTTTCTCTGTCATTTAACACATTAGTGGTAGTTAGCAACTAAATATGTTCTTAACGGTTTCACTGTTAGAATCCTACGTTTATACGATAGCTGTCGTCGATGAACAAAGCATATGGTGTTAATCTCCTTATATTTTATCAGGGTCTTTGTGTAAATATTTCATATATGAAAAAGGCTTTTCAGATCCAAGATCTGGAAATTTATAATCATTTACAAAACGTATTGGACAGAAAGCACGGAATCACGTGAATAGGAAATTGGTGGGTTTCACCCCTTAAAAGAATTAAATGGATAAGGTATTATGCCTTGTCCGTAGCCGAGAAAAGACAGCTTTTTCTCTGTGGTTTGGCCGTTTAGCGAGACATGATCATATATTGACTTGTATTTTTAAATAGTTTGTTACTGATATCCTGAATCAATATCAGCTGTCAAGCATGTTTGATTGCAGTAGAGATAGTTGTTTTAAAATCATAAAACGACAGTTTAATATCAGTCTGTATCAGGTATAGGGTATTTCTCCTTACAAACGATTCCGAGGTGTGTTTAGGGATCCACAGTAGCGTTATCCGACTTTGATTGAATGATTTTTCTGAAGTACCAAGTTTATTATCAAGGGGCCAAACCTCAAAACCTGACCATCACTTGTTCACCGTATTCGTCAAAACGAAAAACTTCTTCAAACATTTGGATTTAGAAGCAAAATCCTTCTCCATTCTCTAGACATTGGCATTTGGAACACAGTCTAAAATGAAATTCCTGCTATGGACTACTTAACGAGTTCAAATTGTTTTGTCATTACATGCCTATGATAAGGCAACCTCAATACTGGATACAAACAAAGCAAACCTCTCCGTGTTCCTTCTAATTTATCCTTTACACCATGTTGAATACACCAATGGATCAAAAGACAGAAAAAGAGTTCCGACAGCATTCTGTTTTCATTTGTTTTCCTTGTGATACCACCATATTCACGATAGAAGAATATGTCATTGGGTTTGCACTCTGTCATATTGAAGACTACCATACCATGCTGTTTTAGAAAGTTGGAAGTCGCGTGACTGGCATTCTAGATTTTCCGCTGATAAGGCACCTGACATCGTTGATGAGTCCTAGAATAATGAAACAGCATTATGAAAAAGTTTAATTTACCTTTCAGCACATACAGGGTAAATATCTATATAACAAAATATAAATTGAAAAGTATTGTTTATCCATGAGATTTTCTATAATCCTTTTGACCTGTTTGTCAACCACCTATGGTGATTACATGTCGCAGTTGATTCAAAATTCAAGGGCTTGTTCTCGATGTAACAGTGGAAAATGTCGGCAACTGACTGACAAACTCACAATACAGAAAGACGTAGTTGGTGAAAACAATTTAAGTTTTACTGTCATAATGATGTAATTGTGAAATGCGATGTGAAGTTTGATGTGCTTGATGCTCGTTAGTATTGTATAGTGTCGGCGTTAGCGTTGGTTTCCAACGTAACATTTGGTTTCAAGATTTATGTAAAAATTAATGGTTTCCCCTTGTGTCAGAAAATAAGGTTTTGAACATCCCCCTCCCCCCACCCATCCCCCAGAAGAAAACAAACAAAAAAACTGCCTCTCGAAAATATTTTGACTGTGAAATCCTTTAGAAATATACTAGAGTATAAGTATTTGGTTTCAGGTGTTCTGTAGTGAGTAGATATAACTTCAAAGGGTAAGAAAAGATAGAACTATTTGGTGAAAAGACGTCGTTTTCGGTGTGTGATAATAATGCTTGAAAGTGTTTTAGACGTTTTATGTGTTATGGTTCCGGTCCAAGTGTTTACAGACTTGCCTAATCTAATATTGAGTTAAAAAAAGTCATGTATGATGATATATAATGTCAAGGTTGTGGAAGTTTGCTGGCATCAATACACTCCTTTATAGCTGTACTAGTGTTGTTTTTTTGCATTGATACTGCAGTTGGGACTTATTAATATTGATGGCAGGCGAGCTTTGTAGCGTGGGCGGTACTCTTGTTTAGTATGCAACCGATCCACTGCTACGGATATCGTACACAGAGGGTGTGCTACAGTACAGCTGTATGATATTCATACGCCATGTTTACATTTTGGATGTGTATAATTATATCAATATCAACCAGGATAGAATTTTAAGGTCGTAAATCATCCTCGCCCTGATAACTTGTTGTAGGTATGGAGGCAATTACTACAGACTCAGAAATCTGACAAAATAGACATACAAAACAGTTGGAAGACAACAACATTCCTCGCTAATGTACGATAACATGTTGGACTCGGCATGATAACTTACTATTCAGTCAAAGGATTAAACTTTATGTGAAATTTGGTCACGTAAGTATATTTTGACAGATGGTCACATTATGGGATTGACTATACATACCACACCGTACTTATATACGAACAGGCTACAGTACAGAATATTATACATGATTACATGACCTATTTCTTCTCTCTCTATATATACAGATCATGTGTTAAGGAGAAACGTGCATTGCTTTCTCATTTAATTCGTTTTCATTTCAGAATATTTTATTGTTAAGATCTTAAATGACAAAAGGAATTGAGCAGCATACATAGCCTTTGAAATCTCTCTCCATACATTAACAAGTATACAGACGCATACATTAACTAATCACTAGATTACAATATATATAATACAGCTCTAAATAATGAATAAATGAGAAGGACATACTACCATCAGTTATCATTAAATGAGTGAAAATTCTTACCATAATGTCCAAATGTCCTCTTAAATGGAGGTAGACACAGACTCATGTTGTCCATAAGTTTTAAGTGAAGAACTAAAAGAAAGCCAGTGAAGCATGCATTTATTGATTATATTGTTGTGGAGAAAACTCGTTTTGTATCAATAAACGAATATGTTTATTTATTGGTTGATTCGTTCATGCCTTCTTAACAAATAAAAAAAATCAATGGAAAAATTGATATTGCGATATCAGTCAAGCCTATCGAGTACGTTGAACTTTATATCTAGCGTGACAGATTTGGGAACGCATGTAGTATAAGCGATGTTTAGGTAGGGGATAGTAGTACGCTGCGAAATTCTCAGATAAGTTTACCGATACAATTTTTTATTGCATTAATAATTTTCAATGATTAATAATTAATGAATGAAGTTGGAAAATTATCGACAATATGGTGATTTTACATTTTAAATACACTTATCTACAAATCATTTAGATACATAGGCTGGTGACAAAGACCAGTAGGTATACATGCTTGTAAGTATATATGTATGCATCAGCTAGTGAATATACATTAATACATAGGCTGACCAGGATAGATGAGACCAACATTACAGAGCCCGAGCCTTACCTGGCTCCATTAAGGAATTTAATGATATACGTGCACAACGGTACGGTAATTATAAATTGATATTTAAACTCGAACATGAACTATTAAAGCTTGGTGACAGTTTTTGGCAAGCCTTCGTGCTCGTTTTTAACTCTATGTTCATGTATATATTTATATCCTGCTGGTACTGACATTGTTGTCTTCGTTTTAATGCGTCGACCTAGTGTGTTATGTCTAGCGAATATGCATTAACTCGCTGTTGTGGTTACGTTGCGTTACTACACATAACTGGTGCACGTGTATACTGTCAATACTGGAGGTCGAGCGTTTATATTTATAGTTGGTATTTCAGTATGGAGTCAGTATGGGGAAACCCCATAAAGAAACGATTAAATTAAAAAAAAATGAAAAAATCTTTGTGTACTTTACTCCGAGACCAGAATAGTTTTTCTTCTTCATAATCGTTTTATATGCGTGAAGAATTAATGGATATAGTAAGTTATCTCTCCTTACCGATAAGAATAAAAATCATCTAAATTTTAATCTGAAATTTCATTGTAGGAACTAACAAATCCGTTAGTATAATGTTACCGAACTGACTAAAAAGATTTAGTATGCAAAATTTATGTGTGACCAAACTGCTAAGTTGCTATTCATTACCGTAGATTTTGAGGAGGCATTACTATCGAAATCTCGAAGTTATATTATATAGGCGACACCGTACTTCTGAAATCACCATACAGCGCTGACTCGTTATTGCATTTGCATTTATGTAGTTTTGGAATATTTTAAAGTGTTTATCAACAAAAGCAAAAGATGAACTACCCATTTTCTAATCTTAGTTGGTCAATGTGTATGTTAATGTTTATGTTATAACAATGAAGGAAAAACAATGGGGACTACCATTAAGTGAAGAGAAAATATTCAAGTTAACAAAGAGCACAGATTACCCGATAATGTTTATCATTTATGTACTTACAATGTACCCTAACCAAGATAAAAGGAAACACGTGATTTATTTTTTATCTACAGTCACATTCGTGAACTAGAGACAACATGTTAAAGTGTGTACAAGGTCGTCGCCGTCTCCTGAAATTGGTTTCTAGATGTTCATCGGTTGGATTTACATTCCAGACAGGTAAGGATTTATTATGTTCGTCCACACCATGACTTTAGAAATACTCTTCCTGTTACAGAGTACCTAGACTGAACATTCTCTTAACAACCTACTTGTTAGTGGAAGTAGCACAGTTCCTAGATGAAATAAAGCATCTATTAGTAAGTTGTTGTCGAACAACGGCAGTAAAAACATGTGCACGGTTTCAGTGCGTCCCTTTAAACTGTCTTACCCTAAGTTACTTACCAAAAGGCTTATTATAATGGCGGGTACAGTAAAACGTCGTACGTGTCATATATGATAAATTATCTTGTAAGATATAAACACATTTTATTTTCTTTACCCAGGTTGGGTCATTTTCAACATGTTTTGGTTCTGGTATATTCCCCAGGGCCGGCTGTTCCCCTGATCACACCGCAAACATGTCTCTTCGACCGACATCTTGATCGTCATCAGCCATTTTCATCAGGAGTACGTATTGTGTTTAAACTCTTATGATAAAATTACTATGTCCTACTGTGTTGTTTATCTGTATTATCTTGTTGATCAATTTTATATCTTCACGCAGACACCTGTTTCTCCATCAGCGAATACCGTCAACATAGTGGACGACGGACGAAAAGTGGAAATAGTATGGAACGACTGCAAAACGTCGAGGTATGGAAGTAACAGAAACTAAATAAAACTTTGTAGTGATAATATTTCACAAAAAAACAAATTCAATACTTCTGGCAATTTGAGGTAACATGGCATTATATGTAAGTTTAGATAAATTGCAAAATACTATCATAACCTGCTGGAAGTTGTATACAGTATATATTTCATGTGTACCATATACCCACAACATCAAACGACGAAATCTTACTAAGGCGCCACTTGAAATGTGTTCCTTCAAAAATTAAAACAGAGGAAATTAGTTACCAACTTTTGGTGAATGATTTTAAGGGCACGTACCGTAACATGATCGATTACTTTTCCAGGTGATATTTGCATTATATTATGTTTCTAAAAACTTTACATCTGCTCCTGTGTAAGCAAACAAACACCAACATTTTCTTATCTGTATCATCATGAATAGGCGTTCTTATGTTAAAATCAGTAGTAACAATGTACTTTCTACTATCATCTATATTAACAAAACAACTGGAAAATCACTAATTCAACACGTTTTCGCTATAATATTATCGTCATCTCATCACACTACCTAATATCTAAGTGTACATACGATTATACCAAAGCCGAAAAGGTCTGTGATTGTTTTATTTTCTCGTTCACAGTAAACTTAACACTGGTCATTTGTCTAATAAAGCTGTGAGTGTGATCATCGGGACGACATAACTCAATCTTTAAGTGGTTGTCTTATACAAGTACCTATTGATACAATCGAACCTCTTTATCTCGAACTAGGCGGGACCACGGAAAAACTTCGAGATAACCGAGGATTCAATATTAGTGAGATCGATTGTTTTGTGACAGACAGGGGCCAAAGAAACGCTTCGAATAAAACGTGACTTTCGAGTTATACGACTTCGAGATAACGAGGTTAGACTGTAAAAATGTTCCGAAATGACTTGGTTATCATCTATGTCTAGATTTCATGCCGTGTGGTTGAGACACCATTGTCAGTGTGAAGAATGTTTTGATGCAGAAATCAACCAGGTGTTGATAGAAATAGACAAGCTGCCACTTGATATCAAAGCGACGAACGTCAGAATAACAGGTAAAATAAAAAAGGAGAAAAATGCCAATTACAAAGTAAAAGGATGACTAAACCACATGTTTCAGAGGCGTAAGCATATTCTGATGCATTGTCGAAACTCGACAACTATAGTTAGAACGGAAACTATGAATTAATTCAGTTTTTCTTCGATACAAATATTCCCCAAAACGTTTGTTTGTTGCTCGATATGTCAGGTTTTCAATTTTGACACCTAATGCGGGAGGATTGATATCGTCCGTGATTCTTTGTCACTCGGTACCAACATTTGTTTGACCCTGTTATAAAATCTTAATTAATCTTTTCAGAAGATGGGAAAGTTTGGGTAGAATGGAATGGAAATCACATTGGAGAGTTTAGTACAGCTTTCTTGAGGAAGCATTGTTACTCTGGAGACAGTTTAACGCAGAAGAAAGCTTCCCTTAAGACGTCGTTATACACAAAGGTATTGATTTGGATATTTTCTATAATACAATAAGCTGCTTGATTCCTCAAGACTACCTCTGATCGTATTGGCGTCAATACTTAAACTGACATTGTCATTTTCTGAATTTGAATTCACAACCATTTACCTATGATAGAATTTTATTCGTTTTCCTTTCATTTTGCAACACTTAGAAATATCTATTAAAAATAATAACAAGTGATATTTCCTGCTTTAAGAGCAATATTCTTTTAAAGAAGACAGCAAACTTCTAACGATCTTTAGAAGTTAATACTTATGATCCAATGCTCACCCACAAGATGGAGTAGTTATTGCACATATCGAGAAGCTGTATATATATATATATATATATATATATATATATATATATATATAACACTTGTCCTAAAGCAGCTTTGTTTGTATCCAGCCTACCTTGGCGAGTGTCACGTGGACTGACTGTGAAACAGATGAAAAACACATATACAGGTACATTTTGTAGATACTTCACTCTGCGATCGATATGACACCAGCATAGAAGATAAACTATTGGATAGCTAGTTTGTAAAGATTTGTCTTTATAGGTGAAAGATTATCAACTGTGAACTATTTCATGGTCGACGGTATGATAGCTATTCCGTGCTTCATGTCGAATGTGGTTTTATAAGCTAATGTAAATTTGATACACAAATGACAGCATCTATATTAACGTTGATCAAAATATCGATCAACACTATTGTAAATGATCAAGGTCGAATATTGGTTATCTGTTATTTGGAAGCTGAAGGTGTTAAGGATGTAGTTTTTCATGTATTTTATGTTTGTTCGTGGCTTAAATATTTTGAAGCATTTACTTTTATAATATAATGAGATATTTTTAAGACGTTTACACAAGTTACTTATTTTCCACATTAGAAATCAAAAACTGGATATGAAGGTGCACTATCATCGAGAAAGAGAATTAAGTTTTAAAAAGTTGAAATGACACATTCCTTAGTAAAGTTCATATTTGATATATACCTGTTTCTCATTCATAACCTTGGTTTATTTCAGATTATTGAAGGATATAAACGACCATGGTTTGGCAATGGTCAAAGCAGCTCCTACTACAAAAGAACTGTTAACAGAGGTAAAACGAACAAGTTGATATAAATGTTCATATGCTTGACCAATACACTGTGGGGCTTTTTACGAAATCAAATTAAACTGATCTTTCGGAAAACAATTAAGAAACGATGGACACAGACAAGGCAAATTTAAATACGTAAGTTTCATCGTACAGTTCGAATTTCTTAATAAATAAATAAATAAATGAAAAAATAGCTGTGGTGCGTTAAAACGATCGTAAATTATATTGTCTTATTGATTGGAGGTAATCATGAGCTGAGCATTTTTTCTTTAAGTTACACGTAACATTTCAAAGATTACTGTGTTGTAATGGAACTTTACTTTTTCATAATTAGTTCGTGCCAAAGCATATGACGTCACTGTGGGATAACACATATGGAAAGGTATGGAAACTATAGCAAATCGGGTAGGAATTTTTCGAGATGCAAGATCACAGCACTTGAATAAGAATTATGTCGATTTCCTCAGGGGTTGATAATGTGAAAAATAAATTATAGATATAACGGAAATTTTACCATTGCAATATACCGTATTTAGCATCATGTGTAATTTATCGTATTAAATACCCTTTTTGTTTTAGTTATATCATCAATCTATTATCAATGTATTATATATCATGTCAGTGCTGAAAACTTCATGAGGATATATGATATAAACGTTATATTTCTTAGAAATGAGACACATCACATAGTCCTTTCCGAAATATTTGGTTATTCCTGGTTATTTGTGATATTATATTTTTTTAAACTTAATTTTTTTGTCCAGCGGTGTCGTTCATAATATTCTTATCATTCAAATACAGATATTTACTAAAAGTTGTGACATAATGTTAAATTATATCGTTTCACAAAATATTGTTTCCAGCTTTATGACGTGACGTATATGGAAAAAGCGACCAATTTAGCCTACACGCAGAAAGCGTTGCAGTTTCACATGGATTTGACGTTTTACGAGTCAACCCCCGGAATACAGTTTCTCCATTGTCTTAAGTATTTACTTCTATTTCAATATTATGTAATTATACTGTTCATTTCTATGCTATCCCTTCATTGTTAGGGGTTGGGGTTAGAATGGGTTATGCAGGAATTAGTTTGCCCCTCCGTCTATGGCTAGGATTTGTATTCTTTTATTTCTCTGCGATTTTTTAACTGATTATCGAAGTTGTGCCCCGATTTTTCCTTATTTCGACTTTTCCCACTGAAAGTGTGACCGTTTACTGAAATTCTTTATTAGGGTTTGCTATAAAACATACACCTGATTTATCATGTGCTTTTGAATGAAGTATAAAAGGGACTATTTCAATGCTACAAAATGCAAATCAACAAACAATCAAACACCGGCAGCATCATCATACACCATTTTGTCCATTGCTGAGAGGAATTACTAAATATCTACCTAGTTATATTAATGGTCAAATTTGTCAAATGTTTTTCCATACGCTTATTATTTTGACACGGTTACTGATATACACATGTATAACGTATTTTCATTAATTTTTGTTTAGTAGGGAGTTTCCCTGTACTGTCTGTTCAACACATCACAAACAAATTGATATCTGATAGGTGAAAGGAAGTTGGTCAGCATTGATTGGGGATTAAGGGTATCAGTTAGCCCTCTTGGCAACTGTTCTAGTTCGTAACTGTTAATTTTACGTTTCCGTTTCCTAATAAGAACCCTAATAATCATAATATTAACCTATATATTAAACATAATAAACATAATTATACAACCTTATGCTCTAGGAAGTCAATTCCATTTTCCACTCGAAAATAGATTGAATTTCAATTGAGTTCAATCTTGTATTGCTAGATAATTTCGTATGATGAGATTTATTTAATTGTTTGGACATGCTATTTTAAAGTCTTCAGCGACTAGAAGAGGTAAACACTGCTGATAGACTGGAGTAACCAAAGTTTGCCATAACCTCAGAATAGTAGTACATTTCTGCGTTTTCAAATTTACAAAATCCGAGAGAATATTCTATTCATAATATGTTTTATTCAGATTTGATGAATCTCTCACTGGTGGAGAAACCACCTTTGTTGACATGTTTGCGGTTTGTGAGGAATTAAGACAAACAAATCCAGCTGAATTCAAGACGCTGTGTTCTGTACCGTGTACTTTTTCCAGGGATCATTCATCAAGGTAAGATGGTTATGTTATCAAATAGTTGTTGTGTTTTGTTAAAATAAGTAAGTGATTTATGTTGCATTTGCTAATACTGCGATGCTCATAGTTATAGTTACATGAGGTGTCAAAAACCAGTTTTAGATAGATATGTTTTATTTTTTGTGACATGAAATACCAAGTCAAATTCAGTGATAGATTACCACTTATATGTGATTAAGACAAGACATTTTAAATGTGTGTGTGTGTGCGTGAAGTACACCACGTATGTATAATGTTTTGATATTTTGTTTTGTGATGAATAGATATAACCAATTTTCATTTATATTTCTGTTTCTCAGAGATCACCCAGTTCACTTGGGAATACAAAGACCAATAATAAATTTAAACAGAGAGAAGGAGGTAAGGACAGGTCATCCTTTTTATACATGTATTACCAAGCATCAATCTGAATTCACACCATCATGCAAATACATATTAATTTCTCAGAAAATGTAAATATTATTCTTTTGCTATTTTTATTGAGTTAATAAAATATCACTATGTAGCAGACATTCATTTCATTCCTTAACAATCATCATATATGGACGGATAGAATATAATAAAGTTTGTTGTTGTCTCCATGCCGCGAAAGAAAGGAAGACAGATTATGATTGTTCTTTGCCATCGCCGTCGGTGCCGACACTATTTGTGATGCCATTATTAATGGTGAAAACATAGTTTACGTACACAAGGCATACAGAGAGATCTAGATTTGTGATGCCATTATTAATGGTGAAAACATAGTTTACGTACACAAGGCATACAGAGAGATCTAGATTTGTGATGCCATTATTAATGGTGAAAACATAATTGACGTGTTGATTTTGAGAATTGGTAAAAGCAACTTTAAAAATATTTTTGTGTACTCAACTTCCTGAAACAATTCATCTTCATGTAAAACGGAATTTTCATTTGCACCATTTAGGAGAGATTGTTTTAGGTATGGGACGTACTATGTTTGAATGATATTAAAAAGTGACGATTGATTTCTCAAAATTCATATATCAGTGTATAATATAGTAGGTACAATATGATTCATAGATAGATAGAATGGTGTAAAATCCAAATCAGGGCAAATGAGGAGATTGAATGACCTTGATCAATTCATCTTGATCTAAACCTAAAGATTTAATGGTATTGAAGAATTCAAGTACAGCGCAGTGAAATAAGATAATATATGTATGGGATAACGCAATATATGTGCATTCAGTTTCAAACCCGGATAAAAACTTGTTGTTAAAGTGCAAGTGATTTCAAATCGCTATAATCTGATGTAGCTAAGATATTAAACGAAAACTGGAAAAGAAAATCATTTTGAGTAATTTTGTTAAATCGCTAAAATTTCGCAAATTTTATAAGATAATTATATATTAACTGCTCTAACTGTCGAGTAAATTAATTGTTTAGGATAATATCTATACTTACTTATAGATATATTTCCTGTAGATAATTGGAGTGTTCTGGAACCCGAGTGTAGTTGGTGTACAGGGAATACCTGAGGTGAGACTCCGTTTTTGTCTTTCTGTCGCTTTCTCTTTGAACCATTTTCCGTTTGTATGTCCTTATTTCTCGGTCTATCTGTCAAAAGCTCTCTCTCTTACTCTGATATACTTCTATTGTGCTATTGGAGTAGAACTAATTAATCCACAACGTAGGTCATATTTTACTTATTTTAGAGATTTAAATTGTAGACATCGTTTCGATAATAATCCTTCAAAATAGATACATGTTAAGTATAATTTTCTGCTTTAAAGGATGACGTGGCAGATTATTACAAAGCGTACCAATTGTTCGCCAGAGCAATAAAAAACTTCCACACAAAAGTAAGTAAAAGTAATTAAGTGTTTCCCCATTCAATAGTATGACTACGCTACTACTAGAAACTTTTAGAGCCGAAATAGTGAAAGTGTCCTCGAGTAACTTTACATGGGCTTGCTCAGAACAAAATATGCATACACATCATGTAGTTTAGTGGTTTAACAGTGTGTTACTTTCCTGGTAAAGAAAGAAACGATTGTTTGATCTTAGAAATGTGTTGTTAATTTTCAACATTGAATCTTTACGGTTCCCCAATGACTCGTATAGATGATGCAATGATTTTGATGTAAATGTAAATCTCCTTGATTTTTTATTGTTTAAAGAATTCTAATCTTTTCCTTTATGAAATCTTATAGTATGTTTAAATAAAATAAACTTACTGGAGAGTATTATATATGATTTGTTTTAAATTGAAGAATTATTTAATTAATTATTATGTTTTAGTTCTAAAAGCACTTCTTTTCTAATGCGATTCAGAATGAGGTTCGCCTCCAGCCTGGAGACATCGTTGCATTTAACAACAGAAGGATGGCGCACAGTCGAAACTCGTTTGGTGTTGGCAGTGGACATGGTGAGCGGCACTTTCAGGTAAATAATTGTCCTTCACTTTATTGACATCAATACGTAACGTGACATCGAATAATTTGATTGCAGTAGATAATGATGTTTAAAGGGAAGTTTTGCGGTCGTCATAACAACAAAAAAAAGTACCAAAATGTCAACAGAATCAAAATCCAAACAAGATTGATATGAAGACTCCTGAAAAAGCCAATGGAGAAAAAGACCTCCGGAAGAGTAAGCATCGTCTGCTTTATCAACGATATCTGCTATGTAGATCTGCCACAGGTCCATTTAAATAAAAAATTTATCAGAAAATATTCCATTTCTTTGTGTGATATAAAGTATGACATGTTTGATGGTCGGTAGTTTGGCTCCGTTGTCGTTTACCTTGTTCTCATTTTTGGCAGGTGCCATCTTTTGCCATAGTTTATCGTATTTGAGTTGTTTTTGATACGTCGATTTTTTTCTTGTTTGATTTCAACATGATTAGTGTCACTGACAAAAATAGATCATTAACCATCTCCCCTTCCTCCCCCCTCCACTATCACCGTGTTAAGCGATTTATTTTGAGTTTGAATAAAACACTATGTTTACTTAAAATTTTGAATTTTGAAGGCTTTATAACTGACGAGGATGCTACTCTGTCACTGTAGTTTCATTTTATCATTCATAGCTTTGATACAAGCTCCCTGTTGTGTCTCTGCTAGGATTCCAATAAGTTGATCTGTTGTCTTGCTCACAGTAAATTAAACTGCCTGATAATGCTACATCGTCTTTAAGTTGTGCTGACTATTCAGGTAAAGATGGTCGTTCGCCTTTCATTGAAGCATTTTAAAAAAAATAATTTCTATTTCACGCGGAAGATACTAATAAGCAGTTATTAAATACATTTACGTTATATTTCAGGGTTGCTACATAAATATTTGTGAGTATAAAAGTCGCCTGATCCACCTCTCCAGGAAGTTTGGCGATGATTCAGCCATTAAACGGGTCGGTAACATGGATTGGACTTAGGACTGAAGGTCAAACTTTGGACACAAACAACACAAATAAAGTTTGAGAATTTTTACGCAGTAATCTTGATCATAAGTTGACAATAATTGATTGGTGCTTTACAATGTATTTAAGCATGGTATCTACCTTTTAATCCTAGATACATCTACCCTTCTATTTGCTTGTTGGAACCCCATTCACGAAGCGCAAATTTGTTTTCTTGCGACAGAAATATAAAATCTGCTGTAAAATCGTATATTTTTGTGGGGCTGAAAATTCATGGTCACAGTTTCGTTGGTACTTTACTTCTTCGTGGGTAAATCTTGCTCATGGCAACCAGAAATCCATTATTACTATAATTCTTTTTAATTTAATGTAACCACCACAAATATTATTGATTTAGCAGCACCTTACTGTATGTATCCTGTACTACGTCCAGGGAGCCAACGTATTCTTATACATAATTAAGAGATGGGATTAATACACGACAATTAACGACATTGGTTAATAATTTAACTTAACAGCAGAAGGTATTAACGACATTGATTTATAATTTAACTAAACAGCAGAAGGTATTAACGACATTGGTTTATAATTTAACTAAACAGCACGAGGTATTAACGACATTGGTTTATAATTTAACTAAACAGGGAAAGGTATGGGGGTGTCTTAGGTTTAAGGCATTTTGTAATGATGTGTTATATAAAAATACAGTCATATTTTGACATTTGCAAATTATATGCTTATATTGATTATTTAACAAATGTTTTATTTGGCGTATTAGTTGTCGTTGGAGCATGGATTTAAACGGGATTCGATATAGATACATTAAATACAGATTTTTATATTACTAATAAAAGAAAATTTGTAAGTACGTGAATAATGTTGATGAGGATACCGGTTTTCATTAGCACCGTAGGTTGTAAAAACGCACGCACTGAATTCGAACAATACGATCTATTTGATATATACATGGTTGTACGAAATACATGACGTATATGGGTGAAATAAACAGAAGCTGATAAAAGTATATGTTGTCTTCATTTATTTCATCGAGCTATTACTGAACATGTTTTACGATGTCTCTTTACTGTGATTATGAATATATCGACAATAGACAAACGCAAAATAGCATCATTTAACTTGTATATTGATATATGTATATACAAGAACATATATTGAAACTATATATAAGTAAATATACCATAAAAATGAATACTTTTACAGAATGTAATGGCACAAGTGCCTGTTGATTGGTTACTGGGTGAGTCGGAAGAGACTCGAACAGAAGAAAGAAAATTAATATTTGTAGTGAGCCCAAAAACGTAATCGCCTCTTATGACTTGACATGAAATAATATGATATATAGCAGACATATTATTTTCCTGTACGGATAACTGTGATATGTACGTTTGTAACAAAGTATGTTACAAATCTATGGTCAGTAATTTTTGTAGGATTTTTCAAGAGAGTCAAGAGCACAAATTTTGGAATTTTAACTTACAGATATAGTGGGTTCTCAGATTTTGAATGAGTTCCACAAGAAAAGCATAAACACAGGACTTGGATATTCTAAACATCACTGTATGATACGAATGCAAAACTACGAAAAAAATAATAAGATAAAACACATTAGTAAGCATAAGAAGTAGAAAGAAAATATGTGATATGGAATAACGGAGCCAACATTAAAATGGCAGAGTTAGAATAAAAATAGTTACACATCTTGCATACATACATAATCTGTGATTTTTTCAATGATCTAATAGGTTAAAGGAATCCCGAACGTGCACATTAATCTCATGAAATCCATTAACTCCAGTTAAAAGTTTATAAAAAATAAACATTTCATGAAAATAATTCAAATTATTCTAATGCAAAACAACAAACAATACACATGTTCTGTAAAGTCTTATTCTAACGATGTTGCTACAATCGTTATCAATACATAATTTTCTCAATTAAGAAACACGAATAATTTTGAAATTAAATTTGTGGAAGTATCCACACAATATCTTGGACTGGACATTTGGCTCGACTTTAAGTATAATTTTTGATATTAAGTCCAACTAGGAAAACATATGACCAATTACATGTACCCGTGCAATAATCACATTTAATAACATGTAATATACTGTACACTACAAGGCTATTTAATTTCAATTTCAAACAATTCTTTAGAGATATGAATACATATAATGACAAAGGGATAAGACCAAAGACAGAACCTATTCAAGTCCTGTCCAACACATGACATCACAATGGTACAAGACAAAATACATCAACATACAATATAGACATTAGATAATAAGTATACTGTAATGCAATACAAGGGAAGTAACTCATATATACATGAATTTATTATTGTTTATTTATAACATTTGGAATGAGGAATTTACTGGATTATAAAGTTAATTTCTACTCAAACACATGGAAAATTACATACTCATATATCATTAATAACTAGGCCATATATTTACAAATGTGTGTTGAAATTAAATTTCTTCACATCATCAGATAAAGTTCACAAGACCATGTGATATCAGCAAGGCCATCTACAATAGAGGCTCAGAAATGCAATAGTCACGAGTCTCATGCGCTATATTTAAGTACAATATGACTTAAATATCTGTAAAGTTCAAGCAATTAAGGAAAACTGTGGATTTTTTTTCAAATCTGAAGCCATATGCACATGATCAAGACCCTGCTAAATGATCTATATTGAGGTCACAATTTGAACTGCTACACCAATTACTTAATTGACATAATATAATATTACTTTTTCTTTTCCAAACAAATTTTAATACATCTGTATTTTTTGTGTTTTATATATTTTAAGAAATTGTTTTCTTGAATGGAAAAAGGGAGTGAACATTTTGTACTATTCATTTTTTTTCTGTTTTATTTGGATTAAATTATATATTCCATCTCTCACTCCAGTGTTCAATATTATATAAATCATCGGTCAAGATATGTGCAAATACAACAGGATTATCATCAGTTACAGCATATAACGATGGATCATCAGCATATCACTTTTAAACATTTCAAACGCTGTTAAATATATACAATAAAACATGATTGGACCGAAAATAAAAAACAAACAAAAAACCCCCAAAACAAACAAACAAATCTTTGATTTTTATACTGATCAAGACATTAAACTATTGTGTTATAAACATGAAAACAGTTCATGATTTAGGTTTGAATCCTAATTGCTGCTTAGTATTATGGTTTGTGAGATAATTGTACACGTATCTAAATATATTTTTCAATCGTTTTGCTAAAACTGGAAGAAAACTATTTCCTGATGATGATGATGATGATGATGATAATGATGATGATGATGAAAGTTTTTCGTCTCATTGACTCTGCCAGTAGCCGGGCAGAGTCCAATCGACGTCCGTCGATTCACTGGCGACGTGCCATTTCCTTTATAGATAGTATTTATATAGGCGTTCTTCCAACTAAGAGGAATAACCCCGCTTTGGATTGCCTTGTTAAAGAGTTAATTGAGTGAGAGAGATAAATTGTTTTTTTTTTCAAATCATTTTTGGTATCATACCATCTGGCCCAGCTCAGTTATTTCAATTCAGAAGTAAAAGTTGATTTCAAACATATTGTTGTGTTATTGTTATGTTTGCTAGAAAATATAGAAGAATATTAAAGTATTAGGAAGAGGGTCAGTCAAGGTCATCAGAAAACGTAGAGGTATACAGGAAAAGTAGTCATTAAGACATTCTGTAATCCTCATGTGTAAGGGGAGGACAATTGCTAGTTCTAACATTAAATATCTCTGACATTTTCCCCATCATTTGCTAGACGTATATTTATCACATCAAGACTTTTTTTGTCAGTTATCAATGTATTCAGTGATTATCATCATTAAATTTTGTGTTGGGTATATTGGTAAATAGGACCATGCGAAACTGAAATTGACAGGTAGTTCCCGTATTTCTGTTACGATGTCACAACTTCAAGGCACAAATGCATTGTGACGTCATCAGTAAAGAAATGTCGAGTAAAAATATCCTCACTTTAAATTAGTATCGATCAGGTAAAAGGCTGGAAGCCCTGAAAAAGGAAGAAAAAATCACTCTAGTTTCTGCAATTTCTTATGAATGGAAAATTATATAAGATCCTCTATTGACTGGAGGAATACAGATGGCACAAATTAAGCATTTTAAATAAGTTGTTTCCATATTTTTATTTTATTTTTTATTTTTAAGATTTCATTGCTTCCTCTTTTATACTTTATTCTTAACATCGAGTGAACATAATTTTTTTTAAACTTTGAATAAAAATAAGTGGTTTGCTTCAAGTGATGGTTTTGTTGTCGGTTCCTTATACTAACAAGATAAAGTCGCATCCAGGTAAACCCAAAAGATTGATGAAATGAAGACACACGATTTGGGGCAAAAGAGCTGTGAACAACGCGATCATGATCATCAGATCCAATGCAAGCTCACTTAAAATATGATAGAAATACGATCTTTTTGTCGAAACTGAAAATGTATTTTTTAGTTTTTGAACACTTGTGCAAATATTTCAAGGGAGAAACGCAACGTATTTCTCCCGTTCGAATGGAGAAAGTTCTTAAAAAGAAGAGAGGTAACATCAATATTCACCTAAACTAGAGATACGATCTGTTTCATTGGCTTTTGGCGGCTGAGAATCTTTTTATATACATGACCATGGAAGATTGTTGCAATTGCTATTTAGATATGCTCTCCCTTTTATGCAATTGTGATTTATCTTTGGAAGATTGTACAAAATAATGTCAAAAACACTATTTAATTCCTACATCTTCCATTCATCGAAGTTAAAAGTTTGGATAAGTGTAAGTTACACTAGAATCAATCCCAGTTTATCCGTCCCTTTATAGATAGTATTTTATCCTGCTATACATTCCTATTTTTTCATTTTTTAAAATATGATGGTAATTCCGTGACCAAATCAAGTTGTGCCAACTGACATATATTTTGTTTTCATTTCGGTCCTTTTGACCAGAAGTTATGTTTGTTGAAAATTTCGTAAGCATTTAAGTAATAACAAACAAAAGATTTCCCACGTGCTGTTCACTTAAGTATGTGTATGCTCTACGAAATAAATTCCAGTTAGCATACATTCCAATCGTTTGTATATCTGTCGTGTGCTTGAAGTAAATTTTCACCCTAAAATAGTTTGAATTTCTGTAAGATTATTCTTAGTCTTTATCTTCACCTCTTATATAGTCTTCAAAGACTGGAGGAGGTACTGCAAGACGTTTTCATTCCTCTGAATCTCTGAACAGTCCAGCATACATTGAAAAGGTGTTTTGTGTCTTCATCTTTTATACAGTCTTCAGTGGCAGTAGGAGGTAGACACTGCTGGTGGACTGTAGGCTATGACCAACTATGCCGCGTTTTCATTCCTCTGGATAGTGGTAGAGTTCAGAATACACAAATGTACAAATTCTTATAGAAGTTTAACTCACTTTTTAGACGTGTTTTATTCTGGTTTAATGATTATCTTATTGGTCGAGAGACCATCTTTGTTGACATGTTTGCGGTTTGTGAGGAATTAAGACAAACAAATCCAGCTGAATTTAAGACGCTGTACCGTGTACTTTTCCAGGGATCATTCATCAAGGTAAGATGATTATGTTATCCAATAGTTGTTGTGTTTTGTTAGAGAGAAGGGGGTATGGACAACCAATTCCAAAGTATTCATAATATCATTTCACTGCATCAGTCTTTATTCACTTATGCATGAAATTACATATTAATTTCACAGCAGATGTAAATATAATTTATTTGCTATTCTTATTGAATTGATGAAATATTTCTTTATAACAGACATTTCAAAATACCTCATACATTGACTAGAATGTCCATTAACAATAATGATAGAAGAAGTTCGGTGATTTTGTCTCTCTACCAGGAAGGAACAGAAGAAAGGTTTTGATTTTAATTCTCTACCGACGTCGGTGTCGACACTAATTTTTACATTTTAGTACTCAATGCAAACATAAGGTTTAGATAACATTCA